GGCTCCGCTGCTTCGAGGCTCCGCTGCTTCGAGGCTCCGCTGCTTCGAGGCTTCCTTCGGCGTTTCGAGGCCTCATCGTTTCGAGGCTTCGCCGCTTAGAAGCTTGGGCACTTTGTCTGCATTTCGTTGTTGTTGTTTTTCGTTTTTATTCTTTGTTTCCGTTTTTTGTTTTCATTCTTTGTTTTCATTCTTTGTTTTCATTCTTTGTTTTCGTTTTTCGTTTCTATTCTTTGTTTTCGTTTTTCGTTTCCATTCTTTGTTTTCGTTTTTCGTTTCCATTCTTTGTTTTCGTTTTTCGTTTCCATTCTTTGTTTTCTTTTTTCGTTTCCATTCTTTGTTTTCGTTTTTCGTTTCCATTCTTTGTTTCCGTTTTTCGTTTCTATTGTTTATTTTTATTGCGGGATACTATTAAATAATGGGTTTTCTGACTTATAACTAGTCATGGTAGAGATTGAGTTTCTTTTTTCAGTCTTACAGAAATATCTTTGTCGTTCACGAATGTATCTTCATTGTATCAGACTAGAAGTTTCGATTTCGTTCTCTACACTAGCTATCACGACGAATCTCTCAACTTTTCCTAGTATCAAACTGTATACATGGTTGTTGCGTTCTGGTTCTCTCGTACAACGCAAGAAATCGACTTCAAAAAATAATCCAAAACTGTACATACTCGCTTTCGCGAAAATTCCAACTAGGTCTACCATGACACGGATTGATCATCATGATAAGTAGGTCTATGATTACACTTTCAGATGTCCGCTATGAGGAAGATAAGGAGATACAACGTGATATTGCTCGGATTGCAAGCTGTGTTTGCAACTGACATCGGTTCTATTTCATTTCACTGGCAAAAAACATCGGTTTTCGTGCAAACCACGCCAGCTTACGACTAAAGAGACTGAAAAAAGAGTCGGTCCCCGTGCAACATTTTGATCGTCAGGAATTCGGTGCGTGCAAAAGCAAACGAGTACTAACAGGATTATTTTTTCGTCGTCGTCCGTTTTCGTTCGTCTTGTTTGTTTTGAAAAATCGTAATGAATCATAGTCAAAGTCAAACCATGAATTCTGGAAACAATCCTCCAGGTCTTCATCGAATCCTGATTATTTTTCCAATTTTGTTAGCACAACCCCTTGCCCGAAATTGTGTGTAGTGTAGATAGTGTAGTTATAACACCGTTGATATGTTCGCTACGCCATGCTGTAGTGCATCAGCGGCCTGATATGCTCCCAGTTCTGCGTACATTATGAGAAGCAAAGGCAGGCGCTGATCCGAGTTTATCAATCGTTATTTTTACCACGCACGAGAATTACTCACGCACCTGAGAAAAACAAAATTTAAAGTATCTACTCGATGAACATCATTTTTTCACATCTTTCAACATCTGCATCCATGATTTTACTTCCCCCACCATACTATTCAAACCAAAACCTGTTCACATGATGCGCGACCATGGCGGGCGCTCCTTTTGCGACTTGCTTCACTGAAGGACGCTAGCAGATCGGCAAAATGATTGCCAGTATTGTGAGTAACACCAGCACCACCAAGGTGATGGCCGAGGAGGGCGAGGACGGGAAAATGCGGAAGCCGCACTTTATGCTGTCCGCCCTCGCGGGACGGAAAAGGCGAAAAGGGAACGGCAGGACGAGCATGGTGGAGTACACCCCGTACCTCCGACAACTGCCGCCTGCGGACTACTCCCGCTTCGACTTTTTGCACCCGGGCAAGAAGGAGCTCGGCCAGATGTTCCCGAGCCGCGAACGGGAGCTCTCGTTAGCCTTCTTCCGGAACATGTTCGGCACGTTAGTCCAGCGGTTCGGAGACTCGCACGGCGAGATCCCGAGTAGCCACTTCGAACGAGCCATGACACGAGTGTGTCGATTAATAGGTGATAAGGACCGAAAAATCGAGGCTGCGCGCTACGACGTCGACGGCAGCGGTATCATTCTAGTTGATGCAGCTTTTTCTGACTACAGCGAGACTCAGTCCGTCGCGAATTTGCATTTGAATTTCGGTTCATCTGATCGCGCCTGAAGAATTTTCTGTACGTGTAATTCTAGTTTGAGTTACCAGCGTGATCTTCATCTCTCAATTTTTTTACCAAATACAGGCTCCGTCGGTTGGTGGGAATTCGTCGCTTGCTGGAAGGACAACCGGTTTTTCTACGAATACTCCACGTGGGAGCGAATTTCAATCCTTTTCGAGGATCCGGGCAGCTCCCGGCTCGCGCGGCAAATCCAGATGCTGCTGATGTGCACAATTCTGCTCTCCACCGTGCTTTTCATCATCGGAACGCTTCCGAGCATGAAAATTTGGCCCAGCGACAACTGCCAGTCGCTGTGCGACAAGGACAAGAGGGTGACCCCGTTTACGCCCGAGGCCGTGGGGTGGTGCGAGAAGGAGTGCGAGCCCGTGGCGACCCCGGAGTTCGAGTTGCTCGAGGTGGTCTGCGTGATGGTCTTCACATTCGAGTATGTCACCAGGATTGTGTCCTGCCACGCCTGCCGACCGGAGCTGATCCACACCAATGGATTACTGGAGCTGGTCTTGAACGAGAACTGCAAGCGGAAATCCTCCGCGGTCCAGCGCGTCTGGCAGTTCTTCATCAACCCCCTGAACTTAGTCGATTTAATGGCGGTCGCTCCCTTTTACATCGAGCTGGGACTGGCCTCGCACCTCGAGGGTGGCAGTGGGGTGGACGGGAGCACCGTGCTTCGTGTCATCCGTCTTACGAGGTTATTTCGGTTACTGAAGGTCGCGAGGTATTTTCACACTTTGAACGTCATCGTCCGGGTGGTGCAGAGGGCGGCGGCCGGACTCGCAGTGTTGCTCTTCGTGTTGATGCTCTGCGTCATCTTCTCAGCCTCGGTGCTTTACTTCGCGGAACAAGGTATTTTTTCTGAAATTTGGGTTTGTTCATGTCCTAGTGATGTCGATATAGTAGTCATCTACTTGTTCGTGTTGATGAGTTTTTTTTCAGCATGATGTCGCATTAGGAATTTGAGCTAACGTGCGCTGCTAATCAAATTTCGACGTGGCATGATCAAATCTTTACCCCACAGGTGACTGGGACGTCGAGCAGAATGCTTACACGCGTTACAACTGGGTCCAGAACACAGAAGAACAGACGCCATTCAAATCTATCCCTCATTCGATGTGGTGGTCATTTGTGACCTACACAACAGTGGGGTACGGTGACATGATGCCCTACAGCGTTGTTGGTACTGAGTTTTTTTGTGAACAATTTCGTCCTTTTTAAGTGCTTCTAGTTGAAATTCTATGACAGGTACATAGCGCGATCGTTATCCGACTCCGAGCACGAGAAAAAAAATCTCATTAAAAAACCCTTTTTCCAGGTCAAACATTGGCCATCATCTCTATGTTGTGCTCCATGCTGAGTGTGGGTATGCCGACTTCCGTCCTTTTGCGCTCCTTCAATGACGTCTGGGACGAAGCCATACAGGAGCAGGTAATGATTTAAAACATAACTTTTTTCATTCTACGACAAATTTCATTTGGAATGCTTTATGTTTTTGCTTTGGGTTTCGCCAGATGCAACTCTCTTGTTCCTTCCCCGCGATTTTTATACTAAAAGCCAAAATCACTTTTCGCCACACCTTCGAAACTGACAGGTCGAGCAACGAACGCAAACGGAAGTGGAACGTGAGGCCGTCGAGAATGTGTTTCTGTACTCGGAACCGTTTATGCAGATGAGGAGGGTGCTTATCGAGGTCTACGACGACACGTTGTCCAGTCAGCAGCACGATTTCCTGGGGCAGTGCATGCTGGAGTTCGACACGATCGGCGTGCCGCAACTGAAGAGCAAGGGTTTGGTGCAGCAGTTTGTCCGCAACTCCAGCGCCGTGCTGGAGGCGTCCGTCCGGTCCGAGTCCGCGAAGAACAAAAACGCGTCAAAATCGGCGATAAGCTCGCGCACGGCAACCAAGGAATCCAGTAACCCCTCGGATTCCAACGCGGCGAGTGCTGAACAACAACCGCAGGTGGACTACGACCCGTGGACCGCAACTGTGGAGCTCTCATTAGACGACAACCCGCTGAAGCCCAGGATAAACACGCTTCCGATAACGGGCAACATCACCATCGAATTGACCTGGACCCCCGACCCTGACGCCGACATGGTGGAAGTCGCGGTGTTGAACATGCAGGGCGACCCCACCAGCCCGGGCGGCAGCGATTCTTTGACGCACCCGCCGAAAGCGGCGACGTCCTTTGCGGAAAAGGAGCAGGAGGACCAGGCGCAGTTTTTCGAGGAGTTGGTTTTACCCAACAAAGCTTCCTCAGCAGGCGCGGAGAACAAGGAAGGCGACCACGAAGTGGAAGTGCCTTCGCTTCCGTCCATGTCTTCTGCCAGCTCCGTGGAAGTTTTGCCAGTAGTTGTAGCGAGGAGAGATGATCATGACGGTCGTGCAGCAACTTACCATTCCAGACGCGACGCCGAAGAGGAACTGTCCAGAACGCTGCACGCGCACTTGCCCGCCCGACCGTATGAAGGGCGGCACATGGCGGTTACGGGCGGCGGCGGGAAGAAACCCGAACCAGTCTCGTCGCCCACGGGCCGAAACCCCAGCAGTTTGGTCACCCCCAGCAACGCAGGCAGCAAGAAGTACGAAGACCAAATGTTGGCATTATCCCCCGGAACGTTGTCTGTCCGGGTGCTCGGCGTCACCGGAATTTCCGCCGTGCGCGAAGCAACCGGAGAGCCTCCGGGCACGCTCACGCTGGACCCCTACGTTACAGTCACCGTCTGGAATCGACCGCCGAAAAACGTATGATTTTTTTCTATGATTCTTAGCTTTGGTAGTTGTTGTTTCGAGCCATTTACTTTGTTGCGAAAACTTTTCGGAATTTCTTCGTGTCATTTTTTGTCAACATTGTGGTCCATGGGTGTGTTACTGCCTCGCCGGCCATTTGGCACAACCACAATATTGAAGAGCGATTTCTATTGCTCTTTTGATTCACCACAGGACGACGACGACGAGTCGGAGGATGAAGACCCGAACGCGAGGCTCGTGAGCGCCGAGGACGCCTTTTTGTCGGTGCGCACAAAGCTCGGCGAGGTAGTTACCAGGAAACGCACGCAAACCGCGCCGGATTCCATCGTGCCGGAGTTCGACGAGATCCTCGACTTCAAGTACAGTTGGCTGAGTCAGAAGGAGGAGCGGGAGCAGCGGCGCGAAAGGTCACCGAAAGGAGCAAAGGAATCTCAGTTGTCACTCATGCAAGATTTGACGAGAAAGATCACCCGAATGGAGCAACGCCTCGCCGCCAACGACGAGCATGCGGCGCGTCAGCGACAAGTCTCCAATGACCACTAAAGTGAGTCAGCCTTGTTGTTTTCCCCAACACACCTTATATATTTAGTATTTTTTAGAAATTAGTCACCATTTTACCTTTACAACCATAGTTTTTTTGTATATCGAATCAGACATTGTATTGCAAAAGTAAACTGCTTATAAAAAATCACACAGTTCCATTTTTCTTATCTTACTTACGCATAAAATAATCATCACAAACTACGTTTTTCTTATCTTACTCACATCCTTTTAATCTTGTATTTTTAGTTTGAAATAGCAACATATCAGTCGCAACCGGTACCGATTGCGATGGCACAGCCACATCATTTTTCCTCGAGGAAAAAACTCATAATTAGCAGTACACAAAATTAACACTTAACGAAGATTTTTTTTCTTTTTCAGCCCCGGCACTGCCCCTTTACACGTAATCGTGCTTACACAGAGGGATTCGTCGTGGACTAAAACTTTTTAGCCTATAGATGTCCGCTCCGTGTAGGTGCCCCCGAAAGATGTCCCCCCAAAAAAAATAGCACTTCGGAAGGATATATAACATTCATCAGGAGCTCGCACGCCGCGAAGAGAGGCGAAAGGTAGTTAGGCGCGCCTTTCTTCATGCATTTCTGCAATGCGTTGAATTTGAATTGCGCGTGACACAAAGAAGGCGGAAGCACAAAAAATGCATACGAATGTCATGAAGGAAGGGCGCAAACAAAAAGAGGATGAAGAAATCAGTGGCATTTTTCCAAAAGAAGTGAGGAGCTGTTACTGTTAGTGCCAGTTTTTCACTTTGAAGCGTGGTAACAAGTAGTACGAAACCATTTTTCGTAACGAATAGCGAGTACAAGGAAGTACGAACACGACACGCTAGTGTAGGATTTTTCACATGGAAAAACGCAGCCATATCTTCCTAATCTTTTCTTTCTGGAACGAACGGCGCACAGGTAAAATAAATTTAGTATTTATGGTACAACGATTCCGCGCGACGCTAAAATTAGTCCGACACTGCTACCGCCTGCACTATTCTTTGAATGGATCGCATCTCCCTTCTTTTTTTCTTTTATCACGACGACCACCTCGGCAGCATTCCAGAAGCTGTCTTCTGGAACAGAACAGGCTTCTCCGTAAAGCTGTGTTTCATGTCAAAATGTACTTAATCGAGGAGCAGTGAGAATCGTGGTACTAGAGAAGCAAGGGCTTTCGAAAGACAGAGAGACGAGAGATCAACACGAGCGATACCAACAGCTTGAAATATGAGCTGCCTCAATTTCCGAGAGAGTGGTCGCTAGAGGAGCGAGAAGAAAATGAGTGTGAGATTGTTTGTGACCACGAGTGTGCTTATCGCGTGGTCTCAAGTTTGTCACTCGGAATGCCCACACGTGGCGATTTCGTTTGCGTCGTTTTTCCTCGTTTTGAGCAGTGAGACAAGAAGCTTGCGGTCATTATCAATCTTCCAAGAATGCCACCAGGACTCGCGAACCCCTGTCGCTGAGAAATTTGAATTCGTCGAATGCATGGCCACCTAAACTTCTTTCTTGAATTCGCATTTTTAAAAAGAAAAGCAAGAGCCTTGTAGTCAGTCGAACTTTCCTACATTATCCATTGAGTTTGAGGCCGAGCCATTTACTCAAATACTTTTTCATGACTGAAAAACAACCACACCGTACGCGCCGCACACCCTGGCCTTTCAGGCACGATAGCAACTCGGCAGTTGAAGATGTTTCGTAATAGTCACACCGACGCGTTGATTCTGCTACCGTGCTGGACGACGGTAGTCACCTTCCCTGAACTGTTTTTTTTGGAGAACTGAAGAGCTGCTGAGCGCAAATCGCCACGGTCATGGGTGATCCTGTCTACCAGGGGGCGGTATTCCGCGTTGTGGTCAATAAAAAGACGCCGGAGGGCTGGCGCCTTGACGGCGCACGATGGTAAGCCAGGGGCTAGTACCTGATTTTTTCATCACTGCATGATTCTTGTACTTCATAGGGCGTTGTTTTCGTGGGTTGTTTTGTTGCATGGTTCTGCCCACGGAGTAACTGCTGTCAACACAGTTGATTGAATCCGTACAGGTTCACGGACTCCGCTTGTCAGGAGGAGGTTCTTCCGACCATGGAGTACATGGTAAATACGGACCGGACTGCTGCTTATGGAAGAAGACAGGTACTGCTACGTTGTCCTAATTCTAGTTTCGAAATGCTATGTCAATGCATTCCCTAGCTGTGTCGTCGAGAGAGTGCCTGCGGATGTCGTCTTTTCGGAGCGAGATCATGCGAAATCAAAATTGCTTTTGCTCGTACGATAATCTTTCCAAATTCCACAGTCTGTCTCAACGCTTCCGTATCGAGCACCATGCGACGATGATACTGCTTTCGACGCATGCGGGTGTCGACAACCATACGCCGGATTCAACTCAACAACAGACAAGTGCCAGCTGGGCAGCGAAACGGATTGTACTACTTTCTATTTTGGTTGGACTTGGAGTTGTCGTACTGCCGCACCATTGCGTTATTGATGTGTTATGCAGAATCAGCAACAAAAAATCCGAATCTTCAGTCAAAAATCAAAATCAGCTCGCGACGAATATTATTGCGCCGAAAAGAAGATCTTTGCTGCGGACCAAAGGGATTATGGCTGTCCGGCTGGAAAAACAAGTTACGAGGCCTGGTTTGAGACCTGGAACACGAATGTGAAGTGCGTCAAGCTGCGACAGTACTTTTGTTTGAAATTGGTATGATTTTTTGTTTCCATGACACAGACACTGTCTGTTCTGCTTCCTTTACCCACAACCACGACGCTCGGAGCGAACCGCAAAATATCTTCACACCAACGTACTATTCAGGTCGGTATCACCGGCATACCGAGCAACCGAGCTTGCGATACAGCAGTACAATATGACCGTTGAGCGTTTTCAGTCTGCGTTACCGCACAGCTCCGGCATACTAGCCATGGCGCCGAATGGCAGGGAAAGAGCGATCCCTTTCCACGCGGGGTGTGGAGATACGTATCACCTGCCGAACACAACGCAACCAGACGTGCAGCTGGTGTTAAGCAGCGAAAAAGTATCGGCAAATCTCGGGATGGACGCGGTGGGACGAAGAGCGGTCCTTTTCGCGGCACCAGTAGCTGACGGCATAAATCTACAGCTCTACTGCACCGGAAATGAAGACAGTACTCTGTTTTTTTTGATTTGGATCTCGTAGTAGGGCAGTGCACTTACAAAAATACAACTTTTGCTTTTCTTTGAGTATGATGAAGTCGCTTTATTCACCCCCTCACCAGCCCTTTACTCACGTCACAAACAGGCACAGTGCTTTCAGTTACGTGCAAAGATGGTCATTGGTCGGAGATGCAGTCGTCGTCACGCGGATGCGCTACCCCGCACTTTATTCCGGCCGGCTTCAACGGCGAGCAGATAAAACACGCTTACACCCCAGCAAACGACACCAGCGGCGCGGATTTACTGGGGATACTTGGAGCCATTTTCGGCATCGTCGGCAGTTTGATTCTCGGCACCTTCATATGGCGCGTGTTCTTCCGAAGCGGTGCGGCGCAGCTAGACGGGGAACTGCGAGCGGCCTCACCAGGGAGCGAGGACGGGCTCACCTACAACATGGCTTATGATAACATGATGTCCGCCGAAAGAAGCAACGCGCCTGCGCTTGCGGGACCGAAGAGTATGCTTTTTGACTTGATCGATCCTGTAGTTGTAAATGTAATCACAGCGGGAAAAAACATGATAAAACCTGAAATGGTTGTTCTCCAAGCTGCAACTTAGTGTAGAGTTTTGATATTCCCGAACACATTTGTTTACTTCAGAAGCGCAAGCCGAACCGCAGGGTAGATACGGCAGCTGGGACGATTTTAACACGGTTCCGCCACGCAAAATGAAGTCGCGGGACGGGGCGCGAAGCACAAAGATAAACGTGACCAACACGCTGAATAGGGTCGAGGAAGAGATGTCAAGAAGCATGATCGGCAGGCGGTCCGACAGCGGCGGTTCCCGGTCTCAGTCGCCCGCGAAGCGCACGGCAAGATCGGATCGAACGAGGAGTGTCGACGCTGACGTGGACGAGAGTGTAAGGTCCTCGGTTTCGCCGCCCAGAAAACTGAGGCAGAGGCTCAATACCGCGGGGGAGGACAAGCGGGGTGTGGATTTTGAGATGGACAACACCTCCGAATTCAGCGCAACCCAGCAGTCCGCACCGAGACAGCGCGGTGGCTACAGCTACCGAACGGGGAGCGCAACGAGGGACACGGCGCGGATGGTGCAGCCGCCAACGAGTAGCAAAACAACGAATTCCGCAGAGAGAAGAGGCGGCGGCGGCGACGAACAGAAGTCGAAGACGCAGCAGCTACTGGAGAGCTGGGACGGCGGGAATGCGGACCGACCGAGCTCTGCGGCGCTGAAAGCGCTGCGGGCGAAGACGGACCGAATTTTGAACAGCGCAAACCGGCCGGCCGGGGCGTCTTTTATGGAAAAGTCCGCGGAAACGCTGATGCGAAAATCGCCGGAAAGAGAACGGGCAGGCGGCCACTCCCGGTCGGCCGCGAGCACCCGGCCGCAGCAGCGGCCCGTCGCGGGCAGTGGCAGTTATCGCGCAGCCTCCGCATCGGCGACGACCTACAGTAGCGGTACGGCGCCGACGAGGGGAGAGCATGTGAGCATACCACTAGCGCCGAGGACCTTGTCCGGGTCTGGAGCGGGACCGGTGTCAAGCGGTTTGAACCAGCCGGGGGCCACGTTTCAGCACCCTCGGAGCGGCAGCATTCCTAGAAGCAGTGCGTCCTCCTCAGCGGGTGCGTCAGCGAGCAGCAGCATGGTGCGCCCACCCGGCGGCTTCACGCAACCCCACGAGCAACAGGAACCAGGATACCACTCGTCGCGAGCGCGGTCTGGAAGCGGGCAACGGGCAGCAGAACCTGTGAACGACTACTACCGCATGAAGAGTGCTGGTCGTGGCGGGCCAACAGGACCGCCGCGGCCAGGAAGCCAGTCGCCCGCCGGTCAAGGTTCACTGGACAGATTTGGTCACGCAGCACCCGGGCACGGGAGGATACCGAATCGGGACCGGTTCAACCGCTAGGAGGTGCACCGAAGCAGGTGTCATTTTGTGTACGGTGAACACCTCCAACTGCAGAACTCTATCGCATTTGTTTCCCCGAACAAAACTTATGTAGTATAAACACGACCCCTTTACTGCGTCTGTACTCAAATTCAGATCCTGATACAGTTTTCAAACAGGAACAATCAAACGTTTTCAATGATGGATACTATCGCAGAGTCCGATGACTTTCGCTTTCTATTAACTTTCGCTGAAAAATCTCGTTTTCACTGCTTTCTATTCCATTCAGACAAAAATCACAATTAGAGATCAGACCCGCGAGGCGGTCCGAGACACGAAGAGGAAAAGTTTACGAATTCAATTTGCACGGACGCCAAAGAAACCATTTTTAGGATTTCCGTAGTTTCAGACCAAGGAACACAATCTAGCACTTTTTCGTGCTAGATAATGAGCTAGCTCTTTTTCGCGAACTTAGACGAACTTGTTGCGCAGCATTTTTGAATTTAGACTAGACCCGTTCAACGAACTTCAGGCTGCAACGCAAGAGGGATGGGAATCGAACAGGGAACTTTTCAACTTTTTCGCCATTCGCCTGTTACGGTGATGTAAACGCAATCAGCCAGTTCTTGAAAAATTGAGCGCACGCGGAGGGTACGCGACGTTCCTCCCTATGCCTGCACGATAGTCTCTTCAGCAAGCTGTTCGTAACATGCTTCCGTGGCTTTTTCCTTGCTCGGTACGGGAACTCAACTTCGGAGGTCTTTTTTTGTGTTTTGTTCCCGTTGATGCTCCTTGTGTTTCGGTTTCGGAATGACTTTCTTGCACGACAGGGGTCGATGCGTTGATTTGAAATTTCAGAGAAATTCCATGAAGATCCACCAGGTCGACGCTCAACATTCCTACGATGGCCCCTTCAGCTGTCCTGCTGAATCCACGTGAACGTCAGTCGCTGGCGCAGTGCTTGCTGGTTCTCGTTTGCAGCGTTGTGATCCCGTATTGCATTTTTGTCGCTTGCATCGACGTTTTGATCGCAGAAGAAGATTTGCTTCTGGCTCTGGGCGTCATTTCCCCCGCAGTCTCGATGGTATCCGTCACAGCGCCGTCCTTCGCGGTGTTGCGAAAATTACGTGCGTTTGTAAACCCGTACAGGCTCTTACTGCAGCACGACGATGGGGGTTCTTCCGCTTCGGTCGTCGAGCAGGATGCGGAGCTAAGTTCGCAGTCAGGGATAGACACAACAGCAGGCTCGTACGGCGGGACTACGACCGTTGGTAGAGGAGGAATAAAAAATTCAACTGCCACCTCGTCCTCTGTAGTTCTTCAGATACGGGGTCCAACGGAAGAAGAAGTTTCAGCTTCCGACGAGTTGATATCGGCACAAAGAGGGACCACAACAACATCAGCTGCGTCAACGCCAACGGCTGCAAAACTGGGGCCAGATAATAGCGATGCAAGTGTAGAACCTGCCACAATTCTCCCAACCGCGGTGTTCAAAGCGCAAGGCGTCTGCAACGTACTAGGTGTGTGCTACGGGATCCAGGTGCGGTCGGAGGCGGTGCTGGCCAGCAACCTTGTCGGGTTGCTGTTCCAACTGTTCTTCCTTGCAGTGGCCGAGCACATGAGCAGCGTCACGCGCGCGAAGTCTGCTGACAACAATAGCATTTCCAGCGCCGCCTCAGAAGACGAGCGCGAAGATGAAGACGTGGATGACATGAACGACGACGGGGAACTGGACCCAGGCTTAGAGACTGACACTATGCAAAGAGACACCTTTCCACAAGACGGCATCGAAATGGTGCCAATCGGGAAGCAGCGACTACCGCTAAAAGGCCGTGGAGATTCATACAGTAGTACGTCTGATAAAGTAGGGACGACAAGCACGAGACAAAAACCTCCTTTTAGCACTGAAGACCAAGTAGATTTCGACCCTCACCAACCTGCAACGTCGCGGCAATCTTGGATGGGGAGCTTCGTCTTTTCCTTCGGTTTCCGGCTTGGTCTGGTCATTTTTTGCGGCGTACAAGTCCTCAATCTGTTACTGCTCGGGCTACTCATTATCGGAGCGACCGTAGTGCTAGCGATGGCACCGTTGTTCCAGCTTCCGACGGTGGTTCGCACGAGAAGAACCGACATGCTGGACCCGTGGATGTGCGGCATTTACCTCACCGTGAACGGGGTTTGGTCGCTCTACGGCGTGATTCTTCAAGACGTCGTGATTATTGTGCCCTCCGTCTTGAGTTACGCACTTTGTGTCTTCCAGCTCGTCGTCATCCTCTGGACGCACCGGTTTTCGCTTCTGGGCATCGCACAGTGGGACTTGAAATTCGTCTTGAAAATTGCGAACTCCTTCTCCGGGGACGGGAACAGCCGAAGAGGGAGCGGCTTGCTCCCTTCGCATTTCGAAATGCCGGCGCCGAGCGCCATCAGGCAGTCCGTGTTGATGCGGAAACGGACGAACAGGCACGCGTATCGGCCTTCGCGGAGTACCAGCCGGACGCCAGTGAGGAATTACAGCGGTGCAAATACGCCGTTTTGAGGATAATCCTTTGATGAAGAACATTATTGCGGTTTTCATTGTCTTGATGCGATGACACATGGAGTTTTTTGCCCTTCACATCCAATGAACACACACCATTGTGCTGCTTGATGACGCTTGCAGCAAAGCATAAGTAACGTCATAGATTTAAGCTGGAACTATGCGAATAAGTACAGTTGCAATAGACAACTCCTACGCTTGCTGGTCTTCGTTCGTCTTTTGCGTCGTCCTTGCGTCCGCGTTAGAAGTAGAACGGTGAATCGATCCCAATCTGAAACTTGAACTTCTGCTGCGACACCTACAAGTCTATAAAACTTTCCGCAAGAACTACAAGTCGCTATCCGCGTTTTTTTTTTCCAAGAGGTTCGCGTTCGGGTTCGGGTTCGCACCACCAGTCAAGATGCCAGGAAAGAAACCGAAGCCCTTGACTGCGACGGCGAAAGCCAAGCTGAACACTGATATGTCGCGTGCTTTGGCGCAAGCGAAGCAGCTCATCGAAGAATCGGGGACACTCTCCGAGAAGCTGGTGCTCAACCACGACAAATGGGGGGGACAAGGCGTGTTCGTGGTGAAGAAAGTCAAGGCTGGGGAAGTTCTCGCGTCTATCCCCCATGCGTTGACCATCGAGCTCTCGTACGACCCGATGAGCAACTTCGTGTGGATCCGGAACCGCGAACAAGATGACGAAATTCTAAAGAGCAACACAGATCATGAGGATCACCAGAACCCGACCTCCGCTAATGCCTTTCCTGGTTGGACGAAGGTCGAAATTTCCCCGTTCAGAAAACGCACGGAAGTCCCCGTTTTCCGCAACACAACCGAGGCTACGATGCAAATGTGGTACCTGAACGCTTTGGTTCGAGGCCGACACGGCAATGCCCAGGAGCTCCAGATGCAACTCGACCAGTGTCCGCAAGCTGCGAGCTCCGCGCAGCTTGCGAAAACGGTCCTTCCGGACGGGGACCCCGCCGCGGAGAGGCGGTGGGTGCTGGGCACGCGCGGGCTGCGGGTTGAAGAGATGTTGAAGGACGTGGGCATTTTGCAGCGGCTTTCCAACTTGGCGCAGCTCAAGCCCGACGACTGGGAAAACGAGTTAGTACCCGGCAACACAGACCCCAGGCGGGAGTGGCGGACGATCTACCCGTTGCTGGACTTCGTGAACCACGCCATGGTGCCGAACTTGGTCGCGATCCGGAATGAGGAAAGTACGAAGTTTGTCGCTTTGACGAACATCAAAAAACATGAAGAACTGACGATGCACTACGTCCCGCAGGGCGGGATCGAGGAGATGCTGCGGTATGGGTTCTTTCCGGACAGCAGTGAGCTCAGATTTTTAATTGAATACCACAATTTCGGGTATAAAACCGCGACGCAGAAGCAACTCGTGCGCGGAGCGGCGATGTTCGTCTGTCCCCCCGGGAGCGACTTCTGCCCGGTCGTGCTCCAGGGCCCGACGCGCACCCCGACGCTCGCTGCGGCGCGGATGGCGGAACAGAATCCCAGCATCTTTCAGAACAATGAAACGTCGACGGTGATCGCCCACGCCCTACGGTGCCCGGTGCCGGACACGATGTCTTTGCGGCACCTGTTTGGTTTCGCGAAGGCCGTCGGCGAAGAGACGAGAAACAGTATCTCCGACATCTTGCGGCCCTCCATCAAGGCGTTTTTGGCGGAGCGCGGCTTGATCAAGCAGGTAATTAACAAACAGAAAACGGACCCCTTTCCATCTCTCCAGTGCTTTGCGTTAGCCACTTACGAAGCGGCCCCGGTTCTGGCGCTGGCACGGTACTTGAACGTGAGTATCAAACTGCAGGAGGGGTACGTTGCGGCGACCCCAGAATTGAACAGCACGAAACGGAATTTTGCCCTCACAAGGTTCATGGTGGACGATTGCGCTGGGAACATTGCGCGCGTCGTCGAGGACATGGATTTCACGCCCGAAACGGTACCCTCGCTGAAGCGCATGCAGCAGGCCCGAGAGCGCTGGGCGAAGGCGCAGAGTTTGACCAGCAGTGGGTCTCCGCTGCTGTTGGTACTGTTTGGCTACGGTGGGACGATGGTTCTTTTGTTCCTGTTTTTCTGCTACAGAAAATGCTGCCGAAAGAAGAAGACGGCGGTGACCGCGGAATCGAGTGAAGAGGAAAACCCACCTGGATGGAACAAGCTCGAGAAGGAAGAACTCGAAAAGCAAGACTGAAATCGGACGATTTCAGTTTCGAAATCATTCAAAAAGACCAGAAACTACCCAGTAGAGATCGAAAAACCGTCTTGATATCACATACCGAAAGTGTTGCATTGTCGATCAGTTTTTCCCTTTCTGGTGCTGACTGCTGCATGAAGAAATTCATTGATTCACTTGATATTTGTGTTTGACTTCGTTAACGTTCGGGCCGTGGTCGTTTCTTGGGACAAGCACTCGCGAGAGAAAGTGGAGGGCAGACACCAGCTGGTCGTGCTAGATTCGACAAGAGAAGCGGTGGAGTGACATCTGTAATCATACATAATCCACCTTTTGGATCGTTGACGCAGCTTCCAAGCTACTTCGCAATCGTAATCGTAATGCCAACCTTTTACATCAGTGTGGCCGTGTCGCTCGCACAGCTTTGATGTAGATTAAGTTGGAAGGTTGAAGCTGATTGAAGTTATTCGCGAAAGAGAAACACGATGTCTTCCGCAAATGCAGACGGAGAGAAAATTCGGGGTATACGCACCCAGCAGCCCTACACCGGAATCTGGGAAGGCCGGGCGGGAAAAGAGACCAGCGCGAAAAGCCCAGCAGAGACAACAGATCAGCCGAAGGGGTAATTTTTACTTTGTGGGTCAAGCAAAGCGTGCTCGTTTGCGATTTTGTTCTCGAGGCATTTTATTTTCGCTCTTTCGGTCCCGATGCTTTGGCTAGCGTTCGCTCCGTGAGTCGCCCACAACGCAAACAGGTTTCGCTCTGCTACGCTTGGCGCAGTGGAATATGGGTCCAGAATAGGCAAGGCGTCAGGCTGCCGGTATGTGGGTTTGTTTTCTCGACTCCAATAATTTTCCTTGAATGTGCATGTACCGCTTCGCATGTACCGCTTTGGCCACACAAAGCGCTGCAACCATAACATCGTCCAATCGCAATGAAAACAGGTACGAGACCGTTCCCACTGGGTATTCGACGCCGTATCTGCATGCCGCTCCGTACCCGACCGACAACCAACTTTTTAAAGTTGCAACCGAGCATTTGGAATACGGGAAGGCCACCCGGCACTTTCAGCAGAACAAGCCAAAAAATGAACTGTTGACGAAAAAACCATTTGCAGACGAACTTTTCGAGAAGTCTATTCATCCCATGTTTCGCCAGGATGTGGCAATTGTGAACGGAAATGAACAACACGACAGCAAACCACCTGCAACATGAAAGCAAACTTTCAATCCAACTTGACGCGATCTCGAGGCAGGACGTACAGGCTTCGCATCAAAGACTCTCCGGCGTCGTTTCTGTATCTATCTGTTGCACCGCGTTCGTGATAGATTAGGCTCTCGTGATCCGACTGTCGCAGGGAAGCAATGGATATCACTTTCTCGTCATTGTAATTTCGCGAAGGAATATCAATATGTCGTGGCCAGAAATTTAATTTTTTTGCTCGGGTGTCGTTGTCGTTTCTTGGGGTCGTACCGATGGTTTAAGTCAGTTCCTTCGCAGTAGAAATGTCGTTTCTAGGACCAGGAGGTCGTATTGTAGGTGCTTTTGGTCGTGTTGTATCAGAAGTGAAGTGGTGGAGGTTTTTTTGAAGGCGAGTAACAAGTTAACACCGACCATCATTTTTCTTGGACCAAGCAACTGGAACAGACGCGATCTGTATTTACAAGAAGTAGTATCCTCGTCGGCTGTCAAACTAAATTTTGATCAAGATGCAGAAATCGCTCCGGACGCCCGGGTCTATGAAGAAGAAGTACCTGACCAGTTTCCTTGATACAGCCCAAAAATCCCACCAGAACAGCGTCGTGCGGAGTATTGCCTTCGAAATCACGCAGCTGCAAAAAGAAAATGAAGATGTTAATCCGCTGGACATCTCTCTTTCCGTCTCAGAAGAGAGTCGCGACGCCGATTTTCGCTGGAGCAAGAAGCGGTTGCATTTTCACGGCAAACGAAGGCTGACGAAAGACACTATTTCCAGTTGCAGTGACTACGAGGTTGAACCCCTGGAGGAAGTAGTGGCCCCGCAGCAGCATGCGGCAAAAAAGAGGAAGGAGGACCAATATCTTCCCCAGCAAGTGCAACAGACTCAAAAACCATCGTGGACTGCGAAACCTGTAGAAAAACAAGCTGAAAAAGAAGACAACTGCGACTCCGCCGCCGGCGGGAGCGGCTCCAGCGGTTGGAACGAAAAGCAGGAATCAGCCGCGAGTCGGCGCAGCCCCAAGAAAGAGATTTCCTCGTCCGGTGCTGGCGGTGAGTCCTCTTCGACCGAGAATGAAAACGAGCAGCGGACCCTCCGTCGACGCAGCCGCGCAAGCGGAAGCGGTGCTCCGAGCTCACCATTGAGACCCCGGTCTACTTTGCCGTTGCTGGAAGCTCTGAAGAAGGAACCGGAGGTGGAGACTGCCGAAATATTAAAACCTGCCAAAACAGTCTGGGATCTTAGGACGACTAGTGGTGTAGCTGGCTTTCTGAAGCTCCTCAAAGAACAAAAAGGACAGCTCGTAAATAGGGCTGTTGAAGAAGAACCGTGTTCATCCGAACAACCCGTCCCGCCGCAAGCACCCGAGTCGGTTTCCTGCGTGGATGACTTCTACATGGAGGTAGACGACGATGATGCTGACGACGACGATATGAGCGATATGGTGGAGAATATGAACATTCACAAGTTCCTGAACTTCCTCAAACTCGACGAGCGGGTCAATCTGGACAACGAGCTGATTTTGAAAACCTTCGACCGCTATGACGCGAAGAGGAAGAAAAACGACAAAACGCAGCACGCAGAGTCGTCGAGCGAGGGACCGCCGGCCGGGCGGGACCAGGAGGTTTTCCTCCGGGGAGGCTCGTTCTCCTTCGGAGCGGCTTTGGGGTCGTCCATGCGGAAACAAGTCAAACAAGCGGATGTTAACGGGGATGACAGTATCATCCCAAGCGAGCAGTACGCAAAGCCGGAGACACAAATCACACCAGAAAGCTGCGCGGAAAGTTGCAAATTGCAACCGTTGCGACGATGCAAAACAGTCACCTGGGACGGCGCTGACGAGGGTGCGGACGCGGGAACGGGCGGGTTTGCAGCTGCCGGAACTAATGTCTGGTGCGACGAAGACATGGAGAGGCTCGGAGAAAAGCGTTCGTCGAGTAAGTCCCCGGGGCCCGCGGAATTCTTGGAACAAATTCGGCTGATGCGAGAGCAGCATCGGACAAGAAGCAGGGAAAACTGAAGCATTACCGACACTGATGGAACACAATAAAAGTATCGTAAGTATTGCAGTAGTGCAAGAAGGAAAATATTTTTTAATGCGGATTTTTTACACAACGACATCAAATTAGAATTAAAAAGCTACTGACTGCCTGAATCAAATCTCATGCGTCACACACCCTAGTAAGTATGATTCAATAAAAAGAAGTACCATTCCAATTCATTGTTTCGAAGTTAGCACACATGCCAGTTTAGTTCTATCGTGCTTGTTGCAATTTATTAGCTGTAGCACGTCATGATCGTTATCTTTGGTTGTCTCACTGTATTTTAGAGTTGCGTTGTTTTGCTGTCATGTGTACATAGCAGCACTAGTGGCATCTTTCAGCTTAGTACAATGTTGTACCGATGCTATTCCCAGACCATGTCGCGCGTAGATTTTCAAAAGTTTGACTTTTCTACGGGAGCGGGTGTGGACCATTGCAGCAACTTTTACTTGTTTCCACGTCGGAATGGTGACAATGACGGTGTCTAGTTCGTTGGGATACAACTTGTTCCATTCTCCACATAATAGCCTCTGGAAATTGTTATTGGTCAGAGCGGGCGCTAGCTGAGAGAGGGAGAGGACAACGAGGCAGTTATCTCAGTAGAAACCTTCGAAGACTTTTTGTGCCTTCCTAGATTTTAACTGCTGTTTTTCTTGAATCCACCGACGAAGCCAGGATGTAGGACGCTCGCTCGTTTTTGTTGTTTGATTTTGCTCTTGTCGCCGCTGTTGCCTTTCATCGTGCGGAATCGCGGCCCCGCCAATGAGAGGGCTGCCTTCGTAATTTCATCACTCTGGCAGCAAGAACTGCCCAGGATGCGGCGGCCGACGGAATATCTTGGTGTCATTTTGGGGTTCCAACTTGGGCTTACCACCGTTTCTGCCCTGGGCCCGGTCATTCAAGTTCTGGAAAAGCTGCAGACCGACCTGGCAGAAGAGCACAAAGAAAAGACGTCATACTTCGAGGAGCTCTTGCAGAACTGCAAAGCTGACGTCGATTCAGAAACGGCTGTGGTTGAGTCCTCCAAAAACCAGGTCGACACCTTGAAGAGCAGCCTGGCCACTTTCCAAGGTCGCATCGGCACCGAACAGGACGCCCTCTCGAGCCTGGGAGAGGACGTCACGAGTCAGGAGGCCGAGATCGGCAAATTGAAAAAGCAGAAGCAAACGAGGAAGACCGAGTTTATCGCCGCCCGGGAGTCTCTGACCAAGACTTTGCTTGCGTTGGAGCGCGCTGCTCGGGAGTTCAATGACGGAAAGAAAGCCGAAGCAGAGAAGGATGCGGGCGTCCTCGACGGAGCCGCGCAAAAGTCCGCCGCTAATGCACCCCTAGGCACTATGATCGAACAGATGTCGCAGAGCACGCGGGAAAAGTTGCAGAAGCTGATCCAAAGTCACAAGCAGGAATCGGAAAAAGTGCAAGACTTGGAGCGGAGTGTGGAGCAAGCGTTGCTGCAAACGCAGGACGACATGACGGAAAAAAAGGAGACGGTGGAGACACTGCAGGTCGACGCCGGGCGGGCCACGCGGGAGCTCGCGAAGAGCAAGGAGGCTCTGAAAGCCGCGACCGCATCGTTGAAGGATGAGCACGTGGCCTGCGCAGACCACGCAAAGGAGAAGGAATTCGTGCTGAACGCTCTGGCGGCGCAGTTGGAGAACGTGAAAGTGGCACTAGACAGCTTGCAGAAAGGGAAGGCAGAGGTTGAGGAAATCAAAAAGAATAAACCAGTTGAGGGGGAGAAGGAAGCGAAAGGAGAACAAACTAAGGCAAAACCTGCAGTCGAAAAAGAGCAAAAGGAGGACGCTGCAGAGGCAGAAGCCGCGGATGAGGCGGAAGAGACCTCCGAGAAAGTGGATAGTGGTGCGGCACAAGAACAAGCGGAGAAAGAGAAATCTCCTACAGCAGGAGAGCAGAAAAGCGCACAGGACGACAAGACCGAGGCTGACGCTGCGGCGCAGGAAGATGAAGATGCGGACCAAGAGTCCGATCCGGATGATGCGTCGATAGTGGAAGAACCGGCGAAAAGACAAACCTCTTTCCTGCAGCAGCGCAGCCAGTCCTCGACTTTGGCAGCAACCTCGAACAATAGAAAGCTCGTTCTTTCCTCGCGCCAGCTCCGCTTGCAGCAGGCGTCTTTGTACCTGAAAAAAGTGTCCCCGCAGCTTGCTTCGCTTGTGCAAGCGAACGTCAATTTTGCGAGCAAAGACAGTCCCTTCGATAAAGTTACCGCCATGATCAAACAGATGATCACGAAATTGGAGCAGCAGCAGGCCGAGGACCAAAGCCAGGACGACTACTGCAAGCAAAGCTTCGCCAAAGCCGAAGCGAAGAAGAAGAAGCTGGAAAAGGAGGTAGCGAAATTCAAGGAACGCATGGAAACCACAGAAAGCTTAGTAGAGCAGCAGAATGTTTCTGCGAAGAAAACCGCGAAGGACTTGCTATTGGTACAAGAAGAGCAGAAAAAAGACGCTGCGCTACGAACTTCCGGAAAAGCGGAAAATGAAAAGATCTTGGCGGAAACAACCGCCCACGAGAAAGCACTGGCCGGTGCCGTCGCTGCTATGGAAGGTCAATCCGGCAGTAGTGGAGCAGCTCCTGCGCCGTCTTTCTTGCAAATTGGGACGATGATGAAGACTGTTGTAACAAGAAAATTGTCCTCTGCGGCGACCACACAGACCGGCACGACCAATAAAGGCAACACGGCCAATGGCTCTGTCCTGGAACTTCTGCGCCACCTGCACGCGGAAGCAGAGGATTTGCTGCGGAGCACGGCGAAAGAGGAAAAAATTGCGGCCGCACAATTTACGGAGCTGACGAACAAGCGAAAGGTGGAAACTGCGGTGCTGCAGAAAAAGGAGGAGATGACGGAGTTGGAAAAGCAGCGACTGAAAACGCAGCTGTTGCAGCAGAAGGAAGACGTACGGTTGACGGAGGACGAACTCAGCGCGGTTGTCGAAGGAATTGCAAACTTGAAAGACCAGTGCACGCCCAAGACGCTGACGCCGGAGGAGAAGCAGGCGCGCCGTCAGGAAACATTGGATTCGTTGAAGGAGGCACTAGAGATTTTAGAAGGGGAGGAATAACTTTTTTCCAAATTGCTTTGCTAGTTGATTCCAAAGCCGGACAATAGATACACGTGTTTTCCTAGTGTCACCGATGCTTTAGACCTTACCAGATGAAGCTGAAAGTCGCTGCAGCTGTCGGTTGCAACATGTACCGACGCACTTTACGTCTGCCTGTTCATCCTCTACTGTGGACTAATGGACACGGTACCTAATGTCGCAAGCCATCATTTTTTCGCAAACCTTGATCTCTCCACTAGAGCCGCTGTTTCGAAGCTTTTCTGCCCCACAAAAATGGGGCGCATCTGCGGCCTGGCCCTCGTGTGGGTGCCTCTGGCCGCGGAACCGTCAGCCAGTCTGCAGATCAAAGATGCTCGTCGTTCTAACAGCGCGCAGAGTCCACCGCCCACAGTGGATAAGATTGCAACCCCGGTCGGAAAGGCTGCAGCGGTGGCAGGTGCAGGCAAAATCGCAGACCCGACCATTGCTGAACAACAAGCAGCTACGGCAACAACCACGGTGGCAGACATAGCAGCTACCCCCGTTGCTGCTTACGAGATTCCGCAGCAGTTACAAATCGTCCATGGACAGCAGAAATTCGAATTGCAGCACATTTTGAATTGGTGCTCCCTGCACGGGTCTTTCAAAGTACCCCAGGGTCAGTTCCAAGTCGAGGACAAAGAGCTGGCGTACTACCCAAACCGAACTCCCGGGAAGCGCATAGTGGTTGTCGCAGACGTGACTGCAACTGCGGAGGGCAAGGAGGATGACGAAGCCGTCGGGAGCGAGCTTGGTAGCAAAACTGCAACAGGTTACGTCGGTGCGGTCCAGCCTGCAGTGGCGGACGGCAGTAGTGTTTCAGGAAGTGTTGATGATACCGGAGCCTCAAGCAGCGGATCCTTTTCCGCGTCGGGCAGCAGGGGTTCTTTCAGCGGGTCGTTTTCAGGATCGGGTAGTGGCAGCGTACTCGAGCGCATTCCGCTGTCGATGTCGGAGCCGAGCTTCTATCGGCCGACGAGCTTTCCGAAGTTGCCGCCCGGATGCGGCGAAGATCTACCGGACGAGATGGGAAAGCGGACCGTGTCACGGATCATGCAGCCGCTCCTGGATATGAAGCGCAGGACGTTGTACTGCTTTTTTTTTTCATAAGTTGCGATTGCCGCGTGCGCTGTGAGTAAATACTTTTTGTTGAGTCGTTGTATCACTGATGACATGCAGATGAGTCAGAAGGAATCAACTTGATGTGCTGCCTGACCATTTCAAAAATGCACCTGAAAGGCAGGACGCGGCGGCGCTGGCACAGACGAGCAGCGATAACGCAACCGCGCTGCTAGTGAACACGGCGTCCAATTTGGCGAACAAGGCTATCTACCCACAATTGGTCCGCTCGCTGTGCGAAAAGGGCGTACGCCAGCGCATGCAGGAGTCCGGGCACCCGGTTTCCACTGCACTGGTCGAAACGACGATTGAAAAGTGCGTCTCGGACACGACGCAGAAGTTGGATTCCGGCAAGGCCACCGCCACCACAACGCTTCTGAACCAAATGAACGCCACGGCGACCGGGATCCAAGCAGAGTCTCACGAGTTGGCGCACACCACCGGGAGCAGCGCCGTCCTAGAGGCGTACGCTACTGCGGTAGAGGCGGCCGACGCGCAGCAGGAGATCAAAACCGCCGCAACGAAAGCGTACAACTTCGCGTCGCACTGGGTGCGGTACGGCCACAAGCAGGTGAAACAGGAAATCGCCAAGGCGACGGAGCGAACCGCGCACGCGGAGAGCAAGAGCATTGCCGAGCGGATTGGCGGCTTGTGGGTTTTGGACCAGGTCAAGGAAAAAGCGAAGAAAGCCGTGGATTCCGACTTGCAGGCTGACGTCAACCGCATTGCCGAGCAGATCGGCCAGCACGCGGTGGAGGAACTCTGGAGTTTGGACGGATTGCACGGGAAAATCCCTGTGCCGGTCATACACTTTCCGCCGTTGCCCGAGGGCAGCGGGTCTGGGTCTTTCAGTGGGTCACCCAGCGGTTCTGCTGGCAGCGTAGGCAGTTTTGGAGGATTTTCGGCAAGCGGCGCAGGCAGCGGTCCGGCGGAAAGTGGTAGCAGTAGCGCGACAGCGTTGCAGAGTGAAGCGGAAGATTCCGAACCAAAAAAACAAGCAGCCGTGCCGACTTTCCTACAAGAACGCAGCAGCCGTCGCAAGAAGCTATTCCCGTTCAGGCAAATGCATGCCGCAAATATCCAGCCAGAAGAAGAGCGAGAAGAAGTTCGTCCTCAAGCGAATGAAGTGCTGACATCTGCGGGCGCGCTTGCGCATATGGGCCACCTGCTGCTGCATGAAGCCGGCCGCTTCATTTCCAGTGATTCTGTCGGCCCTGGGGGTGTCGGACCGGCCTCGTTTTCGTCTCCGTCTGAATCTTCAAGCGAGAACGAAAAATCCGGGTCCAGCGGCCCGTCAGTCGGAAAACTGGCTCGCAGTAGCGGATCATCAGAACAGCAACCTTCTGGCAGTGGATCCTTTTCCGCGTCGGTCCCCCCAACCAAGACCGAGCATCTCGCCCCGTGCCCGGCCTTCGAGTTGCCGTCCTTCGAGGACGGCCGGTGGCTGCCCGCCGCCGACGGGGGCTTGCCGACCGTAGCTGACAATACCGAACCGCCCGGTGCCATCGGGCAACCGGTTCCGGTCGCGCAGGGCGTCCGCGCCTGGCGGCTTTTGCACGGGGGCTACGCGTTTCGGTACAAACAAGTACCCTCCTTGTTGGTCCGGTTCTTCAACGGCAAGGCGGAGTATCTCTGGTCGGACATGTACGTGCGGCATACGCCCTTGCAAAGAGACTTCTGGACGACGGACGGGACGAAACACGTCACTGAGTACCTCGACGGGAAACGAGTTTACCAAACGAAGGACGTCGTTACCGTGGAAGAGGTGCCGAACGTTTCTGTCAAACTGCACTACTGCAACCCCAATCGGGAGGTTTCGAAAACTGTCGCCGGGGTCTCGTACATCGACGGCGCCAGCGGGAGAAACGTGTTCCGCACAGACGATTTAGATCTGACGTCCGTGGAGACGCCGGTACAAGTGGGGGGAAAGGCGGAAAAGGAGCTGACGGTAAAAGCCCGACCCCTGAACGCGGAACAGGAGGGCGCCCTGGTCCGCGACGCGCCTGACAGCGTGCAGTACTACTTTCCGGACGAGATCGTGGAAGTGAAGAAAGCGGATAACTCGGTCACGCGAACGGACCGAGCGGCCGTCGGAAGCAGTCCGTGAGCAGGAAGGCTTGCAGGTTGCATCTTTAGCAAGCAAACAAAATGGGATGAAGTTTCAGTTTTCTTTTCCAAAAATATGTGCCCCTCCGTAAGCACACAATGTGCACTGCCCATGATGTAAGTACCTAAGTAGAAAGATATGAACTGGCAAGTCTATCATGAAGTAAAGCGGAGCGTCTGCATCTCCACCGCGATTGCTAAGTCCGGTGCTTCTACTCATGAAAGCCACACGTGTTCCGTATTTACGTTGGAAACGATGCGTTTTTTCACGAAGAAGATTTTTCTGTTGTCAAAATCATTCCAAACTCAACTTCGCGTGACACCGCAATTCACACGACCAGGTCCATTTCTTCTCAAATTTTCACATTTGCCTCGGAATTAGCTAAGTACCCATTGCATTTAGATTCAAGAGAGTAGAGACTAAAGTCAAGAAAAAATGCATAGTGCTGCAGACTGCTAGGTCTATATTGTAAACTTACTTGTTAGTTTCTGGACGACAACAATGAATCAGCAGCATGGACGAGACGCTTTACAGCTACAAGCAGCGGCTCGACAGCATGAGCAACTTCATGTTGCGGGCCCTGCTGGAGGGGTTGAGTATGCAGCCGGGCCGCACGCGCCGCGCCATGATCCAGCAACTGATCCAGGTGAAGCGGCAGAGTGCCAAGCAAGAAAACCAAAACCAGGAAGAGGAAGGCAAAACATTATCACACGAAGTAAAGAATGGGGCTACAACCAGTTCCGGTGCCGCCGCTTCCTCAAGCACTAGAAAAAATGCATCAACCGGGAATGGGACCGCCGCGTCTTCGTCAAGCACCACGAGGAAACCAGGGAAAGCAGCAGGAATTCAGCACAAGAGCACTGCCGTAGGGAACACGAGGAGCAAAACGAAAGACGATGATCCAGCAGCGGCGGCCCGTTTTTTTCTCGAGTATTGCGACCCGTTTTGTCCCGTAGAGGAAGTGGTACAATTCCAAGAGTTGCGGTTCCACAGACAGGCCGAGACGACGACACCCCGAGCTTGCCGGATTTCGTTCTTCTCCACCGAGACGGAGTTTGTGCACATACGATGTTGCCGCGTAGAGGGTGGAGCTGGTACTGACGTGATCAAAAATCGACCGCGTTTTGCGTGGCCGGCGAATGACGTGGAGATCGAGGTGGTGTCGCACAACAAAATGAGGAATCCTCGGCATTTCAAGAACGGACTTGCCAGTTCGAGTGGAAGCAACAGCGAGCCCGAAATAGATGACGAAAATGACAGACAAGAAGAGCTCGTGATCGACGCGAGCGCGACTGCGAATCCACTTGAAGTCGCAGTTGTCGTGCCAGAGCAAAATGGTGTCGCGCCAGAAGCGGGAGATGACCACTACGCCGTCGCAGATGCCGTTCTGAGCACAGACCGCCTCTCTGTACGTGCTGCGGGTCGACCGAAGGCAACAAGCTTTTCTCTCGCTTTGAACGTGCGGGAACCATTCTTCGACGACCAGGCCAGCTACTTCGTGATGGTCTGTCGCGGTTCGCGAGACAACAACGTCGACGCTATTGTGAATTCGATGCTGTCTGCGAGGCGGCTCTGTGTGGTCTCCGAAGAACATGTGCCAGGTACTAGTGGGAATAAACGAGTTCATCCTGAAAGTGGTAAAAGCTACACCCCGCGGAATGGTAACAAAAAAGTAAAGTCTGGGGCAGCATCGTCGCTGGCTTCATCAGGCGGGCCCTCGTCGCGACGCAAAAAGCGCGAGAGCACGGATAGCGTGATTCTGATCCAGGATGAGGATGCAGATGTGTGCCCCTTATCGTTGAGCGAAATCCAAGTCGCCGCCGTCGGGTCCAGGTGTCAGCACCGGTTTGACCTGAAATCGTTCCTGCAATATTCCCAAGCAAAGACTATTTTGCGTCGATTCTGCTGTCCCGTCTGTGACGACTTCCTTTTCTGCCCACGCTCGCAAGCGTATTGGGACGGAAATACGACTTTGAGTACAGCTTGGAGTCATGTCAAAGTTCTTTAAATGCGCAGTCGCAGGAGTCCTCAAAATTAATGATTTGCAACAAGCAAGAAGCATCGCATTCCTTTTCGTGGGAAACCGGATGGATTCCCTGTATCATGTGCACGTGCATCGGGTGTTCATCGTTATGCCAGTCAAGAGGAAATCGAAATACGGTTGCAGTTGTGTCTACATCGTACGTCGTCTGTGGCTGAAAAGCCCAATCATGAATCTCGTAGAACGATCTCGTAGAGATCGTGCGACATGAAATTCAGAGGTTAACAAGGATGACACAGATCACGGCGCTATGATCCTGATCCTGATCTTAGAGGATTGGTTCGAGGCAAAGGCTTTCTGTGTGTGTTGATTCTGTTTTTTTGCTACAGTGATCACGAAAGCACCACCAACAATACGTTCACCCACGAGAGATCAGGTCTCTTGACGACGCTGGAGAGAGATTGCTTGCCCAGGGCGCAGCTCCATGGAAGCACGTTTTTACGAAGAGAGAGCCTTGTTGTTTGTCGCTTTTTCTATGACACCATCGAACGACTAGATCCAAAGTTCCTGCGCTCGCTCCAAGCTCGACGCAAGGGCTACAACAGAATGAAGCTTTTGGTCGTCTTTCATGTGCTACTCTCCTGGATCTCCTTCGTCTGTGTTGCGCAGGTGCACGGACAGGAGCATCTGTCGTTCGAGAGTGGCGCCTCAGTACGACCAGTTGCTGACGATGAGAACCCACGTGCGTACCTGATACCGGATAAGGTGGCAAAAAACAACGATGGAACGGCTCCTTTGCCGCCTCCAAAGCCGAAGTATGATTTTGCGCACCGGACCTTTGTGCGGATGCGCACGAAACCGCGGCTGATAGCGGATCAGATACCGCCGGTGGACATGACCTTTTTCGTCGACTACCGATCTGAGGACCTCTGGCGCATTGACTACTTCAACTTTTTGCAGGTGGACTACCACTTGGGAGGAGGGAGCAGCGCTACGACAAACGCGACATCGGAAAGCCCGCAGAGTGGCCCTAGACAAGGGAATGGTGGGTTTTTTGCTACGTCCACCGCCTCGTCATCAGCAGTTCGAGAAGAGAGTCAGGGGAATGCCTATGCTAGAAACGGAGAGCTGCTGCTTGACGGTGCTGCCAAGGACAGCAGCGAGGTAGGAGCGGCCGGTTCTAGGAGGCAAAAAACCGATGGCCGACAAGGGATTGTTCAGACTGTTTTTGGTGCTGGCACTACAACTGCAGACAAGAGCACACATAAAGAAAAAGAAACTAAAACCGCCTCTGACAAAAGTACGTCTGAAAAGACGAAATCCAAAAAGCGAAAAAACTACAAGTACTTATACAAGAACGGGGCCCGGGCGTGCATTACCGAGGACGAGAGTGCGGAGACCCATGCGGGCGGCGGCAGTTCCTGGTACAAGTTGGAACTGTTTCCGGATCTCACGAACTACACCTTCACGGGCACGCTCGTTGTGAACGATATCCTCTGCCATGAGTGGACTTCCGGTGTGCCCCGGGACGAAGTTTCGGTCGACAAGGGCGGGTATTTGAAGTTCTACACAGATGCGACTAGCACGGTGTCGTCGACGACCCGTGCGAGAGATGGTGCGGCAGCAAAGAATGGAACTACAAGTACACCAGAGATGACCTCCACATCAGTACCAGTCGGCGCGCCGGTGAAGTGGCTGGCGTTTCGTGCACGAAATCCAGCGTTTGATGCGCATACCGACGTGTGGGAGATGGACTACTTGCTCTTCGAGCCGTCCTACGATCCTGAAAACATGTTCGACATCCAATCGCAACTTCGAGTTTTCGACCTGCCGAAGGAGTGCGCGGAGAACCCCATCGTGTTTCCGTCCATGTCGCTCAAGTTTGGAATCGGGAAGAGGCAGGAACCGATCGAAATACGAGGAAGCAAAGTACATGCGGAAGAAGAGGCACGAGTAGAGGCAGCAACCCCAACTACATCATTTTCCGAATTGTACGACCGAACTAGTGCGCACGGTCATAGGCTTGACCCTGTGGTGCGACTCGGGCAAATGCTGGCGGAAAAAACAGTTGCCGAGGAGCAAATGACATTGTGGCTTGCTCCTCGAGAAGAAGAAGAGCTAAGGTTTTTGCTACAGCATCCGGATGTCCACGACCACTTGTTTCGTCACAGAGGAAACCTGCCTGTCGAAACGGAGGAAACACTGCGAACTTGGCACCGGCAGGTCTTTGGTAAAATTGAATCTGAACTACTGCCACATGAGAGAGGCGCTGTCTCTGGTAATGCGCACATTAGTACTTCTTTGGTCGTCCCTCCACTGCCTCTACACGAAGAAGCTACAACGACGCTGGAGCAGCAAAAGAGAGAAGATGAAAAACAGAGCCAAAACCAGCAGAAAGAACAATCCGAAGATGATTCACCTTCATCCCTGGACGCTGACGAGCAGCCGCTGTTGGGCCGTATCGGGGTGTTCACGCCCGGGTTAGGACTAAAGCGGGAGAAGAACGGGGTTCAAGTCGTGTTTGTGAAAAACGGCACGGTTTTTCCCGTGCTCCCCAGCTTCTACGATTTGCGGTTTCTCCTCGGGCCCGTGAAGGACCAGGGCATTTGCGGGAGCTGCTGGAGCTTCGCGTTTATGGCGCCGGTCGAGGCGCAGCTGGCCAGCCGCGGGCAGCAGGTGGACAGCCCGGGGGGTCTCAGCGAGCAGTTCATTCTGGACTGCGCGTGGGGCCCGGGCTCGCACGCCTGCGACGGCGGAAACGCGGGCGCGTCGGCGCTGATCGACATCCCGATTCCCGACGCCACCGCCTACGGGGGCTACCTGTCCGTCGCCGGCCGCTGTCACACGCCCCTGCGCAGTCGGGCCGTGGCCACCTACTGGATCCTGGTGCCGGCGTTTCAGAATCTCGCCACCCGCGTCCGGACGGTTAAAGAGGCTTTGTTTCGCAAAGGGGTGCTGAGTGTCGTGCTCCAGGCCGTGCCCGAGGTGCTGTACTACGCCGGCGGGGTCATCGACGCGGAATCTTGCGAGAGCGTAAAACTAGAAGACACGGACCACGCCGTCGCACTTACCGGCTTCGAGGACGGCAGCGCGAAGCCCAGCTGGTCGCTGCGCAACTCCTGGTCCACGGCCTGGGGGGAGCTGGGCTACTTCCGCATGTCCCAACAGCGGGATTGTGGCGTCACTTTGGGCGCTGCCTACCCTAAAGTGAAGGAGGATAGTACTACACAAGGGTGACTCGACATGGGCAAAGTTACCTTTTGCATCTGTAGCCTGCATCACGTGGCAGCAAATGAAATTTGCGTAACGCTAAACAAAAAATCAACGCGGGCAGGCATCGATAATGCCGGCGGACTTGTTGTGTTTTGAGTTCGGGCATCATCTTCAAGCATTTCCGCGGTCCAAGACTGGTTTCTTTTCTTTTCTGTCGAGGGTTGCGTCGGCAGGCACGCAGTCGAGAGCGAGAGTGAGCTGCAAAGTGGCGCAAAAGCAAAAGGTGAATATGAATATCTTTGATCAAGGACATGGCGATTCTACACGCTTTTTTTTGCGATCTCTAATGGAGCGATGGAGCGATTGTCCTGTAGGGTGGAGTTTCTCTGGAACTTGGCTGATGCCTTAGTATTTTCCGACACCCGGAGCTCTTTCCAGCACAAATTTTGCAAAAGCATCAGCAGGAGCTGTGGACGAGGCCCTGCGGCCCTCACAAAAACATTAGTTTTCTGACAGCATCGTCCTCGTTCTTCATTTTTCGCACCGGGTTGGATAACGCTTAAATCGTAGGAAGAACGCCCACATAACGAACACAAAATGGACTCTGCGATTTCGCAGTTGTTCCACGAGTGGGCGGATCCCACGTCTACGCCGGTCGCGGTCACCTTTCCCGACTTGTGTTGCTTACTTCGGTGGTACGCGGTGTTCGACCCGCGCAACCTGACGCACCTGGACCTGCTCGCGCTGTGGGACCTGCTGGCCGACGACCTGGGTCTCGGCGACGATGAACAGGTGATGTTCGAGGAGGAGCTGTTTCCGTTTCTGCTGAAAAAGGTCGCCGCCATTTTGTACGACCACGAACCTGTGGAAGAAGGGACCAACGAAGATTGGCTCTGCGAACAGCTGCTGAACGACTTGGCGCTCGCCGCACCGCAGTTTCGGAATCCCGAGCATGAGCGACGCGCCAGGGACCAGATGCGAAGGTATGAAGAATGATAGAGAAACCGAAACGAAAACGAAATCGAAATAGACAAGCCTACTAGAAGGCCCCCTCTTGTTCCCTTTGTAAAGACACATACGAAATATGAAAAAAGAAACCTTACAGGTTTTTCGGTCCAGTGTTCGAGAGTGAGAACCTGGAGGCTGCGTACGACCACGGCGGCGCTCTGGCGGCGATTTTTACGCACTACGTAGAAACCACGACCGAAAATGAAGACGAAGACGAATTTCTTTCCACGCAGCGCCTAGAGCGCATGTGTCTGGATTTGGCGGTCCTGCCGACGTTGGTGACGCACGACACCTTTCTGCAGGTGGTGCACCAGTACGGGGAAGAAAGCTACGACTTCGGACAGTTTGTGGAGGTTTTCCTGGCGCTGTTGCTCTCCTGTGAGGATGAGGTGGAAATGCCGATCGTTTTCCCTGGCACGACGACGACCGGTGTTGAGCAAACAGGAGAAGCTGGCTCGAAGAAAGCAGGTCCGACGGTGTTGAGTGGCGCCATGAGTGTACCGGAGTTGCTGGAATCGCTGAAAATTCCAGTCAACGCCGAGTACGAGAAGCAGCAGCACCGGCTGCCGTTTTTGAAGAAGCTGCAGGAAACCGAGGCGGCGGATGATGAGGTCGCCGCGCTAGCGGCACTCGCTGAGGCGGACAAGCTGTTCGAGCCGCTCCCGCCCGCGTGCGACGCGGTGCGGCTGGGGAAGGACGACTTCACGGAGCAAGAGCTGGCCGGGATGCCGATGCAGCCGCCGCCCATCGAGGAGGTGATCGCGAAAGCGCACGCACCGAAGGCGAAAGGGAAGAAGGGCAAAAAGAAAAAGAAGAAGGGCGACACACCGGCGTTCCCCCGTCCGGAGGCTGGTACGTGCGTCTGGATGACCAAGCGACCGCTGAAGGAACCGGTCACGAAGCCTCCGCAGTGGGACCTGTTCCAAACCGGGGTGAGCGAATCGCTGGCGTCCCGCCAGAAGCTGCGGAGCAACTACGTCGCGAATTGGCTCTTGCGCCCGTCGCTCATCGACGAGCCGCTCGACCGGCCGGACGAAGCGATTTTCCATCCCTCAGCGCTGGCGCTCGTGGAGACGGGGTCCCAGCACCGCAACCGCGGGAATCTGCATGCCGCGTTTTTTTCGTTTTGGAAAGCGCTGGAGATCGAGCGTGGAAAATTGCGTGCCGGCGACGACAAAAGCAAACCCTTTTGGGAGCCGACGTACACGGAGCAGGTGGACGTGATTGCGATCCTGCGCGAGCTGATTCACTTCGTCGAGCAGCCCTTCTCTGCCGCCAGTGCGGGCGGGGGAGGCGCGAGTACTGCGCTAAAAGAAGTTGAAACTTTTCTGCTCCTGTCCCTCGCAACGATCGCCACGGGCTTGTACCTGGACGCGCTGGCGGTCACGCTGGCGTTTGCGGTTTGGAAGAAATTAAGAAACGCGAGTCGCGAACTGGATGTGCTCGCCCGGAAACAGCTCGGAACGGTTCTGTTCCGCCAGGGCGCGTACAAACTTGCAGCCCGGAACTTTCTGACCGTCGTGAAAATGCAGGAGGCCATGCTGGGCGACTGCGATGTGGCTCTCGCGGCCTCTTACAACAACCTTGCTACCGCATACATGCACCTGACGCCCTTTCCGCGGAACCGCGAGGCCGTCGCCTATTTCACGCTGGGCGCAAAACTGATGAAGCTCTTCGCGGAACCCACGCACCCTGGGCAGCCGGTGTTCGTACGAAATTTGGAACGCGCACAAGAAGCGTCTCGGGGCACACGATTCGCAGTGAAGCCGCACTTGTGGTACATCAGTTTGCCGGGAAAGCCAGCGAAAGGGAAAAAGAAAGGCAAGAAAAAGAAAAAGTAAACAGTGAGTAAGTGGGGCGCGCTTTTGAATAGATTTGCAGATGCGAAACGCGGCGCTTTGTATCGTCTTCGTTTTTGTGCTGAAATTGAGTGAGAAGCAAAACAAGCAGATAGCGCCTCTTAAGGTAAGTGCGGTAGCCGACTTGACGTTGTCTTGTTCTCGTGGTTCTTGTTTCTTAGTATGGAGGTGAAGCTTTCAAAACTTTTTTTTTGGTTTCTGTTTGTTCTGTTTACTCTACCCTCGCATGCGCTGCCTGGTTGATCATGTTTTTCAGATCGTGTCTTTTTTGGTTTCATGCCTTGAGATTCGAGCAAAGGGTTGGTTTTATGCCTTGATCACGCAGTCGTTCGTGCATTTGGTTCCATTCGCAGGACGATCTGTGACTTGCACTTACTCTCTGCAGTTGATCTCAAATTTTGGAAATATGCGGTGTCCTTTTTTGAAGCACATTCAGAATGATCACGATCAAGTCTGAGGTCTGCATTACGTAACCCTCCTCCATTCGGGATTTGATATCGCTAGAAAAAACTGGAACTGCAAGGAGGTATTTCTTTGGCTTCTTACGATACAGGAGCTTTTACACCACCAGTGCAGCCGACGGGAAAACAAAGAGCGCGGCAAAAGAAGAATGGAACTGGTACAATGCTCTGAACGAACGAGCGGTCGGAACAAATGTGGGCAAGCCGTGGCCGACGACGGTGGTGCAAATTTTGACGCAACAGGCTTTTGCAAAAAGAGCCACGTGGCGTCGACATTAGACCTTCGAGCACCCCGAGGTCCGCGACCATGTCTTCGCATTGTTCAGCAACGAAAAATTGTGGTGAAGAGCAGAGGGCTTCTACGCTCCCGGAGGAAATTATGGCCTCTCGCGCGAAGTCTACTTCTTTGTACGCAAGAGGGCCCCGGACGAGCCACGGCATCGCGAAGCAAGTTCATGTTGGTCGCAGCGGCTCTGGTTTCGATCTTCACTGCGCTGAGCGTTCTGCTCGCGCTTCTGACAACCGTTGCCGACGCGATTTTTATCGACTACGACTGCGCTTTCGGGTCCTACACCTACGACTGGACCGCAATTTACGACATGATCATGAAAGACTTTCTCGGCTCCGGTCGCCAGTCCATGGAGATTCCCGCGTTTGTCAGCCAAAATGTGGTCCAACTGTTGGACAAGGGCAAGCGCGAGTGCCCCCTGGGCGCCATGCAGATCGCGCTCATGTTTTACTACTACACGCTGAGGGACTACGAAAATTCCATACTGAAACTCGTTGTCGGGGTGAGACGCGAAATCCTGAAGTTTAGCAGCGGCACACTGGATTTGAACCTTGCAATATCCGAGATTCGCGAAGAACTGCGCTCGCTGCAACAAAGCGAAGCAGCAAAACTGTCGTCCGACGCAGCAAGCACTGCTGCAATACCGGATGATGCAACGAGTCTTGCGAACACAACGTTTTTGGCCCCGCAACTGAACCTTCCAACAGAAGAGGAGCTCGACAGAATTCTCAAGCCGGAGTTCCACCCGAAGATAAAAATCAGCAAAACGGTGATGGCCGAATCGGTCGAACTCGTGAAGGAGACAACCGTGAAGTTCAAATTGCCCAACGCGACGACTATATCGGTCGTCGCGCCGCATGTCTGGCGAGAGGCGCTGCTGAACGAGCTGGGTAGAGAACCGAAAGAGAAGGAGCTTTACCTAGACGCACTTGCGTTCATGCTGCAGTACTTTCAGTCCCGCAACGGGCTGAAGTGGGAAGATTTTGCCGCCGACGTGCTGAATTTTGTCGACGCAACTCCCAAAAGAAGTGCAGCTGCGACAAAAAGTACCTCTGAATCTTCAGATGCCGCCAAATCGCTTGCGGGCGGCGAGCACGGCGACGTCGTGTTGAAGCTTTTCTACTACCTGGCGATGACTCTAGATCGTTTTTTCGACGTTGTCAACGCCGCTGACTCGCAGCTGCGGCCCGGGAGTCTGAAGGACAAGCTGAAGATTCTGATGCTGGTTCTGCAGGAGCTGGGAAATGTTGACGAGCTGAGTACGCTGGATTTCGCGCGCCGCGAAAGGCTCTTGTCCGACGTGTTTGTGTACTCCCGTGCGGATCACAAGGACCTCGCCAAGACCGACACCGGCATTCCGCTGAAGCACGAGATGCGGGGGAACACCACGCGCCCCCAGCGGGGGAGCAACTACCACGTTCGGACGCAGCTGCAGGACCCGCAACTGGGGTTTATCGACAGCGAATACGAGTGGCTGGTGAACGAGGAGATCTTGGCAAACCAGGGGAGTTTGGACCCGCAGGAAATGGAGTGGGTGGAGGTGGACACGTCCAGCCACATCAAAGCGCCGCCTCTGGTCTTCCGACGGTTGTACCCAAACGTCGACCCCAATTTTGACCACGAAGCCGGGCTGGCGAACGAAGCAAAAAAAGCGGAGAAGCTTCCGGACTTGAGCTACACGCACTTGAGTTCCGCCCTTCGCTGGTTCTCGAACGACTTCTTGAAGCAGATGAGCGTCGCGCACCCACTGATCCAACAGTGCATCACCGAGATTTCCTACTATTCGGACCTGATCCAGGTCATGCTGCAGCAATATTCGGTCACGATTCTAGCCGAATCCCGGTGGCCCATTTTCGAGGGCTTGACACTGCACCAATGGAACCACGGAGTATCAAAAGAGTACTTGTGTACGGAGATGGGCGACAAAAAAGGGTTGTTGCCCTGGAACGAGGTGCGCGTTCGGCTCGGGGAGTGGTCGCAGGTGAAAAGTTTGAAGATCCAGTATCCGGGGAATGAAGAAATTGACGAAATCAACCTGGAGCTGGAGCGGTACACGGCGGAAGTCGTGCAGGCGACCTTGGGAAGTAAAGCCATGCACGCCCAGTCCGAGGTGGAATGTCCCTTGGCGTTGATGCTGGTAGCCTGTATCGAAATCTCCAGCGCGGCCAATCGCTACAGCGAGTACGTGCCGAATTTCGAAGCCCCGGTGAATATGATGTTCGAGACATTGAACTGGCAGCGGATCAGCGCTGCGGGGTGGCCGATATGGCAGACGCTGGTGTACTATTCGGACATCAACAAGGGAGAATTTCTCTTCTCGCCCGACAAGAAGTACAGCCGCAAGTTCTTGGACCTCGATTTGCGCGACAACGAACTGAATTTGTACGACTACGAAAATCACCAGTTTGGGGATCTGCAGGCCCTCCGAACGGCGCCGAGCCTGGGCGCCTGGGGTGGGCACGTGCGCAGCATTTTACTGCGCAAGCTCGCGGAGCCCGAGTTCCAGCTGCGGCCGATCTTTGTCAAGGTGCTCAACGCGATCGCGGTGGCGCTCGGGTTCGAACGGCTGCTGGAAACCGACAGCGACACCGCGGACGCGGGGGAGGTGTACTGCGGAAATTTTTTCGAGGAGCACTATTTGAAGGCGCTGGAGGCGCGGGACCGCATGCGCGCCGCGGGGCCGAACGGGGCCCACGTCGCCTCCTCGCTCGACGCGAAGATCGCCGGGTATGATAAGCTGATCACGGAAAACATTCTCGCACGGGACCACATCAAGCTGCCCGGCGTGAAGAAAGTCGACGGTAGCGTGGCCGTGACCGATGACCGCAGTCTCGAGCAGCTGGTGGAACCGGAAGTGAAAAACCACCCGCTGCCGGTGATTTTCCGCGAAGAGGCCATTCTGGTCGACAAGGGGCCATTATTGAATTACCTGTTCCAGCAGGAGTTCGGCTTGGAGTGCGGGGGGTCCGGCGTCTCCATGAGCGACTGCGTCCAGGAACGCGGCTGCTGTATCGCGCGCGCCGATCCTCGTGCCGCTGCCGCGAAATCCCGGAGCGCCGAGGAAGCGGCGCAAAGCGGCGACGAGCTGTCGGACCGGCAGAAAAAGCTGAAAGAGTTCCAGCCGAACCAGAGCAAGAAAAACTGGAGCCAGGAGGAGGCGCGGTTCATCGAGCAGAACCGAGAAGGCGATTTCAGCGGAACAACCTTGTCGAAGCAGCATTTGCCACAACCAGTTTGTCTGCATCACCCGCAGACTCGACTGGTGTTTCCGATGAGCCAGGGACGACCGCAGTACTCGCCGTTGGGGGCGGTGTACGAGAAAGAGGTACTAAATTGATGCGTGGTGATTTGTTTTGTTTTGAATACCAGGATCGATCAGCGAATAAAACCTGCGACTCGTGTCAATGCTCTTCATTGCTCTTAGTTTCATCTTCAGCGAATTCCAGCAGGCGTATTCCATTCATATCGAACAGCTTTCGGACGGGCGTGCGGGCGTCGACAGCGAGAACAATCGCGCGGTGACACGCAGCGCCCGGCGACTGGTTCTCGTAACTCTGCTGTACGGCAAGAACTGGTCTGAGGTACTGCCAATCATGCTCGGACGGCTCTACGGGCAGCTGCAGATCACGTATCCGATGGTTGTTGTGAGTGTGGGCGAAACCGCCTACACCACATGTTTGAAATACCAGACCTACGGCCGCGTGGGGTGCTGGCAACCGAAAACAGAGTCACAGGTATTTTTGGGGTTTTGCAACGACGGTTTCTTTCGGTTTCGTCCTGTTTTTCCTTTTCGTTCGGGATGAAAACCTTGCCTGTTCCGTTTCTCTACTAGAAAATGTTTTTCCACACTACAAAAAATACCAGGTGCACCGCTTCACGATTATCTTCTTTCTGATGCAGCTCGGTTTGGAAATTCTGTATTTCGACATGGACACGTACGCGGTCCAGGATTTTATCACGCCAATAGTCGAGTACGCTGACCGGGGAAACCACGACATCCTGTTCCCACAGCATCCCGACGGGCCCTGCATCAACATTGGATTGTATTCGGTTTTTTCATCTACCTCGCGTGTTCCATGCAGTGTCAAACTGATTTCGTTTATAACCAAAGAGCCAGCTGCAGCTCCCATGAAGACGTTGTTCATTTCTACAAAAGGTTCTATTTCCGTCCCACGATTCTGACGCTGCAATGGTTCCACGACTTTTTGGAGTGGTATCACTCGTACCCGTACGAAGTAGACCAGAGAGGCTTGGACGCACTTACCTACGCAAACTCGACGTTGAAGGTCTCGCACCAGCCAAGGAGGGTAGACATGTCGGTGGCCAGCCCATACTGGGTAGAAATGAAAGCTTTTTTTGATGTTGGTTGTGACAAGCAGTGTGTGTATGTGTGATGGAATAAAATCCCAAAAAGCAGAAGCGACGAGAAACGTCACTAAAACACGCAAAACAGGTCGACAGCCTGCGCACATACGTGATGATGGCCCCGCGGGGACCGTGGATGGGGGACCACTACAACGTGAAGTTCATTCACTGGTTTTCCCGCACGTTTGACGACAAGTGGCCGGAAATCCAGATTGCCTACAACGCCGGCGACCGTGCGGCCAACGAGGGCATGTCGTTGTCGCAGGCGATGCGCTTGCTGAAGAACCACCCGGAACTCGCCGAGAAAAACGAGAACTTCCGGGACATCAAAATGCTCATGGATGTCATGGACATCTACAAGGTGGACAAAGTACCCGAGAAACCCAAATGCTGGTAAAAAATTACTGGCGAGACAAGTAGTTGGTGAAGACACCCGCATCGAGGGAGTGACGATTGAATATGTTTGTGAGCATCGAGTGCGTTTTCTAAAGTGAGCAAATTTGTCATCGAATAGAGGTAAGTACTACGCAACGAACAAAACAGACTAGTTTGAACAGTTACTCGGAATGGAAGAAGAAAGATTGTCATTACTTTTTTTCAAACAGGGCCGCGTAATTGCAATTTTAAAAAAATGGTCACGCTTTCGGTGTTTTTTCGAATGATTCGGAAGGAGTCATGCAAATGAAGTACCTCAGGAAATAATCGTCGTCCGATATGTCGAAAACAGGAGGGATCATCGTTTCGCTTTCGTCTGGAAAAAGTTTTAGCCCTTTCGAATTCCCAAAAACTCGTGCAGTACCCAAATTACGAAGAAAGAATCAGAATCTTGTCACAAAAAAATAGTTGCAGTTTTCGTTTTTTTTGGAAGCGCTTGATAAACAACTAGGGGGTAGAGGGGTGCTTTAAGAAAAGAAAAATGCCTCCGCCAGGCAAATCGCCGATGGCGCGCACGGGAGAGCCGATGATGACGCGTTGCGCATCGGAGCCGCTCGAGCGCTTTGGCAGCTACCAAAGGATGTGGGAGTTGAGGCTTCAGCCCCAGACACTCAACGTCTACCCGAGTCAATTTGCGGTGACTGACATCAAGATGCAAGACAAGCACCAGACGCAATACCAAAGCTACGAGACGCTCAAGTATTGTTTGTTTTAGTTTTCGTTGTCCCTTCACCATCTTGTGACTTAGACTTCTATCGAGGTGATCTTGATTGCAGAAGATAAAGATGTACATCGGAAATCATCACAAAATCAATTTGTCTGAGGCAACACCGAGTAAAGCACACACGGTGTCTGCATCACGCCAGTGACACTTTCGGGAAGGCCTACACCACTTCGCACGAGTACGGCTGGCACTACAATAAGACGCAGCCTAAGCGCGAAGAGCTGTGGTACCCAATCAGTTCCAGTCCCATGACCAAGTTTTACGACAACCTGACCCAGATCGGGATCAAGCTCGGCAAAAAGTAAGGCGCCACCCATTAATTTTACCCCTCCCCGTTTCTTGCAATGCGGCTCCTCTTACCGCGATATTTTTTGTTGTATCATTCAATGTTTCTGCTGTACTTTTCTCCTCTGATCTTTATCCTACTCATTCTGATGAAACTCTACTTCTGCGGAACGAACACCTCATCAAAGATTCTTATGATTACAATCAACGCACGTTTCTACTTCTAGTTGGATCGTGAGAGAACTTTCAGTTGGCAAGAGCTACTGAGACCGGTAAATGAACGACGAAAACGCACACAAAAGTTTATTCTAGACTAAAACTTTCATCGAGCTTCTTCTCGCTTCTAAGTTTTTGCTACCTGTATTACGTGTGGAATTTTGCCACACCAAAGGAGTTGTTTTGGAAATCCGGAACTTACGATTGGCGACACTATGTTCGGCCAATCAGACGCCAGGCGTGTCCGTGCGGCAGAGAGAAGAGCGACAGACCCCGAGTGAATAAAGTATGTGTCAAGTAATATTCGTGCCGATTGAGCGACAAAATCCGAAGTCATGCCTTCATCGCTTCGTCCGTGTACCGAAATGCCATGTCGTACTTGCGAAGCGACATGGCTTCTCGAGAGGACATACAAGCTCAATCTCGCGTTTGCCTTTTGTTCGCGTTAGGGTTCGACACAGTCTTTCGATCACCAGACGGGAATGTTTGTCGATGCAACAGCATTAGAGGAATAAGTATCGAAGGACTACTACTCTCTACTGGCCATAAAAATTCCAACCATGAGCTCGTCCGACAGCAGTTTCTCACCTCCGCGCGACAAAAGCGCGCAGAAGAAGAAGAAGGCCGCTGCCAGCTCGTCTTCGGACTCCTCCTCGGGGTCCTCTGGGTCTGATACCGGCTCCCCGTCGACCCGAAATAAAAACTCTCCAGCACCAAAAAGTGCAGCCAAGCTGACCGCACTTCCACTGGGGAAGATAAGTCGGCGCGGGTCCACGTCGCCCTCTAGTCGGAAGACCACGGAAAGGAAAGTATCCATTAGCGAGCGGACGCAGGAGCTGAATTACAGTCGCAGAACCCCGATAGAGACAGCGGCGCAGCAAGGCAGCACGGGAATAAACAAGAAGGTTGCGTCGAGCGCGCGAAGCAGTGTAGCAAAGAAATCGGGCGTCACTTCTTCTTCGAGCGACGATGATAGCGCTTCCAAAAGTCGCCCGACCACGGTTCGGCGGTCGAGTCCCGGGGGGAAATCTAGTGCGAGAAAAAGTGAGGGTGCAGCCGGGCAGAAGTCACAGAAGTCGTCCTATCGCAGCGGCAAAACGGTGCTGGACAACTGGGATAGTAAAAACAAAGAAAGTTACAGCAGGCCAAGTTCCCGAGGAGCGAAGGCTGCATCACCGCCGAAACTGACGACAAGTGCGCGCAAATCTTCCGGTGGTGGTGGGAAAAGCACGAATAATTATAACCTCGCGGATAAAGAGAGTCCGAAGCGCGAGGCGGCACAGCTTTCGCCCAAGATGAGTCGGCGGACAAGGCCAGCGACGCATCGCTCGTCGCCTCCGGGAACGCCGCCACCGCAGGGCGATAGCACGGACAACACGGATTTGGTGCAGGTTGTGGAAAAAACGAGCTCTGCAGGGACAAGAATCCGTGCAAGCGGAGGCGCGAGTGTAGCTCTGGCGGTGCCAGACGTGGACGAGAATGTGCTAGAGTTGCCGGCTGTGAACCTTGACACCAAAGCTGCTGCATTGCGCGCTAAACTGGAGGATTCGGAGTTTGTGGAAAAATTTCGGGGCGCAATAGGAAAGTGCGCGAAAGAACGAATCGTGCCTGCTGGTAAGAGTGCTTTAGGTTACCCGAGCCTTTGGCTTTGCGATGCCTTTTGTTATCTCAATCTTTTCTAAATTTACCTTGTGATTACAAATTCTGTCCATTCCCAACAATATCAGGTCCAACGATCGCGGCCATCCTTCGGGGCAGAACCGCGTCCACCGCAGACGGCGAGAGCTCCCCCGCAGCGAAGTCTGGCCCAGTTCGTGACTACCTTGCACGACATGTGTTTCCATTCCTAGAGGACGCATTGGTCGAGGCACTGGTGCAGGAGGGGACTGGCGATTTCGGCGAAGCCCTCGCTGAAAAAGTCCTAGCGCACGGCGGCACGAACGTCGAACTCCTGTCACAGCGCCATTCGACAAGCAGCCCAGGGGGTGAAGTGAGTAGCACGTGAGCAGGTGGGTGTTCGTATCACTAAAAACAGTTTCAGAATGATTAGTTTGCAACACCTCGACATCGCGTATCAAGGATCAGGTTGCTTTGAATGCTCGCGGAATGAACGCAAACGCAATTTTCCGATTTCAAGAATGCCCCAGAGTTCGTAAATTAATAGAAAAAAGGACGGGGCATGTTGCCGCGAGAAAACATGTTTTCAAGAAGTACGATGTGTCTTGAACAAATTTTATCGGTTCAAGTCTGTCAGTGAAGCAAGTCAGATGAGCCAGGCTGCGTGCTTGACGACGGTGAGCGGAAGAGCGGGAAAAAGTTGCACCACTGCATGAAGAGCTAAAATACTTAGCTACAGTGTGGCTGAGAAACTAGAATTATCCTCTAATCCAAAATTCCAATTCACAATTGCAACGACGAGCCAAAAAACTATGTCCGCCAAAGCTTTGCACTCGCTGCAGGCGCCGATTGGCCGTGCGCCGTGGCGCTTAGAACGAATCAGCCAGCACGTGGCTTCTCGGAAGGTATTCCCTAGCTTTTGCCATTGTGGATTTCTCCGTATGGATTGATACAACGATGCTAATGTAGCAGTGTCCCTTACGAATACGAATCAATCGGGATTCTTCTCTGGGGTCGCAGTTTTTGTACTGTTGGCCTTCGTTTATGAATCCAAGAATAAATTGAGACTCTCTGATCCATCGTGCGATCAACCGACCGTACTTGTGGCTTGCTGCAAGGCGCTCAGTTCTCGTATTGATTCATGAGAATGTCACCGTAGGCGTAGATCGCAGGTGTCGTTTTCTGGATAACAGACAGTCCTACATCCGAGATGAGTCTTCAACATCAAATTCACCCGGGCACTGCATAGTAAGTACTTCTCCCTCTCTCAAAAATCGAGGTCACTTCTGAAGCCGCTCCGCTTGCGCAGCGAGTCGCGGGTTCCGCTTCCAGAAAGCCAATCGTTGTGACTTTGATAGGGTCCGGCAACAGTGCGCATGTGTGCGCCAGTTTGTTCGAGAAGAATACGGCGGGAAATGTCGAGACGCAACTGTTGACCAGCGATCCAGCGGTTTGGGTGGAGAACCCGGAAGTAGTGTTTCCGAACGGCGCGAGGCAGTACGGGAAAATCAGCAAGAAGAGCGACAATCCCGCAGACGTCATCCCCAATGCGGATATTGTGCTCTGGACCGGCCCGGTGTTCTGCACGGTGTCCGTTTTCGAGAAGATCAAACCTTTTGTCGACGTGCAGCGCACGAAGATCGGCACGATTTTTGGGCAAGGCTTAGTCCACTTGTCCGCATCCCGCGTTTTCGGCCCCCACGTGAAGTTCTTCGCGCTGCGCAACATCCCCTGGCTCTGCAGACTGGTCGAGAAGGGGCGAAAGTGCGAGATTGTCGGTCCGAAAACAACCCTCGACGTCGCACTGCTCGGGTTCGAAGAATTTGAGAAGGAAAATTTCCTGCAGGAACAGCTGCATCCCTTGTTTCACTGTTTTCACGGCATCGGGAAAGCGGAGCCGGTGCTCCAACTTCTCCCAGATTTTACTCCGATCGTCTTCAACCCAGCGAACCAAATCATCCACCCGGCGGCCTACTGGGGTCACTTCCGCAGCTTCGACGGCGTGAACGGACTACCGCTGGGTCCGGTCGTCGGGGAGTATCTGTATCGCGGAATGACCGAAACGGCGGGGGAATTACTGCTAGAGCTGGACAAGGAGTTGCAGGGCATCAAGAACGCGTATTCCACCGCGGTTGGACCTGAATTTTCCAGAGGCTGCGACCTTGTGTCTCCTCTCGAAACGCGGTTACTGAAGCAGTACGGGGACCAGATTGCGGATAAGAGTTCCATGGCGAAAATGGTGGGGACGAACCAAGCGTACAGCATGGCGAAGACGCCCCACGTGAAGGGAGCTGCGGGTCGTGAAGATGCTTCTTCTTCGTCCGGGGTTTTTCCGGCAAAGAATCATCGGGTGATGCAGGACGATATCGGGTGGGGGCTGTGCGTGTTACTGTCGGTTGCGGAAAAGTTGGAAATACAGTTGAAAAAACGTATTCCGACGACGATGATCCGGGCGATGATTGAGTGGCACCAGGTGATCATGGAGAAAGATTTTCTCCGCGATGGGAAATTGATCGGCGAAGATTGCGAGAGTGTGGTCCTGCTGCGACCGACGGATCCTTTAGAGGCTGTCTCCGGGGTCGGCGGGAAGTCCGGGGTATTGCACGCAGATCTCTAGTGCTCCTCGATCCAGTACGATGATCCAAATGTAGAACTACAATGGATGTAGATCCATACGAGAATACCATGCTATGATGTGTATCATGCATGAGAGATGATGAAGAACACCATGTGAATGATACGAACGTGAATGATGTACAGGTGTAGCCAAAGTGGCTTTCCTATAGAAGAATAAACCATAAGCATTCCATAGCCGCACGGCACGGCGATTAACTCTGTTCTACTCGGATCGTACTCGTTTGGGTCTTGGTTTCTAGTTCACACGGGGGGTCAAAAAGCCCGTCCGCGGGGAATAAGATGTCGAAGAAAGATTGGAGCGCGGTGGCGATTGCGGCGGTGTATAGTACTTAAGTAAATGGCTGGAAATGTATGGTTGAAGAAGAAAATTCCAGCGCACTTTCGGATAACAGGATCAACGGGAAACCGACGACGCAGTAGCAAGTTATTTTAGTCACAGGTATAATTTCGAAAGAGTGGTAATAGGCATGAGTAAGCGAATAAAAGTGAAAACGCATCAAGAAATTTTTGAAACGCTGTGTATCGTGTGTCTTTGTGAAAAACAGGGACACAGAGGAAGAAAACAAAACGCGAAGATCATGAAAAGAAATACATAGAAGCTGTAGAGAACATTAACGTAATATGTCAACGTGCAAGGCAAACCAAAGAGGTGTCGTCCTTTCAAGCGCATTCTCGTCCACAATCGTTCTCGCCAATACGGTGTACTCTTGATTGTTCTGCCTCACCATTTCGTCCATGAAAATCTCATTTGCAATCGTGACATGGCACCAAAAGAGAAAAACATCGGTCCTCAAGGTCAACTTCGAATACAAGTTGCTAAAAGCACCTCGAAGCCCAAACGGTTTTTCGCATTGTGGTCGATGATCCCTTTATTTCAAACAGAAAGAGCAGGTCTTTTTCTCCCACACCACTTTCGTGCAAGAGGAAACCCAAATTCAAATTGCGCCCCCTTGAAACTAAATTTGCTTCTTATCTTGATGTCGGCGTTCAAATGAGATGCTTCGCATCCATTTGCTTCGCCTTGACGTCGGTAAGGAAACGCGACGTGAAGATGATACAAGTACAAGTAGACTCTAGATAGATCCTGCTGCAAGCTGCAGTGATTTTTTGTACCTTGTTTTTTCTTTTCGTAGTTGTTCTCGCCGAGCTCGCGGGTAATTTATTAGAGCAGGATGTCGCGTCTCAGCCCGATCAACAAAATCGGGCTTACCGGGCGATGGGAGCGCATCCCGTATACCAGCGTGCCGAACAATGTCGATTTGAAGAAGCACCAGATGCACGGCGAGGGGACTGTTTGGCTTCCGAAGGAAGGCGTGTGGTACGACTTCAAGTCGCAGTTTTACTTCGACCCGAAGAGAGGCCTTTGGTACAACCCCCGGTCCGGTCTGTGGAACCAGCCGGGGGAGCCGGATTGGTTCGAGCTGAAACGGGACGGGTCCGTGCCCGGTTTCGACGAGCGCGACCCTGTGGAAGAAACGGTGTACGTGGATGAGGAGGGTAACTTTGAGAACGAGGAGGGAAGGCTGATCTACGTCAACCCCTACGGCTTTTACCAGCATTTCGAGGGCAACGCGCTGGAGAAGTACCGCTTCGAATTTCGCCACCACGCGGTTTCCCCGACAAACGACAAGCAGGAGGAGCACGACGTGGAGTACATCTACTGCTACAAGGAGGAGGGGACTGGCGAGGTCCAGTATTTTACGGCAACGGGATTGCTCGTCGAACCTTTGGGAAGTGGTAAGTACAAGTACGTTTTGCAGAACGAAGAGGTGCAGCGACCCGTGATCATCAGGAACGAAATCCCGGACATCATTCTGAATCCGCCCAAGGAAAAGGGCTTCTTCGACGTGACCGACGACGAGGCAGAGGGGTCCCAGGCGGACTCGCAGGCAGAGAGGAGGAAAGAGGAAGCGGCGGAGAAGAAAAAAGCCGAAGCTGAGGCAGCGGCTGCCGCAGCGTCTGCCGCAGCGCCGTCGTCGCCGGAGGGAGCGACTTGTAGTGAGTTTGTTTTATTGATTTTAGTACATTTCTTGTCGATTTTTTCACCGAGTTTTGATGAAATAAAAAGCAGAAAAATGTTCTATCTAGCGGCAGAATGTATGAATCTTCCTTCGATATGAAACAAACATTAAAACAGCTCCTGCGTCGTCCACCGCTAAACAGGAATTGAAGGAAAAGAAAGCCGCGGAAAAAGCTAAAAAGGCTGCAGCGGACCGGCGGAAGGCGCCCGATCGCTCGTACTCACCGGAGGCTTACGCGGAGCAGGCTGCGCACAAAGAGAAACTACGCAAACAGCACCTGGACACGCTGAAGACGCCGAAGTTTGGCGGGAGCCGTCCGGTCGGGCGGCATTTGCCGGATACGCTCGAGGACATCATTGAGCACATGAAACGCGGCGATTTGATGAAGTTCGCAAACGACGACGAGGTGAGCGCGCTTCTGAGGAACGCAAACTTGCCCCCGACGCACTACCCGTTTAAGCGTCCTCCGGCACAGAAACCAATTCTCGTCTACGACCACAACCGGCCGCAGCAGGGCGACCCGCGGCAAAGTCGTCCACCGTGCATGAACTTCTACGCGGGGACCTGCAAGAGAGGCGATTTTTGCTACTGGCGCCACGACGAGGAGCCGAAGCGGAAGGGCAAGCCGGCGGCGGAAAATAAGGTGTTCTTCGACACCCTCGACTGTCCGAAAAGGCACGGGGTGACGCTGCTGAAGATGTTTCCAAGAAAGGGGTACGTGTGTGACGTCTGCGAGAAGGAAATCCCGATGTACAGCAACGTGTACCAGTGTCGGATGAATCGATGCAAGTTTGACTGCTGCCCGCGCTGCGCGAACGGTGCAAAGCAGATCAACTGCATCGCCGTAAGGGACATGAGCGACGAGACCCCGGACAATCCGACGCCGGCACCCTCGGAGGTAATCTGCGAGGAGGTGTACGACGAGGACGAGTTTTCGTCTCGCCGGGGCCGCAGTCGCGGGAGCCAATAGCATCGGATAGATTTTTTTTGGAAGACTGACACTGTAGGATTTTTGGATCAGTTTCCACCGTGTTTCCGGGAGAAGTACGGATGAAAAACTTGTACAATTACCTTTGGGCATTTTTTCGCTATAGATTGGGCGATTTTTCATCGAGCTTTGGCTTTGTTTTGTCACAGGCTTGAGCAGTCGTGGCGACTCGTGTTTGCAGATTTTCGCTATATTACAGCTTTGCGTGTTCTTCAAAAGTACGAGTCTGTAGCACTTCGGCCAGTGTCGGGTAAAATGTCGAGAAAAAGTACCTTTGGTGTCGGATTCGCTTCTGTGCTCTACTAGAGGGAGAATACAGAGGGAACAGCATTGGGTAATTACCGTCGAGAGCTGGAATTGAAAACAAGAGCGTGTCTGCTTCTAGTGCCTTTCGGAGTGTTGACGCCATTTTCTCCAGCTCCTTCTCAGACCCCGTACGAGGAGGTGAAATTAAGAGGAGCCATTTCCAAACTTGCTGCCACAATTACTATGTCCCCTATGTGTCGAAAGTTTAGAAAGGATTTTTGTCGTAAAAACGACCTCCCTATCCTCGCTTTGGCGGTCGTAAGCGGTGTACTTCTTACACTAGCCGAGGTCAAAGTCTTTCAATGGATGGCGGAGTTGAGCTTGACAAGTAGCGGCACACGTTCGCTCGAGGAAAACTTTTGGTATTCCGAAGACGACGACGCCCGTGCACGATGCGACCAGCACCGCACCACCCCCTTCGATATCGACTACACAGCGCCGCTAGCGAAGTTCTGCTACGTGATCGCGGTGCTGGTCTGCGTGGTGCTGGTAGGCACCGGGCGGAAAAAAGATGGGCGGGGAAAGAAGAAGGCGGAAGATTCATATCAGCCTACCAATGGAACAAATGCATCCGTGCACGACGAAGAGAACAAAGGCAGTCGTCCGGGATCACCCGCCTCACGGGCTGCCACGTCACCACGACAACGCGGTGCTGCGAGCAAGACCAACTCACCAGCAATAGCACCCGCTACGAGTCTCGTGATTATCGCGAACGACAGCACGGCAACTCAGGATAGCACGCGCGCATCAAGTAGGGGCAGCGCAGTTGAAAGTGCGGCGACCTCTAGTTATACAGAAGGAGCACGACCATCGGAAAATGCAGGAATTAACCCGAAGTCGAAGAAGCCCCGATTGTACCACCTCGACTACGGACGGATTCTCGCCGTGGCGTGTGTCGTCACGGAGCACTGCGGGAGCAAGGAGTATTCGAGGAGGAACACCGGGTTTGTTCTGCACTGGGTGCTCCCGTTCCTGTACGGTATCTCCGGCTACTGCTTCATGCTCTCGCGCGCCGGCCTGGTTGGCTATCTTGGGCGACTCAGTGTGTTGTTCTGTGCCGGTGTTGGGCTAAATTGGCTAGCGGACGTCTGGAACGGAAATTACAACGAAACGTGGAAGAACACCATCTTCCAAATGGCGTTTGTTCTGATGCTAATGGCCATGGCGGTGCTGCTGTATCCTTTGAAAAAGCAACTTACGTTTGCAACTACGGACGGTGAGAACGGTAATAGCGTAGATGATCGTAAGAGAGAAAGTGGCGCCTTCGCAGACGGAGATCCGAGAACGCCGCCGCTAAAAGCTGCGGGGACACTAAGCAAAGCGAAAGTTGACATTGTGGCAGGTCGTGCAAAAGGGCCGAGCAACTGTGTCTACAACCCGCTTGACGGCATTGCAGCGATTCAAGTAAGTTGCGCGAGCCCTGGGTCTCCGCTTCCGCTTTTTCCGCTGTCTGCCACCAACAAGGCGAAGCCATTAGGCGCACGCTTCGCACTGACGCCGCCGGCGCTCGGGAGGAAGAGCGGAGCGCGCTTGCTTGCAGAGGAATCCTCGTCTTCCGAGCTTGCAGATGAAACCAAGGTCGTGGTGCAGCCAGCGAGTCCGGGTCCGCTGACGAAGCAAGAGAGCCTGCCAGCCAATTCCGCCTTTCTGTACCGGCCTCCACCTAGGAGGAAAGCCGCGAATACAGCCTACGCGCAGCTACACGATGAGAACGATGTTGACGACGCGACAGCCAGCACGTCTACCGTCACAACCACAACCAGCTCAACTGCAGCTGAGATACCAGCAGCAATCGAGCCGTCATCGTCCCAAAGTTCGTCATCCTCCTCGGTAACCAAGAGCACTAGTGCCTCGACGTCCTCTCCTATCAACCTTTTTCGAGAGCCGCCACCTGTTCCGAGAGACAAGGTTGCTGGGCATCGGCCTTCAGCTCCCAGCAAGCTATGGACCACATTCCAGGATGAATCTGCAATACAGAAAGCAGCTCTGCTGTTCTACTCCGCCTGTGCGTTTGCGTTCCTGCTTGCGTACCTCGCTGATGACTCTGCCGACCCCAACACCACGCACTACCATTTGGTCGATGATATGGTATCTTCCTCGAAGTTCATGGGGACGGAATTCTTCCTGCTCTGCGCATTGTGTAGTTTCGCTTGCTACTGCGAGACAACGCACTACGCGGCAAGTGGAACGGCGATAATCGCGTATTTCTATTTGGTTGATTCAGTGTATCTCTAATCTTTTTTCTAGTTATAAGTGTCTGTACATATGAGTTCATTCATTGCTTCAGTTGTCGCTGCCACAGCAACGTTTTGTTTTCCTTTTACAAAGAAGAACTCCGTCATCTCTGACTCTGTTCAGGTCGGTCTGGCTTCCCCGGGTCTTTCTCCCCTACACAAATGTCGGATTTGCGCACCTGCTGCAGATATTCGTGATCGGAATGTGGACGGCAAAAGTACCGCTGCCGAACCTGCAGTACTTGCGGGACACGGTTTTTCGAGCTTATTGGCCGCTGGTCCTCGTATTTCTGGTCTGGCTCGCGATGCCTACTTCCTACGGCCGCTGCGACTTGTTTCCGAGGACATATCTACTCGATCGGGCCAGGTTCTACCTTTCCGAGCTGATCATTCTGCTTTGGTTCCTCAGTGGGGGCATGGTCTGCTCTGACCCATTGAATCTAGTCCCACTCCTCAATTATTGGTCGCTGATCGCGTACACAACCCATGAGGCACTGCAACGTGTCACGGTCGCGCCGTTCGCCTCGCTGTTTCTGCACTTTCTGATGCCGGGGATGTTCCTGATGCGAAGACTCTTCCTGCTGTGGAGGACGAAATAGTAGTTGTGCTTTATGAAAAGAATTTTTCGAAAATCAATGAAAATCTTAAAACAACGTTGGCTCGATTGCTTGCCAGCGTCGGGGGACGAGCGATTATCTTCTTTTCTACGTAACGCAAAATTACGTAAATGAAAACGGCACTGATTTCCAACTTCTCTGCCCGCTCTGGACGCAAACAGAGCACAAATATGATGATAATCCTTCAACAAGCTCAAGCAGTGTGATCGTGTCTTTGATCGCAACAACAAAGCAGCAGTGACTGTTGTTGGCGTGACAGAGGCCGCCTGTGTTACCTTTCGTTTCATTTTCGTTTTTTTCGTATAGCCAAAGCCTGCCGATACCTGACCAACCCCAAGCGATGAAGTCGTTCCGTGCAGTCCAAGATTAAGGACGCTTGTGTGGAAAGAGAGTTCTGAGTGCTTTCGTCCTGCAAAGTCTTCTTCGCAAAAACGAACATCGTGTTATATATCGTCAAGCCAGGAGAGTGAACAGGAGAGAGGAGGAGAACCAAAGCTGCAAGCTTGCATTGGCATCACTTTTTTCTTCAGGGACTTTCTGGCTTTCGTCGTGTGAAACATGTTGATTTCGTCACCAAATGGACATCGAGATCGACATTAGCTGCATGCATTTTCAAGAATCGTTGAAAAGTAAGCGAAGGACGCCGTGACCAGGAGAAGTTCAGCGATGCTTGCTAGGCCAGGCATTATAGCGCCTTTTGCTTCGCAAGCGTTCCGCATTTCTTGTGCTGGCGTTGCACAGCCAGGATCCTGCTGTAGCACAATAGCTACCCGAACGGCAGGCGGCGATGCGACCGCTCGGCCTGTCGTTTGTTCCGATGCCCGCGATGGGTGAACGAGGACGAGAAAGCTGAAGCAGAGCCTCGAAAATCATGAGCACGACAAGGGGCAGGCCACCCGGAGCGGGGGCGTCTCAACGACTTCCGTACAAGCAACCACTGAATGCGAATGGGCTCATCTCCGCGTATCACGTGGAAGAAGACGATGAGCAGCCGACCATCGACGAAGCGGTTTCCGGCTTCGCAGGTCGGGCTTCCTTCGGTGCTGCCCTGATAAATCTAGAGGACAAGCAAGCTCCTGCTGCACCGAAAAAAAGGGCGACAAACGCGAAGCCGCGAAAGTCTTCGGCGGGTGGAGGTAGAAGGAAAAGCCGTGTTGATGTCGCAGAGTTGGAGGCAGCACCGGCGACGGAAGAGGAAGTTGTGGATGCCGCTGTGACTGTGGCGGAGAGGTTTAAACGGATTTCGCAGGAAAAAGCTATTCTCGATGACGAAATCGCACCAAGTGCGTCTCTGGGTCACTTCGATGCGAAGCTGTTCGGAAAGCTGGAAGATATCATGGCTGTTGGGACGCAGGGGAGCCGCGTTTCCGTGGCCGCGAAGAAAGCACGTCTGAGGGAGTCGTCGGAAAACAAATCAGTGGACGTCGCTCTGCCTGGAGCGGGCGGCTCGTCAGTGGAAGAGGAAAAACGGAAAAGTAGCAAGGCACAGCGCAACATCGTACCACGAAAGGAGGAAGAGCTCAAGAAAGACGTCGGGAACCTCTTGCGCAGGACCGCGCGGAAAAGCGCCGCCCAGGCTCAGACACGCAAAAGTGGGGCGAGTAGTTCCGGAAGCAGCCCAGAAAAGGTCCCGCGCGCATTAGACGAGCACCAGAAGCGGCCGACAGGGAATAAACAGGGAAGTGGTACAGCTCCACGCTCTGCTCTTGCAGGGAAGAAAGACGTCGCCGGATCATCTACTAGTCCACCACCAATAAAGCCAGCGCGTAGCTCCGTGGGTGAGTCTTTGGACATGCGCGCGACTACGAAAATGGCCAGAAGAATCCGGGAAGTGGAAGAGCAGCTACCCCAGTTGCTGCTTGACTGGCGCGACACCTGGCGCGCGCGCGAGGCGGCGCAGGCTTCGGGCAGAGAGGCGACTGTGGAAGAGAAGACTTTCGAACTCAGTATTCTCCAACGCATGCTCTCCGACATACAACACACCCTTGCCGAGGCGAAGAACGCGACTGTGACGCTGTTTAACGCGGAACCTCTACTCCAGCGCATTCGGAAGCTGGACGGAAAGCTCGTGGAATATCGGAGGGATGAACTCAGCTACCTGGCAGCGCGAGCCGCAGACGAGGAGGAAAAGGAAGAGATGGAGCGAAGAAAAAGCAACGAAGCTCAACAAGCTCCAGTTGATGAAGGGGTTGGTGCACAAGAGGAAGCAAAGCCACCGGAAACTACAGGCCCCAAAATCCCCCCTGAGAGTGAAACGGAGGCACGTCCGTCGCGCGTCAACCTCCGCAATCTTATGGGCAGAACCAGCGGCAGAGGGCATCGGTTGAGCGGGAGACGGAAAAGCCGTTCCCCTACTGACGACACGAAAACTGGTGCACCAGCAGGGGGACAAGAGGAGAATGCGAACCAGAAAGCCACGAGCAAGCGGGAATCGAGCCGAATTTCGGTGGAAATGCGGAAATTGCCGTCGAGCACCTACAGTACCAGACTTCGTTCGACCTATGTGGGCAGTGACAGGAATAAAACGGCGGAGAATGCGCTCGGTTTGAGAGCTACAAAGCAAGCGGAAGCAGTAGCAGGACCACAGCCAGCCTCGGGGGAAGCCAGAAGTTCCTCGGTTATGAGCGTGCCGATGCGTCAAGCTTCAGTGTTGGAGCGCAATTTTCATTCAACTTATGCTACGTCGGCGTCTGTGCGTTTTCCGTCGAGTTACGAGCCCGGATTGCGTGAGACAGCAGCTTCCACCGCTGGAAGTACATCGATGTCGATCGAGCAGCGATATCCAAGCGATTACACGGATCCAGGTTATCGCCCGACGTCCACCATGTCTTCGACGATGCCGAGCATGCGCGAAGTGCCAAAAAGTTCCGTTTCTGAATTCCGAGCCATGCCGACAGTTCACGAGGAGGACGCCACGGTCTTTCTTCCACCCGATCTATCTCCCCGTGACGCCTTGGGGAATGCGCGAGAGGTGCTGACGCAACTGACGAACGAACAAAACATGGCGAACGTCTTGACGAGCAGAGGATCTTCTGCCACGACTGGAACGAGTGCGCCGCGGCCCTCGGAAGCGTCGCTCCAGGAGGCTTTCGTCGGTCTCTACAAAGAATTGCGGGATGACGAGACGCGGCGGATATTCCAGGAACTGAAGAAAGCGATGCAAGACCGCGAGGACACGCTGTTGCATATGAGTTCCGCTGAGGAGGCGCGCTTTGCCAGTTTCGTCACCGCTTCACTGGATACGCTGTGGGAGTCTAGCTCCCAAGCGGTTACCGTGCGCTCGTCGCTAGAGGTGATTCGAACGTTTGCCCTGCGCCAGCCCCTCCCGGCGGTGCCACTGCGTACAGAAGCGGCGCCGCTGGGTTTCCGGGACGATTTTGATGCGAAGAATCCTGACCCCGCGACGCAAGGCGCCCCTCCCTCCCTGCAAGTGCTACTCGATCGCTTTCATGCGGCCACGAGAAATCTGGGAAAGGTTGGATCAACCCGTGACGACGAGGACAAACGAGGATTCGCGCCATCAGCTCGTAACCGGCTCGGCGTCGTTGCCGCCACACGACAAAGCTTTTCGCGGCTGCACCGGATGTGGGCGTCCGCTGTGCAACGGAGCTTCGGGTTTTTCGTTCGAGCGTTTAATTGCCGTCTTGAGGGTGATGACGGCGGGTTCTTGATTTGCACTGTGCCACCAAGTACCAAGACCGCAGCGAGTGACGAGAAGCATCCACCCTCGTCCCAACTACTTGCCGACAAAAGAGACCGAGAGCAGCGCGTCGCGGAGATGCGGCTTCTCCGGGCCGTGAATGAGGTGAAGGGCACTTTGGTGCCCAATTTTCCGCTCACTGAAAATGTGCTGGATGCGCTCGGGAGTCCTCACGATCCTGCAGCCCAAGAAAGTCACTTGCCGTCTTTGCGCATACGAGCAGCTACAGCGAGCCTGAATCGAATGCTTTTGCTTGGACTTGATTCGGAAAAGCAGCTGAATGTCCTGGATGCGATCCAGGCGATGCAGAAGGTCGCCGAGGACAGCCTGCCACTGTTAGAAAACAAAGCCGAAGCTGTCGACGCCGCACAACTCCTTCGCAACTACCTCGCATTCGCGGAAATGTGTCCTTTGGAAAATCCGTTATTGCAGTTGCAGTACTTAACCGAGACCCGCTTTCGGACGCTGCTAGAATCTCAATTGCTGCTCGGAACGACCGAGGTGGAAGCGTGTAAGAAGTTTACGAAGGTCCCGGTTTTTGAAAAAGGCGAGAACTTTCAGTTCGTCGTGGAAGTGCTGAAGCAAAACTCGACGGGCATACAGCCCACCGCCTTAGGGAAGCCACGGAAACGCGATACACGACGTGGGGGCGAAGACAGCAGTACCGGCATCGGGGTCTTTTCGATTTTGGAGCATGAGGACCAGGCAAGTGACAGCGGGGGTGCAAAGCGCTCAAGCTTGAGCAAATTCTTGCCCGATGACATGGACGACCTGAAAAAGCGGCGCTTAGAAGAGGACTCCGAGACCGAATCGGAGGCGGACGAGCTAAAAGCGGACCGGGACATTGATGGCCACGTTTTGGCCAAACGCATTGACGACGACTTTGCGGATTTGTTGGATCTCAACGGTCAGCGATTGGAAGGCCAAAAGTTCGCGGCGCACATCATGGACCGCACCGGGCAGGCGCGCGCGGAGTTGCTACATCGTCTCAGTCCTCATCTTCACAAGAAGAGGGAAGGTTCATCTGGTCACCAAAATGTGGGACGCTCCTACGAGAACAACTCATCTAAGCCGGAGTTGCTCGCAACCTACGACGACGTCGACGACATTCTGGCCGTTCTTCTGCGCTGCAAGGAGGAGAGCCAGCTCTTTGTGCGGTTGAAGAAAATCGTGCATGCAAAGTTGGACAAGGTTGTGGAAGCCTTGGCAAAGAAGTCAAGTCAGGGGGTGAAGCTGGACCTACTATTGGTCGAGGTGATCCACGGCCTGAATTTTGCCGCGGAGTACTTGCACGCAGTCGGGTCGGCGCTGAGCGAGGACTTGGCGAAAGTGATTGCCGTTTTGCCACTGGATCTGCGCGAGTACGTCGAAGGTGCCCAGAGGTCCGCAGATCTGTTCTCTTTTCTCGACGAATACGAGCTGCAGGCCCCCGAAAACGCGAATTCCCTTTGCTTGGTTCTGACGAGAAAGCTTCGGGCCGAGAGCGGGCCACTTTCGCCAAGCGCGAGCGGGGGTGCTACTTCCAGCGTAACCGGTTCGAAGACGAGCTTTATCAAGGACTCTACAGACGGTAGTCCCGTGGATGAAGTCGCATCACGCGGAGGCGATGGACAAGTAGTAGGCCCGTCAGGAGCTCCTGCCCTCGCGACCGCGGCTGACAACCTCCTGTTCTACCCGGACCGAAGTCTGCTGTTTCGGGAGGACGAGCGGATCGAACGACAACTGGAGGAAATGGCAAAGAGGACGCTTCTGACTCATGCACAGGTGCAGGACCTGGCCCGGATTGCGCGGGAAACGAAACCCTTTCGCGCGTTTCCCGCGGGAAAATCCAGACCGTTGTGGGAAGACCCAGCAGTGCTGGCCACTGTGGCGGGGGAAAACTTGCAGAAGAAGATGCGCATGACGTTCAATTCCACCAATTTGTTCGACGTCGTCGACGCGGCCGACGAAGCGAGGTCGCTTTTACCCCTGAGCGGCGTGGAGCGAGAGAACCAGGAGCTGCAGGAAACGCAGGCCGCACTGGAAGCGGAGCTGGCGGACTTGGAAACGGAACACCAAGATTTCCTTTCCTCCGTGATGTCAACGCGATCCAGGCGCTCGAGACGAGAGTTGAAAGCAATGTCACCGATGCTCAGCTCGCCTGGACAGGCCAGTGAACAACAAGCTGATGCAGACGGAACAACCCAACCAGCTTCCGACCAGAAGAAGCGCCGGCGCTCTTCCCTGATCGCGTACATCGACGGCGTCGGCCCAAAAATCAGCCGCGACGCAGACGCTGACCTCTTTTCCGACGAAGACACGACGCTGCGGGACCGGGTTGCCGCAAAATTGCGGAAACCCGGTAGGGAATCGTATTACGCGGCGCTGGTCCGCGAGGCGGACGAAGACGGCAAGCACCCGGCCAAGAGCGATAAGAAGTTCGTTGCGTTTCTGCAGCGTGCCAGGCCGTACTTGGAAGAGCGGCTAGAGGAACTAGCGGAAGAGGGAGCCGAAATTCAGGATGAGATGCAGGACCGAGCGGCAAGACTGCTGCGCGGGCTGGGCAAAGTGAAAGCGGAGCGCGGACGCAGGTCGCTCGAGGACGACAGCGAAGACGCGCAAGCGCAGCTGGATCTGGGTTTGCTTTTCCCGGACATGTACATCAACGAAGTGGACAAAAACGGCAGAATCTCTCCAAAACTCGTGCGACCACCACGGACGCCGACCGAGAAGTTTCGGAGTCTGTACCAGCGTCTCGCGCTGGTGGAGAACGTTCGATCGGGACGTTACTACTACCGCGTCGCGCATCTAGGAGCGAAGCGCTCACTGAGTGATGATGCGCACTACACGCGGAAGAAACTCTTCTCGGAATTGTGGCAGGAGGCGGTGCAGCGAATGGGCAGGGTGCGCATGAAACGCTTCATGACCGCGGGGGGAAGTGTGTACGGCCCGGATGCGCAGATGGAACACTTGTACCAGGATGCGGTCGCATGGGACGTATTGGGATCCCGAGAGGTTTTGTCGAAGATCAAACACGACTACGTTATTAAGGAGGACGCGAAGCTGTTGCGGCTGAGAAGTGGCAGATTCGGAAAAAATCAGCCCTTCTTGGTAAAGGATGTTGCGGAAAGTACTGCTACTTCGCCAGGCGAAGAAGGTGCTGAAATTTCGAATATGAGCGATGACATCGAGTTGGGCGGCATTTACCCCGATCCTTTCCTCGCGGGCGACATCGTGCTGCTGAAGCGCGATCTTTTGCACGAAACCGACTACGAGCGCTCTAGTGCGACGGAGTCAAAGCGTGACACGAGGACCACGACGTTGGCTGGCACGAGGTCCGGCGACCCCTACGAGCGGCTGATCGACCAGATTTTGTCCTCCTATCCGCGGCATCGCCCGCGCCTGCGCGTTCGAGACGGGATCGTTTCGAAAAGAAAACTGATTCGGGTGGATTGCGTGGATTCCATGACGGGCGGCGTTCTCGGAGAGTACCGCCTGGACGTCAGCAGCATTGTGCACGCGCAGCCGGAGAAAGAGCTCGGAATGAAAGGGAGAATCGTGTATGATGTGAAAATGGAAAGTCCCTCTAGCGTGGCTGGACCCGATGTTGTCTCAGGCAGCAAGGTCGGTCGCGTAAGCGCAGCGGAGCGCAGGCAGTCCAAAGCCTCCGCTTCGTCTCCTAGCAGCGGCGGCGACATCCAGTATCTGGTTCCGGCAGAAGCAGAACGCGACATGGAGGAACTCACGACAGCTGGGTCGTCCAATCTAAAGTCCGTGGCGTCGTCAAGAAAGTCGGCAGTGGCGAAGCGAAAGAGTTTGAAGAGTACCGAAAGTCGTGCTACTACCACGAACATGAGAACAACGCGGAGGAGCAGGACGCAGACACAACAACTCGCTTTTGCGCCGCAGCAACGGGCATCTGCGACGTTACCTCCAGGAAGAGAGCGAGATGGTGCTCGGAGAGCCGCCTCCGCTGCAGACGCGGCTACTGATTCGCTGCAGGCACGGCGGCTGCGGAAAAGCAACAAGGCGAAAACAACGCCGCTGTTCTTCCCCGAGCCTGTGGACGACATGGATCTGCCTCTTCGAAAGTCCTCCATGGGGAGCACGTCGATCGACGACTCCGCGGAAGACTTTCTGCAGTACGACGTGAAGCCGCTGCCAGGTCGGGAAGTGCAAGTGCCCCGCGTTTTGCTGCGCGACGTGGTTGTCGACTCCCATGACCCGCGGTTCGACGACTTCCGGATGCTGCGGCAGTTGGTGCAGGCGGGCTACCAGCTCGGTGTGCGGGGAACTACTTCGCACACGAAACGAATGAAAACGGGCGCGCTCGGGGAGGACGAGGCGGCGTTTGCGGAGGCGTTCGAGATGTTGAAGCGCGGATCGTCTGCGTGGGAGGACATGGACTACCTCTTCACGGAGAACCTCGCCCGGCACTCGCTACCCGGCGAGCACGAGAAGGACCGGAAAAGTGACCACCTGCTCGGCGGAGGAGGAAATGGGGTGGACGAGGATTTGTTCGTGAGTGTGTGGCCGGTGAAGCGACTGCTCGGGAACGAAGGCACGTTCTTTTCCACGAGCGACTTTGTTGCAGCGAGCACGCAAGACGTTGCGCGCGTCTTAGGAAAGCCGGGGGTGCGGGACTTTGTTGTGCACCGCGACTTTGTGGTCCCGGAGGTCTACGGGCCCGCCTTCCACGCGACGGCGCAACGCGACTTGCTGCGGGTCGTGCCACGAGATGTCGTCGTCGCCACCAGTTTTGACAAGAACATGCGAGTGTTACGCGATTTGCACAAACACCCGCGGAGTTGTATTCTACTGGTGCACGTGGCTGGGAAGGATGAAATGCTGGACCTGGAAGACGACCAGGCCGACGGTCTGCCGTCCAAGAGGAAAAAAACAGAGCAAATCGACATGACGCGCCTTTCGGTGTCGCACTTCCAAGAGTACGAGAATCTCGGCCGGGCGATGGCCACGAAGGCACAGGAGAACGAGGTGATCGAGGCGGAACGCAGCCAAAGCAGCAGCGGAAGCGAAGCGGAGATGAAAAGGGAAAGTGAAAGCTTGACTTACCGGTTGATTCCACAAGCGGTTGTTGCACTGTTTGCGGAAGACGAGGGGGGGAAAATGAGCATGCAGGGCAAACCTGTCATGGTGCCATGCAACTACCTGCAACCGCAGTCGAAGTACAACAGGTTCGATGAGCTGAGTCGGACGCGGGTGCTCGCGGAAGGTGCCGTGCAGGAGCGCTACGATGAGGAGCTGCACGAAGAGTACCTGCCAGACCTGGTTCTCCTCAAGGCAAGCGCGTTCATGGATAACGAGCAGCAGCTGATAGAGGCGCTGACGCCGCAACTGCAGACGCTGCTCGCCTTGGCGGCGGAGGGGTACGTGTTTCGCGTTTTGAGTTACGATCCGCCTGCTGAAGCTGAGGCAGAGGACGCGGAGGATGAGACAGAAGACCTCGGGCTACTTGCCACTGTCGGGGTGTACACGGAGGACGTCCTTGGAAGCGCGGACGCTGCGGGATTGAGCTACGTGGTTCCACAAGAAGCGCTGGCGCACTTGAGTCCGGTTTTTGCGGTCGATCGTCCGTGTGTCGCTGGGGATCGCGTGCAGCTACGGCAGTACGAGATTGGACAAAGTTTGGGAGCGGGCAGTGAAGCGGCTGCCAGTCGTGCGTCCAGCGAGCGCGCCACTTCGGAAACGACCGTCTGGGACGATTTCGCAGCGGCGGAAATCGTGGAGACAAAAATGTACAGGGGCGAAATCTGCTACTGCAAAGATGTGTACAGCGCAGATTGGATCGGGGGCGGCACCCGAGCTGTCCTCTCGTTCTCCGGAGACGCTGGTGGCAGAACAAGTCGAAACAGCAGTAATGACGAGGTCGAGCTTCCGCGATCCTGGCTGGAGCCCCTTGAAAAAGTGGACGAGCGGCGTTTGTTGGACAAAAGTACCGCGGTCCAACTCCGCGACGTCCTGCACGGCAGGCGGTACCGGCACCGCATCAAGTATCTCAGGAAGCAACTCGAACTTGGTGCGGCGCTCTACGCTGTTCCCGTCGGCATCGACGCCGACGTCGATCTGGTCCCGACAGGGACCACGACAAATCAAAGCGATCTACGAGGAGGCTCGACCAGAACAACAGTCGTGGAAGTATTAGGTGAAGATGCAGATGAAGTTTCAGAGGAAGAAACGGACCCGACTGTGGCAGCACTGGAGGGGAAAGTGGCGCGCGAGGAGGCAAAGGAGCGCGATCCGAGGCAAGATTTGATTCGCATTCCCAGTCCGCTTCTCCGCCTCCAGGTTTGGCGACGTGGGCTCTTTGTCCGGGAGTTGCGCATTCCGGCCGCGTATCTGTCACCTGTGTTGCTTGATTCGACCACAGATGACGCCGGTGCTGGGACAACCGGGCACGAGCTTGAGGCCACCTCGCAGGCGGGCGCGCTCGCAGAGCAGGTACGTAGCTCCAGGGATTCCGCCGCAATTCACGCAGTGATCACGCATGCTGCAGAGGGAAGCATCCACCCAAGAAACGCACGTTCATCACTGCAGCCGGGCGAGATTGTGATGTTGCACAGCCATACGGGGCTGTGGCCTAATCAGGAAGCGCATCTGGCTGCTGCCGCAAAAGAGATAAAGTCGGGGATGTGCGATCTGCGATTTGTCGAGTCGGTGAGCAAGCACGCGGCCCTCGTTGCGCTTATCGGTGCACACAAAGAAAAAGACAAGTATTCGGTTGTCAAATGCGTTCCCGTTCCGAAGGACGCAATCGCCCCGGTGCTGGAGCAGTTTGATCTGTTCTACCACAGCAACACCGTTCCCGCGATGCAAAACGAACTCGTGCACGTGGAGACCCTGGGGGCGCCGAGATTGGATTTTGCGGGCAAGGCAATTCTGGGTGGAGGCTTGGAGGACGTTGGTGAGCGGTCCCACCGGGTTTTGCTTCCGGGCGACGAGGTCCTCGTCCGGCCGGGCTTTGCGCTGGCAGATCGCCTGCAAGCGCGGATCCAGGACGGCAGCAGCTGCGTTGTGGCCCACATTGCTTCCGGCGGTCACTGGTACCTTTTGAACACGACGCTCGCGCCAGTGTCTGTCGCGGTAGACCGAGGGTCGGCGTTGACCACTGGTTTCGAGCCAAAAGACGGAGAAGGAGAACTCAATAGCGCGAATGAAGAAGAGAAAAAGTCGAATGCTTCTAGCACATTGTTCCCGTCAACCGCGTCTGAGAGTGAACAGGAGACGACCGTGGACCGCGCGCTCGAGGAGCAGAGTTTTTTCTGGCTCCCCGCCCGCCACGTCGTCGTTCCCGCCACGCCGTTTCGTCTGGAGGGCGGCATTGGCAAGCGCGTTGGGGTGCACGACGTCTGTGTCCCGGATGCCTGGACGAGTGCGGTGCGGCGAGTGCAGACCGCTTCGTCCGCAACGCTGCTTGAAGTCGGCCCGGCCTTGGCCCAAATCGGCGTTTTATCCAGAAGCAGTGTCTATGAGGTGGTCAGTTTACCTACAGTGTTCGTGGTTCTGGAGGAAGACCTAGTGATGCAAGTTGCCTTACCGGAGAGCGCGGAGGAAGAGTCGGAATTCGCTGCTCTGCAAAAACTGCTGGCGGCGTTCCCACACGGTCAGCGCGTTTACTTGAAGACTCCCTTGATCGGCCGGGGGTGCGCGTCTTACACCGCACTCATGGAGGCACTCGCTGCGAAGAACGAGAGCACCGCCAAGCACGAGTTGAAGATAGGAACCGTGTCTGACCATCGCGTCGGCGTCACGATTGCCGGACAACATCTTCACAACAAGAAGGAGTTTTTACTCCCAGTATCCTGCCTGCACCTCCCACGCCCGTTGCACGCTCGACACGACGTGCAATTCGAGAAGAAGCAGCGTGTCAGCGTCAAAGATGTGGCTGGGCTGGAGGGTGACACAGAGTATGTGAAGGTGCGCGATTTCGTCAGAGAAGTTCCCCGGGCAAGAGTCGTTGTCCACAGCGAAGACACGCGTAAGGGACATGCACAAGTGATGCTTCTTGACGTAGATGGGCTTCCCTTGGATCGGGCGACCATCCGGTCCGATCTGCTAGAGGATTTCCATAAGGGAATGAACGAGGGGACTCTGGCGTCGGCGCCAAACCTCAGAAAGATTGTAGGAGCTACGGGAACTGCGCCAGCAAGTGCTAGTCGGAAAAGCAAGAGAAAAACGAAAGCTGCAGACGAAAACCAAGATAGTGGCAAGAAGGTCCCGTGCTCGATCCGACCAATCGTTGTCTACGAAGGATACCGATCCGTGATTGATCGGCTGCGTGCGCTCGAAGCAAGGGGCGATGAGCTCCTCATGCCGGAGCGGGAAGTGAAAAAGAAGGCGGATCGTGTCATCGTTTTGGTGCATCGGGAAGCGCCGCCGGCGGATGAGAGCGACACCAGCGCGTTGCTTGCAAATCCATTAGTGTGCACAGAAGTTGTCCCTCGTGACTGCCTGCTGCCGCATGTGGAGACTGCACTCGTAGAGGAACGAAAACCGGCCGCGCACTCCTTTTTCCTACCTGACACCGAGGTGTTTCTTCTTGGGCGCGCGCCGGAACTCGATCCCGCGTGCCAGAAACTGTTTGACTTGTACTATGCACCGGGGAGCGATCCGTCGACGAAGGTAAAGCTTCTCGTGCGAGCACAGCAGGGGGCGAGTGTTTGCGTAGAGCCGGTGCTTGCGCGGCTGACAAAAGGTGCGCTTTTCCAAGGAGAATCAGAACGCGAAAGACCGTTCGTGCTGCCGGCCGAGCTGTTGACCCAAGCGCAACCTATTTTTGACTCGGTGGCTGCAGTAGCTGGAGAAGACGACGAGCACGAGAGGTACTTTGCCCCACTGACGGAGGTGCTATTGCGAGACGTGCAAGTGAGTGCAAAGGAATACCCGAGCGTACAGCTTATCAGGCAGCACGTGGAGGAGCGCGGTGCGATTTTGGTCATCGCACAGTACCTGCACAGGGACGACTTCGTTACTGATGAAATGATAGCACCCGACTTCTCGGTTGCGGACGGTTGCGCTCGCATTGACGTTGCGGTGATGCTGCCCGAGGTCTGGGAAGGGGCGCAGCACGCGGCGAAGCAAGAGAATTTACAGGCTGCTGCTCTTGACGAGTACTACAGCCAGTTTTTCCAAAGCTCTTCCGAAGTCGCCATGATCTCTGCGCTACCTTCGGTGTTTCTTGTGCCCCGCCAGCACTTCCATTTCCACCCCGATGCGGCAGGCGCGAACTCGTTGCCTGTTGCTGGGGAAATAGTGCGGATCAGGTCCGTCGTGTTCCCCTGGGCCAGTATGACGGAGGCTCACTACGAGCTGGTGTCGAGTCTTCGCGATTTCAGCACTGAGAAGCTGTTGCTCCACAGTGTGGACACGAAGCTGGAGGAGGCGACGGTCTGGGTGCTTGACGCACAGGTCCCCGACCAGCACCCGGTGACCACGGTGAATCTTCCATTGTCTGCGCTTGAACCTGTGATCACCGTGGAAAATGTTGCGGCCTATTCGTACCGGGAGAGCCAGTTGCAGCAGTGCCTGCAGTACCAGGCGTTCTTGGCCGAACGGGTAGATCAGACACAGGAATCACCAACGGTGATGCAAAGCACCGCTCCCGCTGCTGCTGCACCACCGCAGCCAGCTGGCCACTACAGCAGAAGGGTCACGCAAAACAGCGCGCGAAGCCGAAAGCGCAGCAGTGTTGCCCGAGGCAGCATTGTGAATGGAACGTTGAACTTAGATCCGAATCGCCTTTTGCCTGTGATCGAAGAGGAGCTTTCGGGCAGCATACTGCAGGCGATCGCACCCGAGGACAAACGCTTGCGACCGCTGACTCTGGAACGAAAAACGTTTTCGCCGTTGTCTCGCTACTACGTTGCACCGGGGGATACTGTTCTGCTAACCAAGCAAGACACGAAAAACACGCAAGCGGAACCTTTGTTGCAGAAAGTGCGGCAAATGAGCGTGAACCCGAACAACCGAACGAGGGTCCTATCGTACAAGCCCGATTTGGCGGAAATTGCCGTCTCCCGCACGGGGATCAGGAGAGCGAGCGTTTTAGACCACCAACACGCTGGATTTCAGCAGCAAACCTTCCACGTGCCGGCGGTGGCCCTCGTTCCGCACATTGATCCGGATGTCAAGAAGTGCAGAATTGGTGACTACGTCCATCTTCGTGACGTCTTTCTCGGGGCAGACGAACATGTCACTGTTGCCGAACAATTTGTGCAAGATGAAGCGGCTGCGCAGAAAAATACAGAGACGCCACACCGCCACTTGATCCGCTTGTGCCAGGATGTAGAGGAGAAAGACCCCTTGGAGAAACCGACGCTTGCGTGTGAACTTGTCGTTGCAGGGATCCACGGCGGTGTTGAATACAAAACAGTCCAGACAACCGTCCATCTGCCGGTGCAAGTGCTAGCCCCGACGTTGCGGACGCCAGAAGTCGGCGAGACCGGGATTCTCCGCTCTCTCGTCGTCTCCAGATCCGCAGACGATGCGGTGCGATTGCTTCGTTCAATGTTGCACTCCATCATCGGCTCGGTGTTGTTTGTCGCCCGGAAATCCGCCGCGTATGCGGAAGTTTGCGTCTTTGTGGGCGGAAAGATTGTTGTGCCGCCCAGTGGAAGATCAGCCGCCTCACGCAGCAGCCAGCGGCAAAGTGCTGCGGCTGATCGCGGTTCTGGCAGTTCGGTAATTGGCGATTTCGGGAACGAGAAGGGATTCTTGGTTGTACCTCTTCACGTCCTTGCTGCCGTCGAGTACAAGACCATGTCTGAGCTCTGTGCCCCGCTGCGTCCGCGACTCCCGAAATTAGAATGGTTGCAGGAGGTTTTCCTCACCCTGCCGCAGAAGAACTTCACAGAGCCCCGCACCGACATCGCCAGAACGCTCGCGTTGCTGGAAAAGGAGAACAGCCGCGAGCCGTTCGTGCTCCGCGTTCTTCGGTTGGCAAAGCGAAGCGAGTTTGCGAAGGTCAACGCGGACGACGAAACAGAATTCGCGTGGGACGCCGAGGTCGTGGTGTCCAGGAGAAAGGGCCCTGCGGGCGAAGTTTTACAGTCCAAAAAGATCATCATCCCGGCCGAGCGCCTGGATCGTGCATGGATTTCGGCAATCGACGTGCGACCAGGAGAATTCGTCCATATCCGAGCCTGTGTGTTTTGCGAGAAGACGTTCCCCGATGTTGCGGAAGCGCGGCAGGCGGTGCGGAAGGGTGCGCAATTGCGCGTTTTGACGAGAATGCCGGTTATCGAGGACGACTCTGTGTTTCTCCTTCGCGTGGTGGCAGGCGAGCAAACGTTCTCGTTGCCGCATTTCAGTGTCATCCGTTGGGATTCGGGTGCCGTTGACGATGCCGACCTCTCTGCCCCGCTTCGGATCCGCGCGATTGAGGTTGACGACCGATGGCAGAAGGAGGCGGAGAAGCTTTGGGCCATTCGGTCAGGTGCGGACTACGGTGCGTTTACCGTCACCGTCGCACCAGACTGGAAAACGGACAAGGAGATAGAGCGGATAAGGACATCGGGCGTGAAGCTGAAGAACTTTAAAATGTCGACGAAGAAGCGTCACAAGAACCTAGCAACTTGGAAAAAGGACGTCGAGGCAGGTCGGTTGGTGCGAATCTTGATCAGAAGGAGGCTACCAGTAGAGGCCGACATCGTGCATTTGCATAGAGGACAGCTGGCCGCGAATCTGAAAGGTCATCCCGCGATAGACGCAATCGATGACGCACGACACAAGTACGCAGAAAACTCTCTGGAAAAACTTTTGCAACTACCGCGAGCGTATTTGGAAGAGGACAATGAGGCACCTACGCGACTCCTGCACGATATTCCCTCGCCGGAGACTTCTTCCAAAGCGGTCGTGTTACACCGTGAAGTGTTTCTTCCAGTCCGGCGCGACACCGACGAGGACGACACCGCGTGGAGTGAATTTTCCGTCGAAGAAACAAAGGAACTACAAGCGGGTGAGAACACCGATCGAACAGTACGGGGCACCGAGGAGGTAAGAAGTGTAAGTGCAGTTCTTTATTCGCAGCTCTTTGCATCGGTATAGTTCGCTTCTTAGGGTTTTCTAGTATGCAGAGGTTGTAGAAAATGAAAGAGCGTTCTTATCTATCAGCTTACACAAACTATGCACAGAGCACTGCTCCGGAAAAGGCTCTGACGAAAGCGTTATTGGAAAAAATTTCGCCTGTAACCGGCGACTCCGGCCTGCAGCGCACCGCTGTGGAGCGTGGCAGAGCGCTACTCGAGGATGTGCACATGAAGCATTTTGACGCACTGCGAACGGCTGATCGAGGTGCTGCTGGGAGACTCCGCACGAAATTCAGGCAGAATATTCAGGAGGAGGTCGAGCGAGTCGAGAGCCAGCTGTCCGGTTTAAAGCAGCTCACGAACCAGATCAAGGGCGCTCGGGCAATTGCACAGATGAAACGAGAAGAGCAGCGTAAAGCCGACGCAATACAGCGCGGGCTCGTGGGGCGAGCGTACATATTTCACTTGGACAGTTGCCATAGCTGCTTTAGCTTTTTCCCTCCTCGCCTCTTACTCTGATGACTAGTTCTGTCGCAAATCATGCCAGTTCCAGTAGCATAAGTTGCAAGCCTGATACAAATCTTCCCAACAGTTACGTTCCCGCTTCTGACATCTACTCCGTCGGCGCTGCATTTTCGGTAATCGAATCCGACGAGGACGACAATAGGGCGAACGAGCCGAAGCCAAGCTTTCTGCAGTCCATGGGAGGCCAAGGAGCGTCCGTGCGCCTTTCAAGTATACGCTCGGAAGGGTCTACGAATGCGCAACAGGCTCCCGTGTTTGATTTGTTCCAGGCCCGGCACGAGGCTGCCACGGGCAAGCGAGGTGGAGGTCCACCAGATGCGTTTTCGACGAAGGGCGGTTTTCTCGGCCCGATGCCGGTTGACGACGTGCTTGGTAGCGGGATTTCTGTGAACAGTTTCGAACCTCGAATCGACCCGGACCGCCAGTCTGACATAAATCGAAGGGGCGAGTCCGATGTGTTGTCGTCGTCAGTTGCCTCCGAAGCGCAGCTAGAACTCGACATGAACTTCCTGCCGAAGCAAAACGTGTTCGTTGCGGACTACAGGAAAGTGGGTCGCAGGGAGTTAGGGAAAGCGAAGGTGCCGCGGACAAGCATAGCGGAGCGGCAAAGAGGAAATCAAGATTCTCGATACGTCGAGTTCATGCGCTTGATTGGAGATGACTAAATGCATTCGAGGTATAGATGAATGTGCGTGTGCTGGTTATGTAACAATCCTGTGGTGTTTTGTTGTACCCTGCTCATGCTCTTGGATTTGCTGTTGCTCTGCTCCGTTTGACGATGTTTGCGAAAGTCCGAACTCAGCTCTGATTTGGCTTTTTTTCAATCTACTTTTGATGATTTCATGTAGTAATTCCAAGAATGCTTTAGAGATGGAGAATAGACCGACTCGGACTCCACTAGGTCTGAAGACCTCGCTCTTGCAGAACTGTTAATCGTAAATCTCAGCGTCAGACGCTTCTTTCTTTCTTTCAATTTTACACTTGGCAAACTTCCAACGAGGTAAACAAATCCGAGAACTAAAAGCATGGTTTTGGTGAAGATGAGATGAAGTATGTGTGACTGTTGTCTTTCTCGAAGCTCGCGTTCTCTTTCAAGATCATGTTGCTGTGTTCAAATATAGTGTGTGTGATGCCATGCGTTGCGATCTGTTTTCGTTGATGTTATGGCGCCGCTCGCAGGCAAGCAGGGGCGGGAGGGAACAAGTTCGACCTGTTCTTCACGAACGGGGTCGGGATAGTGGTCTACGACCCGCACCTTCGCGACCGGATCCGGCGCGGGGCATATGAGACGTTTGGGGGGACGGAGTTAAGGCGCTCCGGTTCCCGCTCGGGGGGGCAGAGTAGTGGCTGGCGTCTGGGCGAGGCAGTTGCGCCCTTTGTGGCCGTTTTCGCTTTCAACCACCAGGGGGCCGGATGCAGCACGCGCGCGCGCCATTGGGGGGCGCGGCATGTATGTTGAAGCGCCGCACAAGCGCGTGGCCCCGTGAATTTGTGGGGCGTGGTTTAATGCGCAGCGGCCCGCCGCGTTGCTCGGGCCCGGGCCGATGGGAGGCCTACCCGCGCATAAGAGGCGGAGGGAGTTTTGGAGCGGGCGGGGTGTTTGGGTTCCTCGTGGAGCCCCCGGCGGGACTTTCCGAACGAGCTCCGGCTGCTTGCGGACGGCAAGCGGGCAGCGCTGCCGGACCGGCTGTGGGCCGAGGTTGCCGGCTTCGTATTCAACATCGCCCCGACTATGCAGCAGGTGGAATCCCTGCACAGCGCCCCTGGCAGAATCCCCAACCGCAGCGCCCTGCGCGCGCCGCCCTGCTGCAGGGGCGGCCCGCGGTGCTTAGCTGGACGCGCGCCGGCCGCCAGACCCAGACAGAGCGCCAGCAAGCCCGACCGGGCCCGCCGTGTGGGCCTCTCCCGCGGCAGGCCGGAAGCAGTGCGGCGCGTGGCGGTCGAGACGCTGCCTGTCCACAGCCTCGGCTCCGCGCAGGAGGAGCTAGACGCTGCGACTGCCACAAGGGGCAGCATCCTCCGCAATTCTTTACGGCGGAGCGCGCGGGCATTTTTGCGGAACGACCTTCCAGCCAGTTACTTGGGATGCACAGCCTGCCTGCAGGAGCTACGCGACGAATGCACGCGGAACGCCGGCCAGCTTGGCCGTCCGGATAAGTTTTACAGGTGACGACGACGGCGGGCCGCGCGGAGTTTTCCGACAACCCTCTGGCGCAAGAGCAGAGTCCGACGCATGCGATGTCCTTGGGCCCGTTCTTTACCGCGCGAGTTTTCCAGGACCGACGCGGCTTGTTGTTTCAAGTTCTGGAGGCCGCCCGCGACATCCAGGGGAAAGCATACGCCGTCGAGTGGCAAGGACGTGGCAACCCGCGCCGCCGCATCGTCTGGAGAAGCGGCAGCAACTACAGGGCGTTCGAGCAGCTCGACAAGGAAACCCGGGCGCGAATTTCCGACCTGAATCCGGGCGCGTGGCGCCATTCCCTTCGCCGATGGGCGCGGCCGCTCCGATACTAGCCCGCAAATAGCGCCGCCCGTTCTCGTCCTCCGCGGCCAGGAACCTGGGAAGCCGCTGCAGGCCTTCGGACTTGCAACCGTCCGGGGTCGGAGGCGTTGCGCGCCCGATGCTTTAGCGTGCGCCCGCCCCGTATCTGTTTGCCCACGCGTGGCGACGCCACCCCGCTCGGCCCCTTTGCCAGCGCGGAAGCCCACCCCCCGCCGGCCTTGAGGCCGATTCCGCGGGCGGGCCTTCCCACCCCCCGCCCGTCGGGCACCTTCGGGGCGGGCAGCCCCGCTGGCCCGGGGGCCGTTTTGCATCTGGCGGCAGCTGGCCCTGGCAGTTGCCGCTGCTGCTTTTTCTTTCTGCCTTTGCAGCGCGGGGGCGCCGACATGTGGCTGCGCTTGCGACAGATCGCTCTTGTGCGGCGCCTGGTTTGATAATTTTGCATCGTTCTCTGTCTCGCCGCCCTTCCGGCCCCGAGGGGGCCGCGGTTGAATAATTGACAGTTCCGCGGGCGTGCCTCAGAGGCCGTGCCAAACAATAACTGACATTGCCCCGGCCCCGGCGAAACAACCGGAGGCGGGTGCCACGTGTGCTCGGGAGAGGAAGAGGCTGCTACTCGGTCGCTGGCGTTCGGCAATCGCGTTGGTGAGTGCTTTATTCGTGTAGCTAAGACAGGGGTTCTCTCCTTATGATCGTGCAGTCGCCCTTCTTTCGGTGGCACAGCTTCATTATGTCATTTTGAGCGCGAGCGATGAGTGCGATGTTGATCTGTGTAATGGTGTCGCTCTCGAGACTACAGCATCCGCACTTGTTCGGTTGCCGTTGCGCCTTGCAATACTTCGATTCGGAACGGCAGAGCAAATGTAATTAGAGAACATAAGAAGTCCTTCCGCCTCTGCTCACTGAAGACTAGTAACAGTAAGTGTATTGCTCGACAAATATATATCTTCCGTCCACTGCATGGCCCTCACCACCGCCGCCGCGGTCGGCAACTTCGCCGGCGCCGCCGGCGATGTCGGCGACACGGTGCACAACATCGGTCAGGCCGAAAGTCTTTCCGACTTGGGCTCCGGGTTGAAGGGCTTCGCAGACAGCATGGAGAACGCAGAAAAGTCAATGCAGGACCTCAACCCCATTTTGAATCAGCTTGCGCAGGCCGCCGGTGCGGACAAGGGCGGGCGGAGTTTGGAAGATACAATACCGCTCTGCAAACCTTGGTACGTGATGGGCGCGGTCGAGAATTTCCAAGACTATCTTTTAGTCTTGCAGAAGCAGCTCTGGCGGCTGCATAACCTTTATCCTGATGCCCAGGTTGTCAACAACGCATTTCTGGACTCTGCGAAAGTGGAACTTCTTATCGCCCCGTTGGCGGGAAAGGGCATGCTCAACCGGGTAACGAAAGCAGAGATGGACCGAGTCGAGCAGCTGCGCACCTTTCTTGACGGAGATTTCGGGAAATCGGTAAAAGCAGGGATCAGCGGGATTGAGCAGTTCAGCGGGGCGCACGGCTCAGCGACGTCAGCCAAGAACGGAGTTTCTCTAGGAAAAGTACGTAGCGACGCGAAACTGGACATCGGGTATGCAAAAACCAAGGAGGAAGCTGCGTCGAGCGACAGACCGCCTTTGGAAAATGAAATCGAGATCGACGAGCCGCTAGCTTTGACGTACCACGACGGGAATCGATTTCAGGGTCTGAAGAAGGTTATCGTAGACACCCTGGAAAACATGAAGGCTGCGCTCAAAGATGTCCATCGGGCGTCGGAGCCGTGTCGGCTCAGCAACTTTTAGTTTCGTTTGCTGGTTTTTGTTTCAAGGTAAAAATGAATAGAAGAAGAGAACATGCAGTTTCTGTTTCACGTGAAACATTTGGTTTGATTTTGCTGAACTGTCGATAGTTGTACCATCAAGCCAGTAGTTACGAGAAAGAGCAGGCTTGCTCTTCTGTGTTTCAGCAGCCTTTATCAGGTTTGATCATTCATTTGTTCATAGACGAGTGTGTCGAGTGAAGAGGCAATTTACACGATCGACTGTCCATCGTCATTCGCCTTAGGTTGTGTCCTTCAGCGAACATCGAATCTACGCCTTCGTTCGCCGACAGCTACACTCGTGAAGAGCACCGGCATCGTGGCCGGAATCGCTGTCGCTTCGTCGTAATTTTGAATTATGTCGTATATGGCTGTTTTGGCACTTCAGTTTTCGAAAAAAGAAAAATGTTCTAGCGGCTACCGTAGTTGTTCTCCTCGACTGCCGACTTGGTTTTTTCAACGAAGTGCATGGCACATGAATCACGCATCCTCTACTAAGGGAGCAACTGTCTGCAGCAGGTAGTCCCTTTGCGCACAGCAAGTCCAAGACGACAACCTAGAAGATTGTTGCTTCAGTTTGCGACGGAGTCGTACTTATCAGACGCACGATACTCCTGCAGAAACGGAATCCGCTCCTCTGCCTGTCATGTCGATGGCCCCCGGTGCGCAGACGTACGGCTCACGGCGGCGAGCTAAAACGAGCAGCATCCTCTCGCAGATTGAAGGCAGAATACTGGTTCGAAGCACACGAACACACTCGCTGCGAAAGCACCTGAGTCACGATTTTCGCCAGAGAACAGACCCAAAACCCCAATGGTACATCACGACTTAGCCGGTCAGAATGTGTTAGTCTGACCTTTTTGCGTCATCAAATCAATGGTGTGGTTCTTGCACTTATGCGTCGATCTCAATTTTCAACCTGAAACGAAAGCGCAACATTGGAAATCAACGCAGGACCTACAAGGACAGCGAGCTACGATCTACCTCGGAGAGAAAAAAGCAGCTCCAGGTCCGCAGAGGGGACGAGGAAGACGGACGAATTTTCTTTGCTGAAGAAAATGCGAAACAATCGGCGAAGACGAAGATCGTCGAACTAGACCCACGGGAGGAAAGGCGGATGGTAATTTTTGCGCTTCGTGTTGTAACTGCATGTCGTTGTCGTGTCGAAAATCAAAATGCGAAAGCAGGAGCAACTTGGTGAGGTACTAGAATGGTTGATGTACAAGAATAAAAATGAATTTGAACAAGAGAGACTATTCTTATCACAGGCAATCAGCAGCAGCGTACTTGACGTGCTGGGACCGAGACCACGTGAAGAACAGATGTTAATGCCCGCTACTGCTGCAAAGAAGCGCCCGGTGTCTGCGCGGAGGATGCCGGCCTCGCCACGAGGGGTAAATGAAAATGAAAATTTAGCACATGCGGCAGTATGTTTTGTCGAAATGCGCTTGAGTGAAAGATTCCGTTCGAGGCTTATATGCTCTGACGCAAAACATGAAAATAAACAGGCCGAGCCGAAGCCAACATGGAGTCACATTTTGCGAACAGCGCTCAATAAGCAAGACCGACCCGGCTCACCAGGCGTCGTGCGTGCAGTGCCAGGCCATCCTGCTAGCAATGCCCCGTCACCACATCGTATTATTTCATTGCTGAGAGATCGGATCCAGTTCTACCTTTGCTAGTTACACCCACACACGCGCCCACTACGCAGCGTGTTGTGAAAGGCTTCCGTAAAGCCGCTACGTAAAACTTGATAAAAAACAGGTACGCCCCGGGCACACGGGGGTAAGAAGAAATCACCCCGCGCGGGTTCGAAATCGCCACGGGGTAAAGGCTCCAAGTCTCCTCGGGCAGGTAGCCGCAGTCCGCGGGGCGGTTCGAAAAGTCCGCACCGAACGCCGAGGTCACCAAAATCACCGACGAGCCCCAGGTCGCCCCGGGTGATGTACAGTTTTGACAACTACAACTTGCCATACTTCATGAAGAAACGCGTCGAAGTGGTTCAGGTCGAGGAACTGCCACCTGAGCTGCAGACTCCTTTTTGATGAGAGCTACGACATTTTCTTGTCCTGATGTTGATGTAACCTGTTTGTAGTTTCTCTTGTACAATGTACTTCAATTTCCTTGTCAGGAGAGGACTCTACTGTACTGGCTTCCCGCCCCCTTTTTGTAGATGACGTTGAACTTGGCTTCAGAGTTTTGAGATTACGTTCCACACGTGCATTTTCACTTTCACACCATCAATGGATTCCAATAGTAATAGAAGATACAAAACTGCATCTGCTTTTGCAACGCAGATCCTTTTCTAACACTAACGTCACCAGAATGAACTCAAGATCGAGTGTCGACAAGCTTGAAATGTAGAAGTTTAACTCAGTCCATCGCCAGAATCCCATTGTCGCCGCAGCAGCAGCTTGGCCGATTTGCGAGCCACCGCTGGGAAGCGTACGATATCGGTCCTGCTTGTGAAGTCAAATATTCATTCGATTCACCTTTGCCAGTTCCTGCACTGCTCGGTCTTCGTGAATGTCAAAAATACAATGACTTCGAATGAAGAATGAACAAGATGATAAAATTACTTGGGTTGGCAGTCGCCTTCGTTGACCCGTCGAACACGTCGTTACCTCGATGATCCAGTATCGTCCGTATGAAGAAGAAGACTCTGACTCCGCCGATCAACACTCGAATTTCGGTCCTTCGGTAAAACCAAGTCGTGGGTTTCGGGTCGAATGTCGAACAATCGAATCGTTTGTTGCCGGTTTACTGCGGATTGCTGTCAAGTTTTAGTTAACTCGAGCGTTTCAAGATTGTTGCTTACTTCGCGACTTTTTCGTGTACTGAATCGTTTTTGGTGTACTGATTCAACCGTAGTCGTAGCGCAGAGCCTGCTGCTGCCCATGTATTTTTTTGAAATTGATTTCCGCGTCTCTTCCCATACAATTGTAAACATACCCCCGCCCTCTTTGATTCCACTTTGAAAAGCATGAAGGCATCCTCGTCCTCCTCCGCAGCGCCAAGCGCTGCTGATGCCGCTGGTAAAGCCCAAAAGCGTGTCACTATCCAAGAACCCCGTGCAATTTCCCCCCGAAGTGCGGCTGCCAATGCGCGGAAGAAGAAGAGTACGGTTGGAGAGGACTTGCGCGAGCAGAGCACCTCGAGTCCCACTCGAGCAGTACCCCCTGGCAGAGAACGAGAACCTACCACAGCTCTGAATCTGTTCGCGAAGCTTACAGGCACGAGTCCACCGAAGGTAGCGGAGCGAGGTCGTGAATCCGTTTCGGTTTTGGTGACAGAAAGTTCGGCAGTTCTCCATAGAAAATCGGGATCGAAGTCTCCACCTGGCGGCAGCGAGCACGCAGCTTCTCATGCGCCAGGGGCGTCGAGATCGGCGAAACGGCGCACCAGCGCGGTGTTGCGCAAGCTCGAGAGGCGGCGGTCCGATTTTTTCGCAAAGCGAGAGGCACCGTCCCAGGCGGAAGGAGAGCAGGATGACGCATCTCCTATCGTCACCGAGGGCGCGGAGGAAGCGGAAGAAGAGTCAGCACCCAATGTTGCGGCTGCAAAGCAGAAACCGAAACGCCGTAGGAGCACAAGCACTGCAACCATATCGCCAGTCGGGCCGAGAACAACACGGAGTCGGAACGGAGCCTCGACCGAACAGGAAAAGAAACGTCGTGTCTCCACCAGAAGCCGTGGCACAGCAGCGAAAAATGCATCAGTGACCGGTCCCGCTGCGTCCACAATATCAAAAGCTCCTCGGCCCGCCAAGAAGACCACAAAGTTTGCACCGCAACTCTTGGCGCACGATGATGAAGTCAGTCTGGCCTTGGAGAAGATTCTTTACCTTCGGCAGATGGAATCAGCTCCGCCCATCGGTGTGCCTATCGCCGAAATGCAGCGGCTGATTTCTCTACTGGTAGACAGGATCGCGGGGGATGCCTACCACGAAAGTGGTCCTGCCCAGAAAGTTCACGAAGTCCGAGCTTTGGCCGCGCAAATTGTCAGCGCGAACTTGATCGAGCGGGACGGGGCAAAGAAGAAGCTGCAGGAGGATTACATCGAGTCCTTACTTCGTCGCTCCGACCGCGACTTGTGTGAAAAAGTCGTCGAGCAGCTTGCCAGACTCGGCCACCAATTTAGCGACGGCGATCCGAATCTGGCACAAATGGCCTTCGGCGAAGACACGAAGGTGTTCCAGCCGAATATGTGGATCCGCGTGGCGCAGGAGAGTTTGGAAATGCTCACCCGGTATGTAGAGCCCTTCACGAAGCGACTCGACACGAGAGGTGGAGAAGTACGACGGTGCTTGGAGATTCTGAAGAGTTTTTGCTTGAACTACGACGGTGAGGTACCCCCAAGTCCGCTGGACGAGGAGGATACTACCAGCACCTGGCGGTCCCAGGGCGCGGCTGCTTTCGCCCTTGCGCGGATCGGATTTCACAGCGACCTCCGCATTGTCGCAATCCGGGACGCGATTTACCACCTGCAGCGTTTTGTCTATTTGCGGGAAAGCGTGTGGGCATTGGCTGTGAGTGGTAGCGAGAAGAAAGCCGGAACTTTTCCGAAGTTGCGATCACTTTTGGAAGAAGCCGTTTGCCCGACTAGTGACAATGAAGCCGCAAGTGAAGACGAACCGGCCCGCACATCCGAGGAAATGATGAACTTCATCCGAGATTCCACAACAATTCCAGTTTTCGAAAACGGAGAAGATTTCGTTCGTGCCTTGATTTTCGGCGACCCACTTTTTCTCGAAGATCCGCAGTTCTACGCCCGGTTGTCGGGCAAGGACCTCAGTCTGAGGAGCTCGGTTGCCGAATTCGGGAGAAAGTACTACGATCTGCGAGACCTGGAGCAGCTGCCGGCGTTCAAGAACTTCGCTGGCGCAGTGTCTACTTCAAAGACTAAGATTGCAGAATTGTCTGAGCAGCACGAGAGCGCAATGGCAGAAGTTTCTAGGGAGCTCGTGCTGAAAGCCGAGATGCAGGAAATCCGGGACAAGTTGAGAAAAGACGTCCCTGCCGCGCCCGGAGCTGTGTACGAGAAACACGATAAGGCTGACAGCGAGGATATGCTGGACTCCGAAGAACTGCAGCTCACCAACGAAGAGGCTCTGGCTTCCCGTCTCCTGATCGCCCGACTGCATGACCGGCGCGCGCGCCCGCTGGGGATTCAAGTCCGGATGGCGGTGCGCAGGTGTACCAGGAGAATCACGGCGAGGAAGATTGTGACGCATTGCTGGCGGTTGCTGCTCGACTTGGTGAAAAGCTTGGCTACTACTTCTTCTAGGAGATCAAAATCGGCTGCTCCTACTGCTACAGACAAAGAACTTGCACAACTTACAGAAACTTTGAACGAGGTGGTGACTGTTTGCAAAACTGAATGCATCTCCGTCCAGCGCGCCTTCTTCCCGGTCGCCCATCACCACCATGACTCAGACGAGCACGAGCGGTCCATTCTCGCGAATTACGTAGATACAAAAGTTCCGATCCGCGAGTGGCCCAGTGACGTCTACGAAAGGTACGAGTGCTTGCGGCGGTGCCAGAAGATCAGTGTGCTGTCGATTCTGGACGACTTCGAAGCGTTTTTCCCAAAAGAAGCGGCGACTCTCGGAGAACACATGACGAGATTGTTTTTCGACGAAGAGTCTGTGCAACGACTTGGGTTCGATTTGACCGAGCGGGTGTTTACTTTGACACAAGTTTTATCCACGGACGGTGGCCTTGAAGGACAAAACTTCTACAGTGACTACTTCCTCGAGGATTCCTCACCAGAAAAGCAAGACCCGCACGACAGCATTCTCCGCTTGGCAATTCAAGGGTCCACCACTTCTGCGAAAACGGACCTCGCTTCAGATAACGAGGATAACAGTCCGGCGCAGCGGAACGTTTTACTCCGTCGCAGAGTCGAGGAGGTGTCGGCGGAGTTGGTTTTGAGAAAGCAAGAATACAAAATAAAAGCCGACGACGTCGAGCGGAAGGCCGTCGAGGCAAAGTTGCTGCGGGCGCGGGTCAATTCCGAGGTGCAGCACATGATGTCCGATGAGGATGATGCGATCTTGCATCAGGCACTCTCCACCGACCTCCCCCGTCGAGGCGCATTTGTGGTGAAGAAGCGCGATCCGATCGCCTACGCGAGTGTGGGGCAGATTCTGCAAGATAGTGACCTCGGCGTCCACCACTTGAAATACGCTTACGACTACGAGACCGAGGCTGATCAGGCCGTCGTCGGTGTCTTGTTCGGGGACGGGACGCACGAAGCCGTGCAAGTTGGGTCGTTGGAGTGCGTGTCTCTAGCGCTCTTCGTCAAGGGCCTACCTGCCGCGTCCGCCTTGTACCGGCACCCGGTGAACGGGCGATACGACCAGGTTTTCTTGACCGACGGGGCGTCTCTCGCGATCTTCCGCCACTGGCAGGGCCACTGCGTCATCTTCTTGCACGAAGTCGAGGAGCCGGAATTTTTACAGCAAGTACAAGTTGGTACTAAAGACCACAACCACTCGTCGTCAGAAAGTGAGCCCAGCAGAGGCAGTTTCGCGGCAGAACGAAGGCGAAGCAGGAGCAGGGAATTGTCTTCGAAAAACAGTAGTACGAGAGGAAATACGGTGGAGCTGCATGGGCCTCGGCGGAAGCGTTTCTGGGTGATGACGCCAAGCTATCACCTCGCGGAGGCTGCGCTCCAGGAAGAGAGTGAGAATGCGCTGAAACATGCAGCAAGAAGCGGAGGACCTGATGGTGCAGGAGCTTTTGGCGCTTTCGACTACATGCACTACATGACGAAAACTCGGGGGAATCGCATTTACGGTTTTTCTCCCGCACGTGAGGACGAATGTCTACCCCTCCCATCCCGCTCCTGGTACTGGTGTCCGGCTTTGAGCGACGAAATGACGGCGCGGGGCGGCGGAATGAATGAGCAAGTGATCTTGAATCCGGGGACCAAAGCAGTATCGTCTTTCGTCGTAGTAGAGCCTGCAGTAGTCACGAGGCCACAACAAGAGGCATCCGAAAATGCAAATAAGAAAGCGAAGCTGCAGAAATCTCCGGAAAGGATAGACCGGCCAGACGTCATCCGTTTAATACTGCAGTCGCAAAACGAAGGAGCCGGTGGATCTTCTTCCGCCGATTCGAATGAGTTCAATAGCACCCATTTGAGAAAGCGGATGGGGAAGTCTGCCAAAGTCCGCGGGCCGCTCCCAATGTCATCTTCCGGGACAGAAGAAGAGGGCGCTGCAATAGATTTCGGATCGGGCGAAACGTTCCAGGACGAGGAGGACGGCACAAATATTCCCGAATGTTGGCGGTTTGCCCTTCTTGCGCACCGCTTAGCCCGGAAACGCGGCCTGATCAACTACGATCTACCGGACATTGACCAAGTGATTCGCCACATGCGACGAGCCGGAGCGCGTGTGGCCGCTGCTTCGCGGGACGTGACACCAGAACCAAAGCGAAAAGCGAAGTCGCCGGAGCGGAAAACAAGTCCCGACGATTTTGATTTGAGCAAAAGAAGTCAAAACGCGCTATTTGCAGATTTCCAAAGCCGGAAGGAAAGCGCGGTCGAGTCCGACTTGAAGATGATTGCGTCGCCGACTCGGGTGCGTAGGATGTCTTTAATCAAGGGCGATGGGGTCGACGAAAATTTTCCACCTCCGAGTCCCGCCGTGACTTCTGCGCCACCCTCTCCGGACAAGCAACTGAACTCGTCTGTTTTAAATGTCAGAGAGCTGCGTGCGGAGATGCAGCAGCACTTTGCCGCGGGGGTGCATTTGGACGTGGACAAGCTGAAGAGGGCGACGCTGACACTTGCAGCGGAGGCGATGAAAGCCGTGGATGTGAAAATTTCATCAGACCTGAACCCGGCCGAAAGGGCCGCAGCATTGGAAAAATTCGGCGAAAGTCACGAATGGGATGCGATTTTGGAAAAAATCCACGCAGGCGGCCGTGCCGACCTCCTTGCCGGCTTGGGAAGACAACTTGGAGTTGAGCGCGAAGACAAAGGAAGTAAGCACGCGGTGACTTTGAACGTCAGTTGCCAGGTCCTGTTACGGACCACAGTCTACGACCCGCTGGTGCAGCTTACGCATCCAGAAATCGCGCATCTTGCGAAAGCGTGCGAAATGGGAGCAACTTTGCGTGTGGCCGAAGTCGAGACGGAGACTGGAATCGTCATCGTGCGCGCGGAAAGGAATAAACCGAAGGGAGAACATATCAAGGAAGAGAACGGATCAGAAAAGAAGAACCAAGTTGAGAAAGAGCATATCGTCGCCGTTCCACAAGCGCTGGTCGTGCGATACGACCGCAGCAAGCACTTTCGCATGCCGAGAATCGGGGACGTCGTCGCAGTGAGAAATGTGGTGTACCCGAAAGACATCCTCCCAGCACTTGTGAAGCCGCACAGAGCCAGACTGCGCGTCGAGCGCGTCTTCTGTGACCGGCTGTTTGTTCGGGACATTGGCTCGGAAACGACCACGCAGCCGGCGTTTCTGATTCCGTTAGGATACGTGAACAGCACCGTTGACCCGACAACCGGCGCCAAGATGGATCATCCAGTAGCTGAAGAAGCCACGACCGAGAAGACTGGTGAAGTAGACGCACGGCAGAGGGACTCACTTCTGTACGGATCGGAGCACCGGCGACGATCCTTGACCTCATCCTTCACCCCCGGAACGCGAATTTTGCTCCGTCCGGTGGTGAAGGAGATCCCCCACTGGGTCAGCAACAAGATCCGGCTGCACGGATTTTCCTGTGAACTCGTGAATACGGAAAAAAGTGCGGACGGTTCCATAACCATATCGGTGTCGCACCCGTCGGCAGCGGCAAAATTTGCGTCTGTGCCGGTGGTCTGTGTGTTGGATGCGAATTTCGAAGCTTGTGAACCGTTAAAGGCAGGGGACGACGTTCTATTACGTGACGTGCTGCACAACGAAAATATCGTCGGAATGCTCGAAGCAGTTGACACGGTCCGCGCCGGGGGCTTCTTGAAAATCCTAGGGCTTCTTGACGAGGAAGCGGAGACCATCGAGGACATCGCGAACCAAACCAACCTCCACGCCATTTGTGAGGTTTTGTTCGAGGAGAAGAGTCACGAAATTCGGCTTCCCTTGGAGTATCTGGAGAAGAAGGAAATCGGGGTAATTGCGGAAGAGGAGTTTCGTCCCGGTGACGTCGTGCACCTGCGCCCCGTGGTCGCGCGGCGCCACTACGAATTGCAGAAAATTTGGCGCGTTCTCGCCAAGGAGGGCATGTTGAAGTATCTAGGGCGCGCGGTGAAGGACAAAAACGGCAAGCACCATCCCGTGCACGACGAAAAGCATTCGCACAGCCGCGTGGAGCTTTGGAACGCCGACGGACAGCGCGTGCGCAAAGAGCTGGTCCTTCCAAACTACCTTTTCCGGTCGATGGAACGACAGCCTTCGCAGCCGGAGGTTTTGGTCGCGGGCGGTGAGGACCGTGGGAAGATGACCGTGGAGAGTCGGCAGTTCTCGGTTGCAGAAGACGGAGGAGGGTTCGATCGATTTTTTTCTCTGGTATCACAGGAAACGAGGATGACGACGCAATCGCAGGCGTTCGCGCACATGAAGGACGAGCAAAATAACGCAGATCGAGCTGAGGGCGGATCGCAACAAGAGTTGGAAAATGGCGTTCCGAGAAGTTCTCACAACGAAATCGAGGTGCTGCTGTGCCTTCCTCTGGACAGAGACAAACTGCTTGATGAGACGACGGGAATGAACGATGGCACTGACCAGAATAAAGAAGATCCGGATGCTGACGAACTGTCGTCAGAGGCGGAGAGGCAGAAAATCAACTCGGCACAGATATTCAGCGAACTGCAAGCGCGTCTCGGCGTTCCAGGGAGACGGTTGATGCAGATCACAGACGGGACTGGGCTTCAGTGGCTCGAGCTACGCGACGGGCGAATGGTTTTGGACAAGATTTTCGACGAGCGAATCTTGCAGCAGTGTGTTTCTACCAATTTGGTTGCGGAGCATGCGACGCAGAGCGGGTCTTCACAAATGCCGGTAGTTACAACACTCGACGAATCGGCTTTGCAAGCGGAGCAAAGCGCTCTGCGGTGCCTCACACTTGGCGGTGGATTGGCGATACAAACAACTGCGGAGAGTTCCTTGAAAACAAGCGGTGAAAATTCAGATTTTCGGGTCATCTTACGCAACGTAGTGTTTAGTGACGCGGAGCGCGCTGCACCTATTCTGCAAAGACTTCTAGCCGGTGGAGAAGTGGTGGCATGCAGGAAGCTGGTTGGAGATGCTTCGATTGAGCTTCACGAAACGCAAACGGAGCAGGAAGTGGAGCCTCCACAGCGCAGTAGCTCAGCGAGGGTTTTGAAGACACAGACTGTGGACATGGCAAGCATGCACGACGATCTCAATCGTTCCTTTGCAGAACAACCGCGACAAAGCGCTCCCGAGACATCGATGCCTTTGGTGGAAGAGCCTCCAGTCCTACACACAGATTCTGTGGTGGTTGATTTCGACAACGCCGATGCCGTGAGCCGCCCACGAAAATCAGTTCCGGTAGAGACAAAACATGAAGAAGCGGTAGTTGATGTCGTTGCACGTCATGACGAAGATGATTTGAGTCCAACTGCGGAACACGCGCCTCCAAGGAGCAGCAGGTCATTTTCGAAGAGTTTTGGAAAAGCCAAGATATCGAAGGGTGCTGCTCCACCAGTGCCGTTGAAAAAGGGTGATGGCAAGCATCCAGCGTCTCCGGCTAAATCAACGAAAAACGTGCCAGCGGTGCCCCTGAAATCCGTAAAGGGAGAGGCCCGGTTCTCGTCGAGCACAACAAAGAACGATGGTAGAAGCCTGGTACGTGAAGATGATGAAACTGTAATATCCGAGCACCCGAGTCCAAGCACGTCGAAAGGCAGCAAGAACGTGCCTCCAGTACCACAAAAGGGAAAAACAGAGCGGCCGTCCGAAATAGACCATACGATCTCCGCGCAGGACCTGAAAGATAAAAGATCGGCACTGGCGTCGCTTATGTATGGCAAACCACGAGACGAATCTCCGACCAGTAGTGCGCCTTCCCCTAGTAATGTGCAAGAGCGGGGGCAAGAAGAAGCATCGGTCGGGGCCGGGGTTTTTGCTGCTAGTAAACCTGCCGCAGCGGTGCACAAAGGACAGAAAAGTGTACCCAAAGTGCCATCAAAGGGACTTCCCACACGCAGCGCTGTTAGTGTTGACGATAGTAGAGACTCGTCTCCAAGTCCAGAAGACGTGCGGGATTCCGTACTGAAGTATCTCGTACCTGCAAAACCTGACTCTCCACCTTCCTTCGGGCCGAGGATCTCGTCGTCGAGTCACGAAGATGAACAAGAACATGCGCCGTCAACAGCGAGCAAAGGTCACAACCCTATCCCAGACGTCCCAGAAAAAGGATCATCCCCGTCTGCTCCTAGTCGTGTCTCATCGAAAAATCTCGGCGCCGGGCGGAAGAGCGCCGACAAGCAGGTTCTCTTCCAGTGGTCACCAGGCAAAGGGCCGGCAGTCAAAGGCCAGGCCACGTTGGATCGCATGACGCGCCAGTCAGCGACTACCCAGCGACTTACAAATGCTCCTGCAGCCAGTATGGACGCCCGTCGAGACGCCCTGTCAGCGTTACTTGGACAGGGCAAGGGGTCACTGTCCTCGCTGTCTGTCCGCAAGACTAGCCCGTCAGCGGGGCAGAAGAGTACTGTGGGCGAGGAAGGTACATCGAAAGTAGAACATCCTGCCGTAAAAGGCCAAGACACATTGGACCGGATGACAAACCAGCTTGTAACTGGCCAGCGGATTACTGACGTGGACTACGCAGCCCCTGCAGCAGCAAGCATGGCCGAACGGAAAGACGCATTGTCGGCGTTACTTGGGAAGGGCAAGGGATCACTGTCATCTTTCTCTGCGCACGACCATGTTGCCGCAAAAGGACAACAGCCTGCAGTGAAGGGGCAAGACACACTGGAGCGGATGACGAATCAGACCGTACCACAGACGACTACGGTCCATCGTTTTTCGGACGAAGATGAGAGGTTTGCTTCTCGCTCCCTGTCGGAGCGGACGACTGCGCTGGCTGCGATGTTTGGGCCCACGGGGGCCATGTCACCCAGGGCGGCTTCTATTGCAAAAGCGCCGCCGTCGCCCGGGAGAGCACCTAGTAAGGGCACGAAACCTGAAGCGCCACCAATTCCGCAAAAAGGCGGTAGCGCAGGAGGTCTGGTGGCAAGTGAAGATGACGATTCTGTGGATCCGGAACACCATGCTGCGAATTTACATCGCTACCTGAAGGGGAGTTCTGCGTCTGCGTCCAGCCCACAAGACGAAGCTTCTTCCGCGACAGGAAATTCGTCTACCACGAAGGGCCAAAAGAGCGCACCTCCTGTGCCGAAGAAAGGAATCGGTTCGGGGACGTTTTTGTACTTCCCCGAGCCTGTTATAGCAGAGGAAAGCGTAGATCTGGACGAAGTGGAGTCGGTCGCCAGTATGTTCCGAGTCGAACCGTCAAAAATTTACTCCCAGATGCTCACACTTACGCTGCGCGATTCACAGGTTTTTTATCACTCATTTTCGTTTTCCAACAGAACTTCCAATACCCGGCATTTTGAATTCTCAGATTCAAAGCGCAAATGCAAAGTCAGAAAGGCCGACCCGTATAATTTTAAAGTTCACATCATTCTTGCAGGTGCTAGCTTCCACAACGTCCGACGTCAACAGCGCCACACTAGCGAAAAAGTTTCAGTCCATCGGGATCTCTTCCAAGTACGTGGCTCCGCTCTGGCTTCCCGGCATCGTGCCTGACGCGTGCGTGACGTTCCGCACTGACGTGGTGTGGGCCGTGGCGTGGAGAGACAAGTTGAGCGAGTTGATTACCAGGGGAGCATCTTCACCATCGACACCTACGATGCTGCAAGTAGTGGAAAATCATTTTTACCCGGAGCGCGACAGCGCAACAACTGCATCAACTCGCGACGAGGAGCGTTGGGACGCAGATATTCTCCTATCGGTCTTGACACCGCATGAAATAAACGCATCAAGTTCAGCGGGAGACCGGAATCTTCCTTCTACTTCCGCGAAAAAGCCATTAGCGGCCGGGATACCAGAGCGGCTGAGCAACATGATGAAACTAGTGCGGTGTCCACGAGCGTACTTGCGACCAGTGGTATTTGACACCGCTCGTCCTAGCATACGCGCTGCACCGTACACGCGTGTTGTGTTTCATGTCTCTGTGACACACGATCCCCTCCTCTGGCCGCAGCTGCGCAAGCAGTGCGTCCTTGCTTCTGTGGACGACGTAGCGGAGCATGGCGCGGTGGTTGGAGAGTCAGCGCTTTTTTCAGAGATTCATCCTGAATTTGCTGCATTGAGTTTGTTCGAAACAAGTTCAAGTAGACACTCAAGACCTGCTGCGAACAAAACTTGTGCAAATGACCAATCGCTGTTCCCGTTCCCGATCGCAAATCTGCGTCAGGCTCACGACCAAGAGAGCTGGGCCTACAGCGGGAAAGTGAAGCATGATCCGGGGGAAGAAAATAGAGGCCATTTTTCCCCCAAGCCCTACCGGACGCTCGCGGAATATGTGTCGCACAACCCGGACCTGCTCTCGAACGCCGAACTTAAGGGTGGAATACATGTCTGTTTGCGGGATTTGCTGTTACCAACACGACTGACTAGTTTACAACAGTGGGTGCATCGAGGCGCCCATTTGTACGTCTGCGATTTGCTCTCTCGCGAGCGCGCTCGCGTGCGAGTCCACATACCGCACAACCAGAAAAAGAAAGCGGTGAAAAAGAGTGTTGTATTCGGAGAAATACTGCAGAGTAGCAAGGATCCTGCCGATGCGGATGCCGAAGAGAATGTCGTGCGTGAACGCGGCAGCAGCAAACATTCGCTCCTAAACGACGAGCAGCTGTCGCAGCACGAGCGATCAACAGGCAGATATTCCAGTACGGACGATTTCAGCTCTGCCCGCGAAGATAACGACGTGGAAGAAGGAAGAGAAACTCACAGAAAAAGAACACACAGCAGCAGCAGTCACCACGGAAGTAGAAGATCAAGCAAAAGTGGAAAGCGCCATCACCTGTACTTTGAGGTTCCGACGGCGCTTCTGGCTCCCTTTCAAACAACGACAATCATTCAAAAGAACGACGTCGTCAGGATCCGCGAGGTCCATGCAGATGCGCGGTACCACGAGGACCTGTTGACGTTGCGTCGAGCTGCGGCCTGTGGGGCGGAGCTCACGATTGCAGACATGAGCGATCGCGCTGCGCACATCGTCACGGTGCGAGCGAGAAGCGAATTTGATCCGCCGTTCACCGTGCCGAGGATACCGACGCACTTGCTAGAGAGGGCGGAGAAAGTAGAGGCGGCTCCCGCAAAAGAATCTCCTGGTGTCGTAGTAACACAAGGTATGAAGAACAAGAAAAGTACCGCGCCCACCTCCACTGAAACTGCGCATCTTCGTCTTCAGAGCCAGGACGCGGCAAGTGAAGCCCGTGCTGGGCCTACTTCTGCGCTTGCGAAACGCGCGTCAGCTTTCTCGGCGAGCATCTCTCGCGAAAACCGGACACGTGCGATGGAAGCACACTCTAACGCATCGAGCTCTAGCAAAGCGTCGACTCCGGGCGAAGAGCACCTTCAGGCGTCTCTCCATATTTTGAAGACGGAAGTGCAGGACTTACGGGAGGTCTTGGCCACTTCCTTAGACGAGTTGGGGGAAGAAGCGATGGCGCAGCTCGAGTGGCAGATATCGACGAACCCCGAGGCGCTTGCTGCGTTTGAGCGCGAACGGGAGAACGTGAAAAAAGCGCATCAGGAAGGGGGTCCGAGCGCGCAGAAGGCTTCCGCTCGCCGTCTGGTCGACACGTTGCTTAACACAAATACCGCAAGAGAAGGAGGGATTACAGGCTCACTACAGCTGGAGAAAAGAGCGAACACGACCGCTGCGTCCGGCGGCCACATAAGTGTACAAATCGACACCGCGCGCTCCTGGCAATCTGAAGGCTCCGAGAACCAGCACCTAGAGCTGCTGCCGAAGAGTGCTGGCGTGAACCTTGGCAGTAGAAGTTTTGCTGCGCCCACCGGAAGAGATCTCGGTAGTGAGTTACCATCCGCGTCTCCGTCTCCTATGGAATTGCTTTCCTCCGCTGGCAATATCAAGGCAAGACGCGAAGGTAGTGGTGTGAACCTGCCAGGAGATCACGCGGGTCGGAACGTCCGGAATTCTCGGCAGGATGTGCTAGACGCTAGGAAGGCGCAAAGAAAGCTGAAAGAGCTCCAGGCCCAGACCTACGGCTTGCGCGATGCTCTGTCAGGCTGAGCTCTGTGCTGGCTTTTTTGTTGAACACACAGACTCTGGCTCTCCGATACCGATTTCACTGCAAATGTTTCCAAAAGAAAAACATAGATGAGCAAAGGTGTTTTCTCAATCAAAATGAAACTAAGTATTGCAAAGGTCATGGATGATGTTGGATGTTGTATTCGTTTCCAAACACAACTGACTCGCACTTGAAAGATCTGGTTTTTGTGAACAAAAGGAACAGCGAACATCAAGATACGAAACATGAAAATTGGAAAGAAGCACGAGCTGTTCCATCAAGAAAAAGATAGACATTGAATTCTGTTCACTCAGACAGCGTAAGAAAAAGAAGAGATCTGAATTGCGGCACTGCAAGGAACAAAGAAGAATAGTCTTCAAAGTCTTCGCTTTGATCGATCGAGGTTTGCTGTCATTCAGTGAAGACGAATTTCATGTCCGTTTGTTTGCCGAGCAGGTGACTTCACAAGCACAAGACAGCATCTGAATTAAGAAACCAGCAAGTAAGTAGTTCTTCTCACGCATTTGTATTTGAACTTTCAAAGAGTTCTGTATGCACGCGGACGCTTTCCCTACGTTTGAGGTTTGACGTCAGTTTTTTATGCCAATTTTTTCATCCTTAATCTTAATGCTTTTTCCTTTTTTCACTTGAACACCAAAACACCTCCCTTGTCAACAAAATACCCTCGTGCGCTTCCTTGCTTCTGATTTTGCAGAAATCTTCTAGATACAGCCTGTGCTGGAGCATCACAAAGGAGAATGTCTGGACGAACGCGAAAACCTGTCAGCGCAACAAGCACAGCACGTTGTTTTGGCGAGCATTTCCCCGCAGCATGACCGCCCTAGCTGAGGATGGCATCATGGTGGTCGTCGGGCAAGAAAGGTGGCGGAAAGAATCCGGACGCCACCAAGGGCGGCAAGAAGTCGTCCTACAAAAGCAACGACTACTACCAAGATAGCAGCTACAGCAGAGCCGCGCATCAACCCCAGTCAGGAGGTGGAGCCGGCTACAACCCAAATGTTTACCAAGACCAACATGCGCCGTACCAACCGGCTGCCAGGACTGCGGACCAGTACTACCATAGTGTTGTTCCGGAGTACAACAACGGGAAGCAGGGCAAAAGCGCGTACGGAGGAGGGTACAACAACCCTGGTTCCTACCAAGGGTCTTCCTCGGAGGAGAGCTCGACTGTGAATAAAGGACACCACTATGGAGGAAAGAAGAAGGGAGGAGGGCCCTACGTAGAGCCAAGCATTTACCACAACTCCACCTACGGAGCTGCCGGTAAATTATCTGGCGGTGGTACTTCTAAAGGAAACAAACACGCAAAGTCGGATGCGTATTACGCTTGGAACGAGTACAATGCCGACTACAATCGCCACAGCAACGCCGGGAGGCAAGCGGTTCTGCAAGACGCTGACCACCGGCCGGAGCACGTCCCCTTCGCAGGTCCCTCCGGTGCGCCGCCGGGTCTCTCTCCCCCGGCAAGCATGCTGCAGGCGCCCCCGCTCGTGCCGGACTATCCCGGGACCAAGGGGTACCTGAGTAAGGGAAAAGACGGAAACTTCGGCGGGCAAGCGAACATCAAGGGGGCAGGAGCCGAGCAACTCACATCCAACGGCACGACCGCCGCAACCACTGCAGGTACTACAGCTGCAGGGATCACCGCTAAAGCCGCCCCTCCCGCAGACAACAGCCTCTGCCTTGCGACGATTGCCTCCCAGCAAGCCGGTGGAAGTTCTGTGTACAAATACAAGCGTGAGAGTCCCAACGGGATGCACGTGTTGACGCACATGCCGCTCGTCTCGGATGAGTACCGGATGAAGTTGCTGCTGAAGAAGACCCGTCTGGACGCCGACGACTTTCCCCTGGAGGAGCGAAAGGAAACCTCCCCGGAGGGGCGGCAACAGCAAAAGCGCTCCCGGTGCCGCGAGGCCGCGGCGGCGAAGTACTACGACTTTGTGAAGATGTCTACGCAGGACTTGGTGTTCTGCCTGGGTCGCGGCGGGCACACGAAAATGAAGATCGCCGACGCGGCGGGCTGTAATGTGGAGATCGACCAGGATCGCGGTATCGGCGAGTGCTACTCCAACACGGATTTTGCCGCGTGTCGACGCGGAATCCAGTGTCTCCAATTCTGCGGTGCCCAGCGGCGCGATGAAACCCCAGTGGTGCGGTACCCGGAGGATTTCAGTGCGGACGTGACGATCATTCATGTTCCGGAGGAAACCAGCGGGTTTGTTATGGGAAGGCAGGGCTCTTTTCTCCGGCAACTGGAGGAGATGTACATGGTGTACATCTTTTTCTGCGAACCCGAAGGCCGGGGGATCTCGCGGGAGCGCGGGATGCGGTACGTGTGCATTCTCGGGGCAAACGAGATGGGGCGGAAAGGGGCGGCGCTGAAAGTCATGGGAGCGGTGGAGACAAAACTCCCGGGGTACTACTTGGACGATTGCGACATCCACTACTGTCCGGCGAGCCGGGGCGGGCCGCACGGAGGGACGGGGTTTGACACGGAAGCGAGGACCATGAGCAACGACGAAATGAGCTTTGCGGTGGGGAAGGAGGGCCAGACGCGGAAAAAGTTGGCTCGTGCCAGCGCGGGGGCGGCTTTTGAGTTCGTCGGTCTGACGGCTTTCATGGCGGGACCGGAGAACGCGAGGAAAAGGTATATTTGAAGTTTAGTTTGCTTTTTGAATTGCGTGCTTGCTATTTCGTGGTCAATTTACTTAGTTATAGTTTCTCTTCAGGCTTGTGCATTTAGTGAAGGCAATTATCGCGTATTACCGCCACGAGAAGCCCAACTTTTTCTCACTATTCCGAAACTCATAATCAAAAAAACAGGCTCCGAAACTATCTTGAAATCCTGCTCCGTCAGCGCTCTTACAGCACTGTTGGCCTCACATTCCCCGACAAGAACACCCGACCGGACTGCACTGTTTTGAAAATTCCTTCCACCTACATGGGTCTGCTGAAGGGACAGGCGTTGCGGGACCTGGAAAACCAAACGGACACGTTTTGCTTGGTCGAAGGAGATCCTGACCTGTCAACCGTGCTGATCATCCTGGGCGGCGAAAACGAGCGGCACAACGCCCAGGTTCGCGTGCAGGAAATCGTGCGGCTCCCGGAGAATGTTTTGCTCGGGAAGGAAAGCCTCAACACGGGCAAGACCAGGGGCGGAGGTATAGTTTTTTCATGTCAGAATACGCGTTTTTGTTTTCGTTTTGCTGTGGGTATTTTTCTCGAGCAAGAGACACCGACGTACCTGCATCACAACGATCTTGTCTAAATAATGAAGAGTTTGAGAAGAACAATGAAAATGCCACGAAAAAACTTTCAGGCTCGGGTAGACTGATTATGGTGGAAGTTCCGATCCCAACACTGCTTCTAGTCGAGAACGTCGAGGAGCTGTTACCTAAGCTTCGCGACCAGCTGGGCAAACTGCGTATTTCCGTATTACAATGAAAAATGCCCCCACCCCCAAAGTTGCAGTAATTTGTGATACAAAGTATCCAAATGAAAACTTTTTGTCATGCATGAAAGGACTAATGAATCTTTCTGATGCAGTGTCTAGGCGTATATCGCATTGCTTGCATGACAAGCGCCGCTCTTGCTGGGATCTTGCGCAATACAAATTTTTCTCTATTCACGATTGGAAATCTGTGATGCTGATAGATGCAAGAGGGCGAATGTTTCATTTGCAAAGGTTTGCAATACAAATGCTCCCAAGTTCGGGGGTGGGGGCATTTTTCATTGTAATATTCCGAGGCGAAGATTCAAGAAGACGCGTTGCGGATCAAAGTGAGCCAGGAGAACGCGGCCCAGTGTGCGATGATCTGTGAGAACTTTCTCAACAAGGACATTGATTGCGAAGTTCCCTACTACATCCCACGTGGCATCGGGTTTGCCGTGCTCACTTCGAAGCAACGGGAAGCGTGGAAGTTCGTAATGGATCAAGGGAGCGGGAAACTGGTCAAGCAGGTAATTTTCTCGCTTTTCCTTTTCCTTTTCAGTGAAACGTTAGAAGTAGCTGAGAAGTTTTTCATCACTTTTAGCATGCGCCTTTTCAAATCATTTGCTACTCATCGCAGCACACCGCGCCGGCCGCCGTTGCGACTCGGTGTGCAAGAACACGATTTTTTTGGCCAGAAAATTTTGAAAAACTTTCAGACCTTCCGCGACCCGAAGAACCCTTTGAACTATCTCGATGAGGAAACAAGCCGGATTTTCGACTACCCCATCGCCGGCGAGCGCGGCGACCGGGGAGAGGTGATTCCGGCTAGTTTCATTCCCTGTGGCGCCATACCGGTCAACAGCATTCTCGAGGATGTCCGCAGCCGCTCGCGGCTCCGGGTGCGGATTTTCAAGGACCAACGCCGAGTCTTGTTCAGCGGTTCGCTCAGTCAGGTGGTTGCGGCGAAGCGGGATCTGGACTTGTGTCTCGGATCCTTTTTAACTTTAGTGATTCTCGTGAACCAGGAGTGCGTGTTTGACGAAAAAATGGTGAGCCATTGCGTCGGGAAGATTCAGGCAGACATGCAGTACAGGCATCACATGATCGCGGCAAACATCAAGGATTTCCGTCTGACTTTGTCCGGCAGTAACCTCGCCGTCTGGGAGGCGAAGGAGCTGGTAGAGAAGGAGCTACAACACACCGTTCTCGTCGCGAAGCAACAGAAAAAGAACAAGGAGAAGACCCCCAAAAATCATACCGGTGCGGCTGCCTCTTCTGCTGACACCGCGGCGTCCTCGTCGAAAAGCACTACTAATCCGGCGGAAATCGGGTCGCTGACGCTGACCGAGGGGAATTTGAAGAAACTTGCGGACAAGCCCAAGAAGAAAAACTGGGCGGATTACGAAGATGATCTCTCCAACGAACAGAACCAGTGGGAGAATCGGAACAAAAATAAACCACCGCCCGTCGTGTTTGTGTCCGTCGACCAGTACTACTTGTTGCCGCACTTAAGACAGGGCGTTTTGGCGAAGGAACGGAACGAACCGACGTCGGAATGGCTGCGGGTTCCGGAGGACGATAGCAGCTTTGTAATGGGAAAAGGGGGCCGAACGAGACTGAAAATTTCCGTCGTGTCCGGGTGCCGCATCGAAATCAAGCGCGACCAGGAGGATGGATTGGAAGTGATTGAGTTGACCGGCACTGCGCTGGAACGACGTCGGGCGAGGAAATACTTGGACATGATCCGGATCCAGCGAAAGGGAGCCGTGCACGTGGACGAAGAAGCGCACAACGACAAGGACTTAACCGCGATTTCCGTTCCGCACGACTGCGTCGGGTTTGTGACGGGGGGCGGAGGGTCTCATCTGCGAAATTGCGAAACTGAATTCCACACGCTCATGTTCTTCTGCGATTACCACCACCAGCGGGGCAAGGGTATCCGGCAGCAGACGGAGGAACGACTCGTGATTTTCGGGCAGCGGCGCGGCCAGCTCGGCAGCAAGTTAAAGGTGATGAGCGCGATCGAAACGAAGATGCCAGGCTACTTCACGCGGAACCGGCGTGCGGACTACTTGCGCGGGCGGGAGATCGCGTCCGTTCCGGTCGAGGAGGGCCGCGGGAGAAAAAACGTGATCCACGGCGAAGATTGGAAACGAGAGGACTTCACGCCGATCCTTTGCGGGGCGGAGTGGGGCATTGACACGATGTGGGTGGAGCAGAACGACTTGTCCTTCGCGATGGGGTCAAACGGGGTGACGCGGAAGAAGTTGTGTAAGGCGACGAACTGCATTTTGGAATTCGTCGGCAACATCGCCCACCTCGGTGGGACGAAGCGGGAGAGAAGGACCTGCCGGGACTATTTGAACTGGTTGTTGTGCCAACGAACCGGCGTCGTTGCTTTGGAAGATCTCGATGGCTCCGTCTACTCCGCGAAGCAGGTTTTCGCGGAAACCAAGCGCCGCGAGCGCCGCCGACGGAGGTTGAAAGAGGAGGTCCTGGCCGAGCGGGCCGCGGCCAAGAAGCGCATGCGCTCGAAGCACAATAAGGACGGCGGAAATCAGCAGGAACTGACCGTCGAGGAGATCAACGCAGCGGAGGAGCGCGAGATTAAGCAAAGCCCCATGTCCGCGAGTCCGGACGTCGACCGGCTGGAGAAACAAGCGGCTTCTTCCCCCGACGCGGTGAATCAAGATCCTGACCAGAACCACCACAACTCTGACCACAGCGACAACTCGAACATGGGTGACTTTTCCGCAGAAGAGGAAGACGCGGTCATTCTGGCGGTGTCTCAGCACCGGAAGAACCCGGATCTGAAAACCAAGCACCGCCGGCGCGACCAGAAGCGGTTCACGCACAACATTTCCCGGGAGGAGTACCACGAGTTTGTCTACGACTGGATGGCGGACCGGGATGACGTGGATGTGCTGTTTTTCTACGAAAAATGCGACATCTTTTCCGTACAGGCCTTGCGGCAAGTGGAGGAAAACACAGGGACGTACACGTTCGTCGACAATCTGTCAAAACCGAACTGCCTGTTCGTCTGCGGTGCGTACCGGCAGAACCGCCAGAAGGCCATGGACGCCATTTACGAAATTTTGCGCGAGTACGACGAGTTGGACAGAACCTCGTGGGCGGACGAAACCCCCGAAGCGGGCAAGGCATGTCGGATCAAGGGGCCAGTTGGACCGAACAAACGACATTTGTCAACGGTATTTATATTCCTCGAATGTTTTGACTATCACTATTACAGTTTTTGCTTTTGTATCTGTGCCGATGTATGAGTATGATGATGAAGATTGAAGCTGAAGATCCTTTGTTGCAAAAGTGAGTTTGTAGCTTTCAAATGAGCCCGAAAATCAAAATTCAAAACACCCACCACCACAGTCCGAGAAAGATCTGCTGATCCAGTCCGGGGGCGCCAATGTGGAAGTAGGAGCGGCGTACCAAGAGCTTTCCATGACCCACACGCGGTTCGAAGACCGCGATCTCGCCTTCTACACGATGCTGGCGAACCGCAGAGACAACGTTGCGTTTTACAACAACGAGTTCCGCGAGGAAAAACTGGTGTACAACAAGAGCAAGGATTTCCGCGAGGAGGACGAACACAGTGACGGGGGGCGATTTGATTCTGTGGAGCTCTGGCAGAGCCCGCTGCCGGACATGCAGATCTACCAGCAGCCGGGACCGCTGGGTGAGGATCCGTTGATTGAGGGACTGGAAAGCTCCCGGTTGCGGGTCAGCTTGCTCGTCGCGAAACACGCCATCCGCTTAGAGGGCGAGCCGAAGGAACTGCGCGACGCCTGGCGGAAACTGAACACCTTTGCCGCGAAGTTTGAAACTCTGCAGTTGGAGGTCCGACAGCAGAACGCGGACCAGAATCTGCTCCGGTCGGTGTTGTCGCACTACGTCGGGCCGCTGCCGTGGTTGAGCAAGGCGGAGATCAAGGACGGGGACAAGGTGACGCTCGTGGGCCACAGTGTTAGTTTGAACAAAGCCTTGAAGATTTTAGAGGAGTACCTCGGTGACAAATCCTTCGTCTACAAGACAAAAGCCGTCGCGAATCCGAACAGCGCATCGCTCGCTCTGAAAACCGGCGGCGCCTTGGCCGCAGACCGATCTGCGTCCGCCGCAGCACACAAGTCCGGCGGCGAACGCAGCCAGGCCAGACGCCAGGAGCAGGCCAGCATCGCGGACAAGCACGCGTCGCTGGATCCGTCGGCCGTAGTGGGGGTGCGCGATTTCCGCACCAATAACGACCTGACCGACAAGATCAAAATGGCCTCGGAGGAGATTGGTTTCGTGCTCGGCACGTCCGGCACGACGCGCGACAAACTCGGTATTGCTGCGAAAGCGTTGCTGCACGGCGATGTGATGGACAGTGACACGGTGACGGTGGAGGGAAGCAATTTCGCGCGCGAGTTCGCGAAGAAGTACATCGGCATGGTGCGACAGCAGCGCGTCGGCCCGGTCCCGGTGAATCGGGATGACGAGGATCTGATGTTGGTGGAGATTCCCTACGACTGCATTGGGCTCGTCACCGGCGTCCACGGCGCACATTTGCGGAAACTGGAGCGCGCTTGCCAAACGCTGATGTTCTTCGCGGACTACTTCAGAAAGGACAGCGAGAAGAACAGCAAGGAAACCGGCATCGCTTCGGATACCGAGGGGAAACCACAGAAACTCGCCATCTTTTCTCCCGACCCCCGTGCGCGCGCTTGGGCGTTGCTCCGGGTTTTCGGACTCAGTGATTTCCCGCGGGAGCAGGTTGTGATCTCCGATTTGGAAAAGCTGATCTCGACCGCGTTCGAAAGGCACAACGAGCGCGTGCGGGGAGAAGTGTTGCAGAATCTGGACGGTAGTGGTCAAGGTGAAAACCAGGCCGCTGCCCGCGTCGAGCGCGACGAGGTCATCGGGGTCGAGTCCCTGCCGATGAGCAAGAAGTACCATGCGGCAACGGACGGTCACGTGCTGCGCCGCACCGCAAGGAGCTCCGGGTGCATCGTCGAGCAAATCGGCAACAGAGCGATTGTGCTGGTCGGGTCGGAAAGCGAGCGGAAACGGGCAAAAGCGTATCTCGAATGGAACAGCGACGAGAAGCAGCTGCCGCAAGCGCTGGAGGCCTCGAAGCGCAAGGACTGCATCGTTTTGCGCAGTGGGAAGAAACTGTCGACCAGTTACGCCAAGACCTATGGCTCCGGGTTCGATTCTCTAGAGACAAACCAGCTGGAATCCTGCATCGTTTTCCCGCTTCTTGAGGGTGACATCAACGCGAAAACAGCGGAGCCACAATCCGGGGCCACGACCGCCTCGGACTTACACAAAGTCGCGGACGGATCGGTCGAGATTCTGGACGGGACGCTCTCTTCCTCCTCTTCTGACAATCCCCACCCGGTTTCGGCGGAGCAGAAGTCACAGCAGTGCCACTACCAGGTCGGGATCTTCGCGTGCTCCATGCGCGCACGGGTCTTGATGATGCTGCGGCTGTTGAAGCAAGACCACGAAAAGGAAAAGTCCAGTGCCTTCCTGGATCTCTGCAAGCAGGAGCTGAACCGCAGTCGCCGCCATCTGCGCCACGCCGTCGCCGCTAGAAAGGCGAGCGCCGACGCAAACAGCATCGACGCCGCAACCAACAGCAACCCGCCGTCGCCACCGAGCGTGCACTCGCGGCAGTCGTCAAAGGAGTCGAAGCAGGAAATGAAGAAATCCACCTGGCTGTACCAGTACCATTCCTTCGCCGACTACACCGAGTCCGCGATCCAGAAGGAAGTCAAGGACTTGGAGGATTTCGAGTTTGAGGAGCTGAAATTCACGAAAAACGAAAAGTACTACACCGGGTCGCTCTCCAAGCACCGCTCGAAGCTCGTGGAGGCGTCCGGTGCCTTCCTGGAGTTCTGCGGCAACGGCTGCATTCTCGGCGGATCGAAAGACAATCGCCAGCGGTGCAAGGATTACATGGCCTGGCTGCTGCGAAAGTGCTTCGAAAAGTCTGGTTGGGACGAGTACGACCTGGACGCCGAGGAGAACTGCAGTGCGTGGCGGGCGGTCATTCCGCATTTGGAGAACGTGTCTTTGAACCTCCGCACCGACGTTCTCTGCTTCCGCAATCCGGGGGCCGCGATCACGACCGAGCAGATTCGCGACGCAGAAATCAACTTCGGCGTCTTCACCTACTTCCGACGAACCAACGACGATAAGGACCGCGAATTGCTAATTTTCGCTGCACAGTACGAAAAGCGGCTCCACGCCTACCGCCAACTGCTCGCGTGCCTGCTCGGAGGCAGGGACCGCAATCGAAAGCGTTTCCGTCGGCGGAGAAGGGACAGGGAACGGCGGCGCCGCTGGTGGGACGAAGACGACGGAAAATGGGACGACGAGGATGGAAATTATTACGACGATGAAGACGCTGGCAATGCAGCGAACTACGACGAGGAGGACGATTACGAAAAACCTAAGAAAACTACCTCTACTCGCTCGGGTAAAAAGAAACAGGTCGATGATGATTTGGATTATGCGCGGTCGCCAAGAAAGCGAGGCGTTACGCCTCCGCCGAGGGGAGCTGCAAACAAAGCTGCCAGCCAGCGGTCCTCCCCTTCGAAAGCGGGTAAGAGCAGTCGGGCCGAAACCCCAGCGAATGCGAGTCGCGCGAGTCGGCGACGGCGCGCTCCGCTGCAGAGTGAGGAGAATAATCGCAACGAATTTCAAGCCTTGTCCCCCGCGAAGTCTGGTTCGAGGCGAGCTGGGATGCAGTCGAATCGGGATGCGGACTACGTGTCCGAATCCAGTTCCGAATTGGACGAAGACTACACTCCGCGGGGCCGGGGTCGTGGCGCGCGCCGCAACTCTGTGCGCTCGAAGGGCACGGGCAAGGCGAATGCCAGGGGAGAGGCGACGCCGGCGGGCAGTTCGGCGAGCCGACAGCGTGGAGGTGCAGGAACCGCGGGCGCTCTCGGGGGCACCAGTCCGCGCGACAACAAGGGACGAGGAAAGCAGGCGACACTTGGGGGAGGAGGCTTGTTGTCCTCGGACTCGGAAGACGACTACAGTTCGGACGATGATGAAGACGATGACGGCACTCACTCGGAGTACAGTTCCGCTAGTGGCTCGCAAGAACCTCGTGGTTACCCTGGAAGCGAGAACAGCGGCAGCTGGAACGGACACAGCAGGTACACATGATCCCGGTACTGCGCACAGCCGCGTCGCAGGCGGCTCTCATACCTGCCGAAACTACAACATGATCGAAGTACATAGTGGTTCTGGTTCTGCCGGTGCATTCTGCCTGAGTGGGGCCGAAGAGGATTTATTTGGGCTGTGTCAAAATCGGAGGAGGTGACACTGACACGACTGATTCCCTGGAATTTTTCGTAGGAGTCCCGCTCGACTGCTTCCCATCTCCGCTGGGTGTGACGCGTTGGATCGGACTGAGTTGCAGGGATTCGTGTAAAAGAACGCAAGTTCTAGTAGACCCAGCAGACAGCTGCAAATGGAGACGCAATTATCCCGATCACTCCACCGCAATCGCGAGTACCACCTGTGGTCGAGAGGGCTTGATGATGGGGGAGAAGGTAAATGCAAATCTGCGAAATCAAAAGCATAAGCAGTAGAACATGAGTCTACTCTTCGGATCCCGAATCTGTTGGACGTGCTCGGTATTAGTACTACGGTTATTCTGGTTTTGAAGTAGCGGAGGCGCTTCTTCATTTTCCATGCGGACTGGGCTAAAGAAAGAAACAGAATGGACTGCGCTATAGCTGCTAGGGCGCCAAAGATTTCTGATCTTTCCCAGAAGCAGAAGGTGCATGCCCTAAGCATTCCCTTTTTCACATGCTCATGCCTTAATTATTTCCTACGAAACTGACAGTGCGTCTCGCAGAATTTCATTGTCGCGCATGCCTCTTAGAAGTTCTTACACGAAGAACTAGCTTCCTGAAATGGACCATGAATCTTGGCGTAAATAAAACTGAAACGGATGGAGGACAAGATGCTTTCAGATCTGTAGTTCACATCTAGGTTTGCTTATATATGTATCAAGTGTGCGTCTGGAACGCTCAAATTCGATTTTTGGTCGCAGAACAGGGCGACCACGGCTCAGTAGTTTGTGAAAAGACGCGCGGTTGATGAAGCTTGAGCTTCTTGCTTCAGAACAGACCCATCGAACGACTCATACCCGGAGTAACTCGATGCTCAGCAGCGACTACACCACTCGAAAATCCGTTTCATTTTTTAACTGTAAAAACGTTTGATGTCCATGCAATCGAGCAAGCACCATTTACCAGCGACTGTCAGTTTCTGCTTGTAAACTATTTCTGACCGATGAAAAAGCTGTGCTACACACATCTACCTGCTTGTCTCAACAGCGGTAAATTTGTTGCAGTATGTTCCCGCTACCGCTGCATTTTTCCAGGGCGCAGAAGTCAAGATGGAAACGTTCCGTAATTCAGGAGGAATCGAAGGTTGAAATAAGCAGTGAAGTTTATTTGCATGCCATCGAGTTCTCGGTCGTTGGTAAACACGTAGTCTCTCGTGGTTTCATTAGAAGTGCAAGGGTGAATGTCTGTGTGGGCACAACTGCTTCTCGGCGATTCGGTAAAAATGTTTTGGTGTGATCACATGTAAAAAGCATTTTGGGTTCACATTTAGGAATGTCCTCCCCTGTACAACTCTGTTGCACTCGTATCAGCGATCAGACTCACAGTTCGTTCTTTTGGAGCGATTCCCTCGTGTTGCTCTACTCCGTCGTGTGTTATGAGCCTCGTCATTTCGTCATCGAATCGGGATTAAAAGCGCATCTTTGGGCAGCATTGTGGTTCGACAATTAATTTTTGTGGTCGAAATTACCTGTCTTCTGCTGCTTTAGTCGAATTCAAGCTCGTTTGTCTTGTCGCGCTTAGGCCACTTTATTTAGGTTCGTGTAGCCATTCAGAAGGATTCATCACACAGTGTTTTTTTGAACGAGCCCTAATATTATTGTCTTCACGTTGAAATCTTAAGAGCGGAGCACGTCTCTGAATATGTAACCGGAACAAGAAGTCACCTACTAGCACCACGACTCTTTTGACCAACATAGAAGAACCATGGCGGAGCAGGCGAGTCCGACTCCTGTCGTTCCGCTCGCGACCGCGAACGCAACAACCTCCTCCGTATCGGGGCTTTCTTGGCTTCTGGGCGTTGCGCTACTGAACGTTTCCTCCTTCACGTGTACATTGGGCCTGGTTGTGCAGAAATGGTCAACGTTGCAAAAAGACTGGAGCAAGCTCGTCTGGATCCTCGGGTTCGCAGTTTTTATGCTCGGAAACATCGTCAACGCCGCGGCGCTCACGTTGGCTCCGCAGTCTTTGCTATCGTGCCTGGCGCCGACCACGCTGGTCTACAACTCGATTTTGTCTCCCTGCATCCTGGGCGAGAAATTATGCATTGCAAAAGTATCGTACTAGTATAAATCGCAATACAAATTTTTTCAAGAAGAAAAATGGAATTTGTAATGCTGTTTTACCTTAGGAAGGACATTTGTCATGCATATTTGCAATTAGTACGAGTACGATACTTTTGCACAGGATAGAAATTCACCAAGTACCATTCCGCCTCGATCGTGTGCATCTTCGTGGGCTGTTTCATAACGGTGAACTTCGGTCTCCATCCCCCCTCAAACGCACAGACGAAACTAACCGTGGAGCAAGTGTGGTATTTCGCGACCCGACCTCTGTTCCTGGTCCTGATCTCGCTCAGCGGCATTGTCGCACTCAGCATCTCGGGGCCCATCGTCGCGTGGCGGAAGAGCGGTTTACCAATCTGGGCGTTGAGGGAGAAGGTGTCGGCTTTGCAGCTGATGTGCCTTTCCTGCATCTTCGGGGCGATTTCGATTACGAACACGAAGATCACGTCGACGCTTTTTGCGAACAAGTACGTGGAAAACGAAAACACAGCAGCGAGTACAAGTCTGCCATATTGGATTCTGACTACAGAAACCGGCAGAGTGTGCCTGTTGCTTGCGACCTTCGGAATTTTCGCCGTCGCATTTTTCTCCATCGGACTCCTAAATGTCACACTCACGCTCTACAGCTCCCTGACCACAGTATTAATATTTAGTCTTAGTGATTTTTATGATTTGCTAGGTAATAAACCAGCCAAACCCCGGCGAAAGCCGCCGGGGTCGGGGCTGTACGTTAGAGGGGACCCAGGGGAGAGGTGATTCCAAGGTAGAGGGGGGTGGGGCAGGGGAAATCGAGCGCAGACAAACCGATAACGCAGCGACGGTGCGGAACGTGGAACGACGTTGAACAGAGCGGTCCGGAGCGAAGAGCCTCGTAGTGACGGAGACGGAGACGCGCGGAGAAGCGGCTTCATTCACGATCAAATATTTTTCACAATACCGCTTTCATTCATCAATCATTCACAATACCGCTTTCATTCGATCAAATATTCATTCACAATCACGATCAAATATTTTTCATTCACGACCGGTTTGGCAAAAATGCGCCACAAATACCGCCCTCTTGGGGTGGGCGGGGCTGCTAGATGTTTGCGATGGTGTTTGGCTGGCGCCAATCACCGTCACAAAATGGAGCGCGTCCACTTTCAGGGGACCTCCGCTATCAGGGGTCCCCCGCTTTTCGGGGTCTCTGCGCCGAGCCATGGGCCCCCGCGCCTGGGGGTCGGTCGTAGCGCTATCAAGGCTCGGCGCCTTTAGGGGACCCCCCCCTAGCTGGGGCACGTTCGCACTCGAAGGGCCACCGCTTTCAGGGGTCCTCCGCTTTCAGAGGTCCCCGTTCTGGGGGTTGAGCTTCCGCGCTCGGCGGTTCCGGTGCCTTTTCCGGGCGACGCGCTTGCCGGGGGGGGAGAGGAGGAGTTCGCGCGCGAGCGCTGCGCCCCCGAGGCGGTTGCACCGCTGCGGGGGCATTTCTTTCAGGGGCCCGGCTTTCGGGTTCCGCGGCAGAGGGCCGCTCTTCTGTGCTTTCCGTGTGATTTTTATGATTTGCTATGTAATTTAGTCTTAGTGATTTTTATGATGTGTATATTTAGTCTTAGTGATTTTTATGATTTGCTATGTCTGGCATTGTTAAGCTTGCTGATTTGTTTCAAGTTATGAAGTCATGCATTACTAATAATTATGTGAACGTGTGTGGAAATGTACTTCTTCAAAAAGTAGGCATACCCATGGGCTTGTCAAGCGCGAACTGTATCATAGATACAGTTCTTTGCTCGCTTGAAAGCCGATATTTAGAAAAAATTTCATATGCAGAACGCCTCAATTTCCGGGGAACATGCAGATATGTCGACGACATCATATCAGAAAACACAAATTTTGTACGGTGTTGGCATGACATATACGATTCGACGGGTTTAACCCTCGAAACGGAAAGTTTAGGTAAAACGGCGGTATTTTTAGATTTAGAATTAACAATAGTAAAAGAAGTTGTGCACTATAAAACCTTCTCTAAAAACTCCTTATTTTCCTTCGCTGTTAAGCGGTACGTTACTGGTCGTTCTTGTATTAGTAAATCTACAATTTTTTCCAGTTTTTGTGGTAGTTTTCTTCGCTTTTATACCAATAACAACCTATTTTTGTATTTTTTACGTGAAGTAACAGAGCTTATTCTTCGAATGAAGCCCTTACTTGGCTTCAAAATCATTAGGAAAACAATTGAAATTCTCATCACCAGACATGTAGAAAATAAGTGGTTAGACAGCGTTTCACTGCGTCGCATTTTGCTTACTTTCTGCATGAAGGTCCTAGAATACAAGTTTCAATATATCACAAAATAGCTACCTATACATATCTCCCCAACCCCCCCCCCGCTACGACATGTGCGAAATGTGTCATACTTGCATCTCCCTCGTTTGTGTCATGCGCTACCTTCTGTTCTGTCATGCAGGCCCACAATATGTGGTTGTTTTTACCATTACACATTTCCACGCCTTCTTAGAAGTCACAAAATATGTTCCGACATATTTTACTTCTCAAAAAAGGTTGTCGTGCATGGACGGGTTTTACAAAATGCATAACTTTCATACTGGGTGAGGTTATAAACTCCAAAAATTATTAACAAAGTCATGAACTAAATATTTTGTGTTTTTTTGATGCTAAATTATTGTAATCTGCGTGCTTTTACCTATTTGTAGTTACCATGACAAGGTGAATTTGCCCTTCGACAGGAGTCGACCGTGAGTTGTTCTTCCTTCGCCTCGACGTTCTGAGCGCTCTGATATCGTTCGTATATCTTTTTGTAGTTTCTTTATGTGCTGATGCTTTTAGGACGGTATGCGATGATTTCAATGTTGTCTCTCCTTTTCTCCTTCGGTTTTGTTTATTGTCGTTCTTATTTTTATCGATTTTTGCTCTCTTTTGTGGCTTTGCATTTAGGACGGTGTGCGACGTTTTCGATGAGAGATACTCTTTTCTACTTCGGTTTTGTGTATTATTCGTACTCGTTTTGTATTTACGTATATCGGTCTCTCGGTTTCGCCTGCACGTTCCCTCGAATTTTTATTTCCATGTTCCTCGATTTGCTCGTTCTTCGATCTCTCGGCTCTCGATCTCGATCTCTCGATCTCGACACTCGATCTCGATCTCTCGCTCTCGATCTTTCTGTCTGGTGCTGTTTTCGGTTTACTAGGATCTAAATTATCTACGATCCTTACGATCACCAACACGTTAGATCTGTGAGTTCCTTGCTGGTGAACCGGTACCCTTGTCCTCTTGGAACACGATGCCACATTTCTAAGCGAGCACTCCCATCCTGTCCTCACTAGGTCTACTTCATCGGGTAGAGAGGCACTCGATGGTGAGACGGCAAGGGCCGAAGTGTTGTTCTTAGTTGCGCGCATAGCTAGTTATCTACGAGCGAATCAAAATTCAAAAAATCAAAACCAACAGGTAAAGTACCTCCAAAAATAAAAAACAAAAATAGCTTAAATAGTTCGCATGCGTGACATTCTTGTATCATTCCCAAAACTTCTCAAATCTTGACATTTAGTCTTAGTGATTTTTATGATTTGCTATGTAATAAATAGGTAGTTAGCTTGGGCTGGCGTACATCTATATGCGCCTCTTCCATCCTTTTGGGCTTCAGTCTGGGCCGGGTTGCCACGTCTTCAGGGCGTCGCGGTATGTTTTCTACACTGGGAAATGACCTGGCACACTCGGGGCCGGCGGCCTCTCTTCCCTGGGAGATTGATGTTGGTATGCGCACTCCCCGACAAGTAGTTTTGCGGAGACCCCCCGCATCCGCGCGGAGGATCTCGGATAATATTCTCCAAAGACTGTAGCTGTTCCGTCTCTTCGTCTTCTTGAAAGTGCTTCTATTGGCGCGCCGGTAATGTTGGGGGCATTGCTTATGTGCCCAGAGGTCTTGTCTATTTTGCAAGGTGACATCTTGTGGCCGGGGTCGCCACTGTTCGGCAGCGTCGCTTGGCGCCTTATTTCCGTGCTCTATGGTCGATATCGATATACCTTCTGTCCTCGATCCCGCCTTGCTTTGGGAACAGGGGTCGTTTGGCACTGGCGGTACCCAATCCGTTACCCTTGCGAACTTGTTCCCATGCTTCGGCTGGGGTTCTTGGTGTCCAATTTGTTCGCCCTCTGTTCCCTTAGCAGGGCGGGGCCGAGGATCCTCCAAGTCAATTACAATTTGTGGCGCTACATATTTATTGCTTCTTGTGGGACGATGGCGCTTCGGGATGGTTGTGGTTCTCTGGTGGTGGATTCGTCTTTAACAGGATGTCTCTATGGGCACGGTGTGCCCTCGTTGGCGCGCCGATACAATCATAGGCGCACGGATTCCTTCCGGCGGTAAGGGGCTCGCGCGCGAGCCTGTATGCCTTGGGGGCTACGATAGCGTTATCGTTCGCCGCGCGCTCCTTGGGAGGACCTTTTGTCGCTAGCCGCGGCAGGCATTGTTAGGTCTAGTGCCTCTAGTGACACTTTGGTGCACGCGGAGGCGGAAGGGGGGCCGCAAAGGGGCGGCTGTTCGTGCTCGGTCTTCTGTTGTTTGTCAGTATCACGAAGACCGGCGCACGCGCCGGGGCGTTTTGTGCTCACTCAGGGCAGCTACGTTTCAAGTCTTGCGGGCTTTGAGGCTTTGCTGAGTTTACTCTGGCGGAATTGGTGTCGTCACTGTATTGCCGGATCCAGATGTGGTCACGTTTTTCGCGGTTACATGGAGCGCGCCTTCCGTTCGGGCTATAGCTGCGGAGTAGGGGCTCTGGGGCAAGTGGGGCTGGGCTGGCGCTTCTCCCCCCATATAACCACCTGCGGTGGGGTTCTGGGGGGTCTTGCCTGTTGGCCAGGTGGTGGTGGAGTGGGTCGTTCCCTGCTGCGGGAGCGAGGGTTCGACCCGCTCGACCCAGCCCCAAGGGCGCCGTCCAACGGGTTGCTCGGGTTGGTTGGACGCATAGGATAACAGATGGAAGGAACGCAACGAAATAGTCTTAGTGAAGATTTTTATGATTTGCTATGTAATAAATATGTTCATCATGGCTGTAGCTTGAAGTTGAATGCGAATCAGGATTCTGTGCTCTTCCGACTTTTTTTTGTCTACTATCTTCACATTAACTTAAGCGAAACACAGCAAAAAAACACTGACAGCCAACACACTTTATAACAGGTGACACTCGACTGTGTTTTAGGCCTCGCGATGCAGTCGCTCTACGGTGCTGTGTTTTTCGAGGAGTACAAACTTTACTCCAGAGCAGCCTTTTTTGGGACCGTCTGCGGCGTCAGCTGTTCCTTTGTCGGTTTGGCGTGTCTGCACCTGGCCGGAAAGGAGGAGGAAAGAATGATGGTGAACATTCCAACCGCTTTCGGAGTCGACGACATAGACAGGCATCGAGTTGGGACGAAGGATCACTGCAGCCCGTCGCTACTCAACCACCAGAAGTTCGGGCCAAACGCGCACCTGCTCGAGCGGAGCGTCAAAAAGCTCCGAGGAATTTCCGAAGAAAGGATATTGGTGCCCGCTTCGCCGATTCCCAACGTCACTGATCAGGACGGCGTCGAGCCTTGTAGTGGTTTAACCCCCGCTTCAGCGACCTACAACACGTTCCATGAGCCCGTGCGAGGAATTGCGCCGGTTGGGGCAAAGACAGCCAACGTAGCACCTTCATCAAAACAAAATCAATATCAAAAACTTTCAAGAAGCGGTTCCAGTACCAGTTCTGCTAGTCACTCTACCACTGCTAGTACAGTCAGGTCGGCCAGTAGTTCGAGTTGTGATTCCTGAGTTCTTGTAGTACTAAGAGGGCATCCGCATCAAAACTTAAACTCGATCTCCTGCTTTCAGACTCTCTGGCTGACGCAGGAGCAGGACCAGATCATTTTCATGCGGATGAACCGTACCCGTAGTGGTATCGTTGCATAATTGATCCTGAAGGACCACACTAAGTAAGATCTAGACCAATTGGCGCGATGGCTGTTCCTTTCCCATTCCAAGGCTGTTAGTGCCCAATTTGGATCTGCAAGTTGTACGTAGTAAGTAAGGTCGGCGGCAGTACAACGTACAGATGAAGATGAACTGCATAGCAACGGAGATCTTGTATAGCTGAGACAATCAGACATGTAATGAAAGTGCTACCCAGCAATCAAAACGACTCCGCGAAAGCAGAAAAAGCAACAGAAGATGGAGATGCGATGCCGATATTAACTTGATAATGTTCTATTCTGTACTGAACGTGAACTACATCCCGAGGACAGATCATCTGCAAGGTCTCAAGTGGACTAGACACGTTTCTGATGCAAGGTGCGATCTCGCTTTATACTGGTACGTGAAAGTAAAGCGCTCCTAGTTGGTGCTTGTGCTACCAGGACCACGAGGTTGTGGTGGCTGGTGAAGATCTTCATGCTGATATTTCTTGGACCGTGCTAGAGGACGATCTGCGTAGAGTGACTCCGATGGTTCCTATCATTTCATAGTCATTGCGCCGCGACATGGAGATGGAGCTCATGATCTACGTATTCAATTCTGTTGTGGCTATGATGTCGAATGTGTGAACTTGGAATTTCTCATGATGCCATGCATACGGATCAGAGGCATCTCAGAGGACGGCAGCAACGGCGTCGTAGACAATTTCGGTTTTCTTCCTGATGTCAAGAACTCCGCTACCGCTTCGTTGTGTTGTCGTGGAAACAATGAATCGCAATCGCAATCAATCTTTCGTTTTCCTTATCCATTTCGCAGAGGCAAAGCAAAGTATCTCGTGCTTTTTTAGCACTTGTACTTTCACCGGAGACTTAAAAACTGTAGGTTGTCAAGTAGTTACTGACGATTTTACGCCCTATCAATCTATCATTCTTCCAACGCTGGACAGAATTGTATGATCTTCTTACTTTCGATCCCTTGTCGATAGTAGAAGTAGCACGTACCCCCGCTACACCTGATAAAGCTTCCAAGAAGCAAGTACCCCCAGCCCAACTAATCTCAGCTGTAGAAAATAACCCTACTACACGAGTTAGTCGCGCGCATGACATATCGCTACTCATCCCAAGCTAGGGAAAAAGTACTTGAACAACACTGAAGTAGTACAGATACATAAAATTATTCATATTTTTCCATATTTCTATACGACCACGTACGCGCGCGTGGGGTGTCATCCACAAGTATCGATAAACATTTCGCACATACCTTAACAAGACTCTAACAAACTTACGAGTGGTTTCGAATACGCTGGTTGTGCTCTCAAAGAGTCACCAACAGCCACAGACACACGTGTCAGACACTACATATCAAGACTTTCAATAAATCTTCTACCTTATCTTTTACTTTTTATCTTTTTACTTACCGTACACAAGATCTAACCAAGATGATGATGGTAGAGCAGTACAACAACGAAGAGAAGTTGCTGCCGGATGCGGGAGCGGCCATCGGAAGGGGCTTCGGCTATTTTTCTCCAGGGAGGAAGAAAGCGCGACCGCGAGCCCCGAAATGGCCCGTGTGCAGCAGCAAGCGAATCCATTTCGGCATTCTCTGCGCCGCCTTGGTGTCCACACTTGTGCAGTCGGTTGTGGGCATGCGGGAGCGGTACGGAGCGCGGCGCATGGCGTCGCTCCTGAAACAGCTTGCGCCGCGGCAGAAGAGCAGCAAGGGCGACGGCCACGCTTTTGTCCAGGTTAGCCAAACCCAGCCCGCGGACTTGGCAAAAGAGTTGCTGAGTTCGCCGCTGGCGTTCTTCCTGGGACCGGCGTATTACCGGCAGGACCCCGGTGCAACCCACGTCGCGAGTAGCAAAGCGAAGGATTTTGTTCCGGACCAGGAACTGGAGCACCCCGTTTTGTTGAAACAGTACAAGACCTTGGAACCGGCGGAGAGTATGATGCAGCAACTTCCGTTCAAGGACGTTATCAGCGGTGTGACTCACAACGAACTGCGGGAGACCGTCGAGGACACGATGCGCTTTGTCTGGTCGCGGGTCAACCACGACACTGCTCAGGGGGATCTGGACACGCTGCGTGGTGCTGCTACCGCGAGTGAGGAGGGGAAGAAGTGGCGGGAGAGCGGAAAATTTTCGCGGCTGATGGTGCACGAGAGCGACTTCTTTTGTAATGTAAACAACCAGCGCCAACGGGTCGAGACTGGCCGCGCCTTGTTCGAAGCGGTCGAGGCTGTGGCGGATAAACTCCTCCAGCACGACAGCTATTTTGATCCGAAAAGAGAGCACGAAGACCGGGGATACGTGATGGGCCAGGTGAAGCGTGCTTGGGACGAACTCCTAGCACAGAACGCGGGGGCGCCAGCCACAAGGAACGATTGGCCGTGGTTGTTGGAATGGGGTGGCGCGCGCGAGGGACCAGTCTGTCTCGAGCCGCGGCCGCAGTATCAGAAAAGCCATGCAGCGGGCAGTCTCGGTGACGACGAAGACACGAAGCCAAAAAGCAGCGGGTTCGGAAAACAAGGAACTAAGATTTATCCCACAACGCTCCCCCCACCCACTTTTCGGTTTCTGATCGGGAGCAAGCAAAAGCATGTGGACAACGAAATTGCTCCGGTGTCGCAGTGGCTTGACACAACCCAACGGGGGAACAAGGCCCAGACTGCGAAAGACTTAGACGCCGCCTTTCCCGGCGGCCACACGCGGCTGTTTGCGAAGCACCTGTTGCTCGTGCTTCTGCAAACCATGAAGGACAACGGAAAAAAAGTCGAGGGAAGCAGCACTGACGTTCACGCCAAACCGCTTTACCACCGCGGCATCAAAGTTCGGGCACTGTACAGCTTTTACGAGATGCTACGCAACCCGCTCCTGAACCAAGGCGTCTTCCAAAAAACCCCGGAAAGCGCTTACTTTTTCGAGAGTCCTTCTGGCACCGCGGCGAAACACCGTGGTGGTCAAAATGCAGTGGAGGCTTTTGGGCGGGAAAGCGGGTATTTTACATTTGCCCACAGAATCCGCATGGCGGTCGATGTTGCGCTTCTGCTTCGGCAGACGCTCGCGGCCAGCTCCGTTACGGCTAAGGACGGATACCCGGAGTACGAGCGCCTGAAGCAGTGGAGCTTTCTCCGCAGCAACGCGCAGCTTTTACTTCTGGTGAAGTCGCTGCGGCAGCTCATTGCTGTGCACATCACCCAGGAGCGCTTTCTGTCGGACTCGCAGCCGCTGGTTCCCAGCGAGAATGCAGAGACTGAGAAGCGAAATAAAAGCGGCCATCGCTTGTCCCTGGTTCTGCCGACGGCCGACGAGCAGGCGGAGCTGCTGGCCCAAAAGCTTGGCAAAATATCCATCCAGGAATCACCTTTTTTTTCAGAAATGATGGATGGCGACGATCCGCATGTGGCGCTGCGGCTGGTGGAGCGGTTGCCGGCACCAGGAGGACCTCAAGGCGCTGGATCGCTCCTTACCCGCACGGTCGCCTTCCGCACCGCGGTTGATCGAGACCGGTCTCGAGAGGTTCTGCTGAAGATGGGAAACGCCGAGGGGAATCCGCTTTCGTCCACTTTGTTCCTGCTGTTTGACTTAGAGCGGATGTTCCGTCAGCGGATCTTTCGTACTAAGGAGGACCTGCAGCCGGAACCGCTCGACATAGAGGATTTTGGGCAAGCGAGCCGGTTCGGCACCGGCCTGCGCGACCTCGTCACGCAGGTTTTGAGCTGGATTAGCGACGTGTCGAAGAAGGGCCAGAGCCACAGCATGTTCGAAGAAAGCGGTGCGCGGGTGGATCGCGCGCAGTTTTCGCCGGATCTGCAGTTTGACCCGGAGGCGAGCGAAGGCCTTCCCGCGGCCGCAGTGGACCTGTGGTTAAACCTGTTCCGGATCGCGGACAAGGCCGCGAGCGCGGCGGACCAGCTGGATGCGCAGCGAGAGCGGGACGGAATCAACAAGGCAAAAATGGAAGAACATGGCCGTGATGTTGAAGATCCGACGAATCTTCAGCACGAAAAGCAAAAAGCGCGCGTTGCAACGCCAGAGGACCAGGCGCGGATGTATGCGATGCACTACCTCCGAAGCGCGGCTTTGATTCGAGGGCATAATCACCATTTTTCAGCGCTTCTGGGAGTGTTTGCGAAGCAACTGCTACCGGGCCTAAGAGCGGGCCTGCGCAGCCAAGTGAGCATAAACATTCAGGTCCAGGAAGACAAGAAGAAAAAGACGTCCCTTGCGCTGGTCCAGCCCGGGCTCCTGCGCATGTTGCACCGCGTGCGACGTGTGGCGCGCCTCATCCGGGAGTTTGTTTTGGTTTCGTATGCGGTGCAGGGACCCGGCTACGAGGCAGACGAGGAAGCCGACGTGTTGCGCATCCCGGATGAAGAGCTGCGCTCGCTCATTGACCTCCAGTCCGATCTGGTTGCTCGGTTTGCCTTCATCGCGAAACACCCGCGGGCGGGGGTCTGCCCGAGTACGCACGCCGCGATGCATCTGGCAGCCAGTCTCGGGGCCGAGATTACAGCATTGGTTCGTCTGACGGTAGAGACGAGGCAAGGGGAGCGGGGTGAGCTTGACCGCCTGGAAGCGGATCTCGTGACGATCGGAGTGGAGCACAGCGATAGCGCAGAGCGAACCATTCCGACAAAAATTCTGGACAGGTACGAAGTCCCGACATTGTTGCGATTGGTGATTATGGGTGCGCGGCGCGGCGAAGCCCCGCGCCTCGTGGCGCGACACAAGAAGAAATCAGCGACCACCGCTCGGGGAAAAAAGGATCGAGTGAGGAGCACACCAACGACCAGCACGTCCCAGCTGGTCCTACATCAGGCCACCTCATCAATCCGGTCGAAGATTCGCAAGGCTTTGAAACGAAAACGCACCACATGGCGAGTCGAGCGTGTCGCTGCTGGTGTGGCGGTGCAAGAGGTCACTGCGTCCTCCGACCAGCTGCTTCGATCAGAGCTACCGCAAAACGTGCTTTTCGCAATCGCGCGAAACGCGTTGCTGCAGTGGTTCTTCATGGTACCGCCCACTGACGGGGTGCGAAAGGCGTCGGATGCCAACGCCAGCCGTTCATTCGAGCATGAGACGGCTTTTTTTGCCCAACTGTTCCGCAGCGACCTCGCAAACGATCATTCGTACAAGCAGGACGAACTACTTTCTGATGACGTGGTGCGTGACTGTGGTGGAGCGCCCCGTGTTTCAACAAGAAGCCAGCAATCACGCGGTTCCGG